CTAAAGGTTACCACTCGCGTGCCCGGTCCAAAAGTTTGTCGCGCAATGGGAATGGTGCAGCAAGTGACGAGTCGAAAGTGAGTTCACCCAGAGAGAGGCGGTCTTATGGTTCACAGACTCCACCAAAACGCAAAGACCGGTCACAGTCTTCTCAATATTCGAAAGATGCTTCTCGTGAGGAATCTAACCGTAACCGTTCTAGTTCGGATGGTAGTCCACCAAAGCGAACTAAAGAAAGAAGTCATTCAAGTCGAAGTTCACGTTCGGGGAAACATAAATACTCTCATTCATCACAAAGAGAAGATGTCGAAAGAACTCATTCTGCATCCAGTGATGGTCGATCAGCATCTCTTCACCGTTCACAGTCATCAGTCCATTCTCGTTCAAAATCAAGTAGTGTGAAGCGGTCCCAACGCAAGTCCAATAGGTCCTCTGTCAGTCACAATTCCCATCAAAGTCCATCTCGTGAGCACAGTGGAAGTTTGGAACATTCACCTGCTAGGACTGATCCTGATGTTGCTGACCACTCTTCACGTTCTGTTGTCGACGTGAGCCCAGCTGATGGGTCCTTAGACCATCGTAATTCTTCAGTATCTGATAAGAATGAGTCGATCTCACCCTCAAACTCGAGGGACGTTTCACCACAGTCTGTAACGAAAGATGAAAGTCCTGTTGCTAAGAGACCCCGAAACGACCATGTCTCCTCCAATCGGCATTCTAAAAGTAAAAGTCGGTCGCAATATAGAGACTCTCCTAGAAATGAACGTCAGAGTGGTTATAAGCATTCTGGTGGATCTCGTCATGATCGGAGGGGACGCAAGGAAGTTCACGACACTCGCGACCGTCGTTCCCGTTCATCTGATGAATACTTTGACGGTAACCGTCGAGATCGATCTTGGACACCGTATGGAGATGTACCTTCTTTCAATTATAATTATAAATTCAATTACAATGCAAGATACAATCGTAACAAAAATTTCTACCGTTCACGCTCGCGTTCATCATCAGGATGGCAGCGGCGAGACCGAAGCAGAAGCAGATCAGGTCGCGAAAGAACTCCAAGGAAAATAAGGGATAATCGCAGACGATAATTTCAATGTGATTTCAATAAATGTTTATCATCAGCTTATTTGAATTATTATTTGCGTACACTTTATTTGTTTGATGCTAACCAGAAGTCTCCAAAAATCTGATTTCGCGTTTATCAGCTTATCAAAGAACGTTTTTCAAGCAACTAGTATGACGCGTTTTGTGGGTCAGGTCAGATGTCAATCTCTAAGGTGTGTCTTGGTGTTGTTGCCTTGTTTCAGTTGCACTTTATAGGAATCGGTACTAGCTATACAGTTCGTCCGTTTATGACAAGATGTGGAACATACGTATGAAATATTAATGGAAGTAATAGTAAAAAAGTACACGGGTAGAATAGATGGACAATTACAAGTGGAAAATCCGACGTGAAGCAAAGCCTAAAACAAAATTGTTTTCGGAGAAATATTTTGTTTTGAAGCCAGTAGGATTTACGAGACTTCGAAATCTAGTGTCTACATCCAAGAGGATTAGGGTCAAGGGAGTACTTGTCAACTATTGGGATAGCGATGGTCTAGTTAGCGAGGTTTATTGCTGTGATGAGTTCGCTCTTATAACTGCTTCATTGGAGCATGTACTAACAGGCGTGGTACGTTGTTCCAAAACGCCATCTGGGCGTGATTCACTGTTTGGGATGCTTCTCAAATAAAACTAAAGATGTCCAACCACAAGTTCTTTGACACTTCCTGGACGTTTGAGATATCTGTCTACTAACCAAAGGACGGATTTACTGCGCAGCAGTCCGTGCCGTCCCACTTTATGGCTACGAAACATGGCTGGTAAGAGTAGAGGGTATTCGTCAGTTACTAGTATTTGTTCGTTGCTCGTATAACCTGAGACCACTGAGTAAGTAATGCCGTTGTTAGAAAACAGGTACTTGTTAAGGATGGCAAATCAATTGATGAATTAGTGGAACTTCATCAGTTGGGATGTGTGTTACTTATGCCCAACCACTGACTGCCCCGACGTGCAATGCTTTACGGTGTAGGAGTAGGTGGGAAGAAATACAGTGGCGGCCAGACCAAAACAGCACATCCATGAAGTCATTGACAAGTGGACTGAACCATGTTGGTATGTGTAGACTACCTGGTTGGGGACTGCGAGATGATAGCAACTAATGGTTAGAGACCTTGAATGACGTGGCTCGATATCGTTTACAATGGCACAGGTACATCAACTTTGTGTTCTCCCAAATCCTAATCTGGATTCTTCACGCCCCTTCTTTCTCTCTTCCCACTTTTATTTGACTGGATTATACTTCTGCATATATTTTTACTACCTCTACCAATATGGGATTTTAATCGACAATTGTATCTATGTGTTAATGTGGTATGGCAACTTGAACCGATGTACGTACGTACGAAGCTCTACGTTGTTGCTGACTGACTGAGCCAGTTGAGTGGTAAGTATAACAGAGGGGTCTCCAAAGGACGCCGGAATTCAAATGTGGGGGTCAAACAGTTTGTTTTTTAGGCCTATGGAACGGCGTTTGTTTTGGGGGGTTTATGGGTAGTTAGTGTGATACCGCATGAATTCCATTGACCGTTTCTTAGGAAGTAACCACGCGGGGTATGTAATGCCACATAAAAGACTTCCTTTTTATGTGCAGAGAACTTATCGTCTAGTAATATTGCGTTGCTAATTGTTCTTGATCTGCCTAGTTTGACTAACTATGAAGTAGGGTGTTCTTCTTAACTTCAAGGTTCGAGTGGGGTCTCTGTGATGTCCAGACCTCACATTAGTCTTATGTTCTTGGTCCCCGCTACTTCATATTCGTCGCTGATACAGAGTTGGATGGTATTTCACCTTTTATCCTTAAATATGCTAGAAATAAGATGGTTGGTTTATTTTACGTTCTACCTGGGAAGCAACAACCATGATTTTATCCTTGAAGTAATTATTGAGTGGTTTTCATAGTGTTTCTGATGGACCTTATTCTTGTATATTTAAGTTAAACTAGTTATTGTTATTCGTTATGATTCCTGACAGTTGATCTTGGCTTAATTTGCCAAATAATAATGGTGACAGCATATTAGAGTTGCATTTTGAATCAAAAGTGTTCATCTACAGTACTTCCTGTATGAAACTGTCCACAACCACAGGGAAATGCTTGGACTTCGGGAATGAGTTTGTTTTGCTCTGTTCATAACCAGTCCTTTTGTTTGGAAATTGCTTCAATTTGTCTGATGCATTCGAGTTGACATTGATTTCTTATTTTCATGTTCCTAGTTGTCCAAAGTAATTTTATTGTTGTAAATAAATGTTATGGGGATTGATAGCATTACTTCAAATTGTATGATAAAAGGTGTCTGACTCCTTTGCAAATCTATCGTATATTGCAAATATTGTCGTTCTTGTATTGCTTAAATTTATGGAATCTCTCCACCCTTCCCTCTTAGTGAAATAATTACGATTTCCAAATACTCAACATAGTAGTATAGTATAATCAGTTTAGATAATCAGAATTTCATTTGTATTTCTTCTTAAAAATGATATTATTTTAGATAAGATCGATAAATTATACTGAGGATGTTTTTTTATCTCTGATAAATGGAGTCAATTTTAGCGGATTACTTTGTATACCAACTAAAGGATAGTGTTTGAATAACTTCCTTATGGATAGTGACATTCATTTGCTATTTATCTTTATGAAGTTAAAAGTTGCTGTGCTATCCAATCGCCCTGAGTTTTGTCACCCAATAGATTGTCGGTTAAAATGAATAGGATTTGATTGGTTGCTGGTTTAGATGGTCATTATACAGCAAGTGTTTGCCAAAAGATAATGCGTAATATTATTCTTAATGAATATCGCAGAATGATTTTGTATTTCTGAGAATTTACCTGAAAACAGAATTTTCAGGAACAGGGTTAATCATCATCTGAAGGTTTTAATTTCTTTCTAAATTCCGTTCACACTTTCAGAAAATTGGAACTATTACTACGACTGTAATTATATTGATTTCTAGTACTGTTATAAAGTTTTAGTTTTAGTGAAGTCATAACGGTAACAGGTTATCGTAGATTATCGTAAACTAGTCATATGATGGGCTGATTGTGTTCTAAGCAACTTGTAAATCAACTTGCGTTATAACGTTTTGTATGAAAAGAATGTGATTAAATTATTTATAGGTTTCTGTAGATTGTCGAGTTTAAAAGTTTATGTCACGAAATGACTGCAGTTATCCGAGGAGCCAGTGTACAGCTGTTTCGTCATAGTATTGGACTCAGGAGTTCTCATCCACAAATCCTTTATAGATTGAACCAAAACCCTCAGGTCTCGCAACGAGCATTTAATCTTTAGATTACTGAGTTGATATTCAGTGGTTCGAATTACTAACGTCAATCAATTAGCGATTTGGCATGTCTATTCAAGGTTTGATCCCCGTGGGACTGAGTCCAAACTGCTGAGGAGTCTTATACCAGAATGGAGCAGCTGTTTATTGCTTTCTAGCTTCCAGCAGTTACTCAACTAAGGTTAATCCTTGATGTAAATTACAAAATCAAGTTGCATGTTTGCATTCTATCACAAATTAACCGAAGTTAGAAAGCATGTACCACTGGATTTCTAACCTAATAACTAGTTAATTAGCGTCATGGTTGCTTTATAATTTAACTGTTCTGGGTTAAACCTTGGTTTAAATTTTGAATTCACACTTGAGTAGTCATATCAAAGTAATAAATATCTCTTCCTGAATATTTATTTTTATACTGTAAACTATTCAATGAGAACGATTTTTTGTAATCTTAGTATCCTTATGATTTTCATAATGACTAACACTTGGCGAGATCATCTAAGCACAAAACTCGCCAGTTTACGACTCTCCATATATATCGTTTGCTCGATAGACACGTTTTATACTTTCTTTTATTGCACTTCCTTCCTATTCTAAATGTATGAATAAGTTATTTTTCATAATAGATTTTTTATACATATTGTACTTTTATTATGAATGCTTAACAAAAGCACTAGCACTTGGATCCATGGAACAGTGAGAATCGGTTTCATGTGGTGGACATGAGTAAAAAGTTAGAGAACCTGTTCTGTGATGTTTTATAGGGTAGTATATTGAGTCAAAATCATCACTGGTTGTTGGCGATTTAAGTAAACGAGGAAATTGAATTTCACTTTCCTTCATTTCGATCATTTGGTCTGATCTATTGGACGGATTGATATGATTCAGATCGCTAGTGGCAAGATTTAAATCTCGTTCACTTTGAATATAAGATTTTATTTCGGATTCACATGGAATCATGTTTAATGAATGATATAATGCATTTTGGGGTTTTTGTATAATGTATTCATTGTTAGTCTTATTTTCACTTTTTTGACGTATTTCATGAATTGATGCAGATCTTTCGATTTGCGTTGCATAGGATTGATCATATGCTTCATCATAAACTGTTGGACTATCTTGATGATGTTCTAAATCAATTATACGAAATCCTTCGTTAAATGAATTATTTTCATCTGTTTCATCATCTCTTGTTGAACTACACTGTGGCATGTCATACAAAACTGATGGGTAATTATTTGGCAAATTTAAGTAAAAGCTTTTATAGCCATTATGGTTTTCATCATACAAAACTCTTTTGCGTTTATGATGACTTGATATACTGTTGCCATAATATCGTGTATTGCGATCAAATGATCTTGGACTCATATTAACTCTATGAAATGAAAGTGTATCCCAGTCAACATCTTTTGCACTTTTTCCTAAAATTAGAAAAAAAGATCACAAGTAACAATAAATACTCTGATTTTAGTTTTACATATACCAAACATCTTCTGTAGTAAACTAAACTTTTTATAACATTACTATAATTTTTCTCTTATTAGTAAGTCCTTATCTTAATCCATTTTCGACTTTCATGACTGAATTTTGATCGGCGTTGATTACAATATGTACAGCATGAGCGGATTGTTTCTATGTATCCATTTTATAATAAGATTTAAAATATTTGAATTGTGGTTGGAAGTGAAATATAAAATGCATATTTCATCCTAATTAGAATCGGTCAGCTAGATGTACCTACAGCTTGATGTTGACGTGTGAATTGAAGCAGAAGATATTAGATTCGAGTTCCAGTATAAACATCAACACTTTGTCGCAAGTATGTCCAGCTGACGAATCCCAAACAGAACAAACTGGACGTCCTAGCTACAATTAATCTATTCTATTACTAAAACCGTCTAAAATTCATGGGATGAATTAGATAAATTTAAATCGCCAAATTCAAACATCAAGTTTGTTAAATTAGGTACAACGAAATTTAATAATTGAAGCAACTTCATATATACATCTATCACTTAGTATACTCTCATTGACCATTTCTTCTTAAATAAAGTGGGAAAGATATTTATATTGTAGATAGGAATTACATTTATATTGTGTTCCGGATTTCTTTTTGATTTGTGTGTCTTGAAGATTGTTTTTCTCCATGGACTGGTATTAACTAATCATTAAAAAGGCCTATAAAGAATTAGATAGCTGTTTCACGTCTCATTTTTGGGCCCATATTTGGTAGTGCGTGCTGATTATCACACATGGTTTGGGATCTAAAACTCAGTTCACAGCGAGTATGGAATTCAGCACTTCACATTTTAAACATTGGTTAACTCCCAAATTGCACAATGTGACCATCATTCACTAATGTCAGTGATTTACTGTCTCACTTAAAAATTGACAGACTACATCGACTACACCTTACAAGCATAGGTTCATAGGTTGGCTTAATGTCAATGTGTCTGTTGACTGGAAATTGATCTAAGTGCGGTCAGTCAGTCAGCTGCAATGTACGAACAGGCACATCTATGCGTCCGTCCAAGTTGCCACACCTCATTAGCACGACAAGATGAACACCAAATTCATAGAAGCAGTTACTTCAATGGTAGTAAAATATAAAGGAAAGATTTCATATAAGAATATGATACAGGGAGAAAGAATTAGTTCGTAGAAGTAAAGGCATAAAGCAATTTTAATCTCATGGTTTAAGGGAAGACAAAGAATGTAGACACCTACGCCATTGTGATCGATTCTGAGCCGTGTCACCAAGAGTCTCCAACCGTTGGTTGCGATAGTCACGTGGACCCCAACCAAGTAGTCTGTATCTACCAACATGGCTCAGACCAGAAGTTAGTGACTGTATAGGCCGATGCCACTTTTTGGTTTGGCCGCCCCAAACTTTCTTCCAGCCATCCCTAACACTAGTCAGCATTGCGCGTCGTGGTAATCGGTGTTCATGCATACATAACACGTGGCCCAACCATCTCAGCTAGTGAAGATTTACAAACTTATCAATTGGTTTACCATCATTCATTGATACCTTGTGTCTAACCTCACTATTACTTACCCGGTGATCCCAGCAGGTGCGAGTAATATTTCTAAGACATTTGTGGTCAAATACTAGGAGCTTACGAGTATCTTCTACCATTAATGGCCACGTTTCGAAGCCGTAAAGTAGAACAGAACGAACTGCTGCGCAGTATACTCGTCCCTTAATTGATAGACGGATATCTCGTGTTCGCCATAGGTGACGTAAGTTGGCAAAAGCCGAACGAGCTTTTTGAATCCGTGTTGAGATTTCGTCAGACACTAACTCATTAGAGCTGATCAGACTTCCAAGATAAGTGAAGTTGTCGACGCGTCCGACTGCTTCACTCCCTATCCTTAGTTCAGGTGTTGACGCAGGCAAGTCCTGAAGCAAAAACTTGCATTTAGAGAGGGAGAAACGCATTCCAAACATCCTGGCATTGTTGCTCAGTGCTACTAGAAGACTCTGCATTTCATCAGCGTCTTCACCAGACAAGGACTATGTCATCAGTGTATTCTAAGTCGATAAGTGGACTTCCTGGAAGGAGATCAATTCCTGAAAATTCAGTCGATGTGAACGCTATTTCCTGCAGTAGGTCTATGATGAAGTTGAACAGAAATGGAGATAGTGGACAGCCTTGACGGACACCACTTGAAGTCGCGAAACCATATGACAGTTCGTCATAAGCTCTGACTCGACTAGTAGTGTTCGGGTAAAGAGCCTACACAACGTTTGTGTATTTCTATGGCACACCCTTCAATGACAGACACTGCCACAGAACCTCTCAGTCTACACAGTCAAATGCTGCTTTCAAGTCAAGAAAAACTATCACTGTCGGACACCGACAAGCATGCCTGTGTTCTAGAACTTGATGAATGGTGAATATGTGGTCTATGCAGAAACAACCAGGTCTGAATCCAGCCTGAATTTACTTGTGCGATTCATCTACTAATTCTGTGGCATTCTTGGAGTTTTTTCGATCCAGTATTCTGAATTTTCTACTAAATAATGTAGGGGTTGAAGACGCCGTTCATAATGACGACTGATGGTCTGTAATTAAATCATCCAGCTTTGTGAGCTCAATAATATATATATATATATTCCATAGTATGAGTACATGATTATGGACGTAACCAAACCTATACCCCTTTTACAGTTACTGAATAAATAAGAAGGGTTAGGCATGGGGTTAACAATTAAACCCCTTAGAATGTAACCTTGTTAGAAAACGCCAGCCAGAAAAGTCCTTTAACTCCTTCTAGACGCTATAATTTTTCAAAGGAGTTATTAATTAAGTGAATTTATGTAACTCATTTTATGAAACACTGGTTTATTTAATTAGGTTAGAGCCAAATTTTGTAAGGACTAATGGCGCTACCATGTTGCTCAAACTTGAGAACATAGGTGGGATTCGAATCTCCGACCTACTGGGTAAGAGCCGAGTATTTTTTTATTATTAAGTTGTTACTGAACTATTCCCAGAACATTAAACAACTGGAAGTCTTTTTCTCGATTTTTGCAAATACAGCTTACAAAATCGATACATAATGTAGTAAATTTAGGTTTATCATGATAATTAGCCTTTCTTACGTAAGTATTTGTTGATTCTATTTCTTTTGGCCATAACATTGGCTTGTTTTACCAACGTATGAACTGCGTCTGCGAAATTTAAATGTGCCTGATTTGTACGTTGCTGATATGTATTGTATGTACATTTTCTATAAAATCCTCCCCTTTTTCTTTCTTCTGTTTCTCTCCTACTTTTATCTGAAAAGTCTTCATTGAGTTTATAAAGTTTATCATACATATGATTTGGTGCTAAATATTGATTATCTGTTTCCGGGGGATGAGGATAAAATGTTAACCTTTGATTTGCATCAGAAACTTTATTCTTATGATTATAATAATTATTATCGTTATTATGTTGACTGATTGCTGCATCTGGCATATTTGTGTATACTTTAATTTTATTCATATGAGAGTTATATTGATCTTGTGATGTATTTTGTGGTTTTTGGTTGTAATTTGAGTGTGCATTAGGATAATATGTATAATCTGTACTAGTTGTAGTCGAGAAAGAATGAATTGATTTTCGTGATAGATAATTATCTACATTTTGTACATCATCTCTCTCATCATCATCATCGTCGTCGTCGTCATTAATATTATTAACTGCATTAATAATACCTAAATTTTTATGAATATATTCTTGTTCAATGGGAGATGTCTTATCATATTTCTCTTCTTCAGGTGATGTGATAATAATTGGAAAGATTTGTCTGGTATTATTATTGATATTATCATTATTGACAGTATTAGTAGTTCTAGCCATTTCGCTAGTGGTTTTCGATATTTCCCTCATATATTTGTTATTATTATTATTTAACTGTTCTTGTTTAATTTGATTTAACTTCTCCACAAGTTCTTTTTCGTGCTGTTTATATTTCAATGTTTGCTCTTTGTAATTTTCTAAAGGAATCTGCAAGAAAAATAGAAAGACAATTATTTTTGATATTTTGTGTACTTGGAGATTAGGCAATAGATATCTGTAGATTACAAGTTCCTCATTTATCAACCCAATTCCAGTGCGGTCGTGCGTGATCACCACTTTGGGGTCCTGTACAGAGACGAAGTACTTGTCCAGTACTCTGTGGGTTTTCAGTGATATACTATTTGAGAATAGTCTGTGATGAATATAATAATTTGTGAATTACACCGTTCTCCACAAGATCCTTTCAACTATTCACAGATATTATTGAGTACCAATCACGTTAGTTTGTATTGTGATCAAAAATTGTTTGGCCTAGTTTATAAAAGGTTGTTAATTTAAAAATAAATAAGTTCGTCGGTAATATTAGGTTTAAGGATGACTAAAAAATGTTTCACTTACATGATCTATTTCCATATTATTAATGGATCTAAGATCCACTTTACTACCATAACGTGAATGTTCTTTACTACAGTTTGGTAGACGATTTGCAAGATGAAATGGACTGGCAATAAAAATAATGATAAATAATTTAAAATATCAGTTTATTAGAATTAAATTGTGTTAAATGTAAAAACTGTTAATACGGTGCATAATCTTTTACAATATAGTGTTATTTTACGAACACAATTTTAGTTGGATGAGCTCTGAAACTTTTTTATTTTTAAAGTGAATTTTGATCACAAGCAGATGTCAGTCGGAGAATCATTAGAACTATCATGTATTGGTGGCCAACCGTTTTTGTTCTGGTTTTGATACTTGAGCATTTTCAATCTATGATCTCACATATAACATATAACATTTGATATATTTATCTTATAAAAAGTGATATGAGTTGAGAACATAGACAATTGTGCTTCAAGTCGTTTGTTCTGAAAGTTTTGAGTTTATGATGAAGCTTGAATACAAAGGATTCTATAACATGCCAAAACCCTGAGATATACAGTTTTGTAAAATATCATTAAGATGACATAACTGTTTAGTTATTTTTAATTTTCATTAGTCTTTCCATTTAGTTTCAATCTATAATAGAAAATCATTATTTTTAATAATTAATTATGACTTATCAGCAGTGGAGAAATAATATATAATATAACTTCCAAGTTTTTGTCGACATTTCAAAAAAATTATCATCATCATTCTTCAAGTTAACTTTCACTTTGATAAATGACTATTATCATTTACTGTGTTTTAACAATAGATAACGATAATTTCATTGAAAATGAGAAAAGTAATAATTAAATTAACTGTTTATAGGAGTTATTCACAAATACAATGTTAAATACATGTTGATTTTTAATGAATCAATTTCCGCTTGTTTCCTAATATAGTATAAATAAAACATACAACACATTCAAAAATCAGAAGAAGCTTTGTGGAGATAGTAGTAATTTCAATAGTTGAGATCATGAGTTAATTGAAGCTAGACTACCATGGAAAACCTGGAAGCACTGGACGGCCGTTTCGTTAATATTCCTTGTGTTGTATCCGGCGAAGATCGAATTATAGACAAATATACATATATTCTTATTGTATAAGTATTGATTAACTAGATTATATATATACTCTTATATCATAATCTTTTATTTGACCTATTGGCTAGTATTATATGATTTAATATTCTTAAGTTATTCTCAATTTGTTAGTTACAGTCTTTCACAATCACAGCCACTTTTGTGTTTGGTCTTGTATAATTGTTATTTTCTATATCATGGTGTAATGTAGTCTGGCTTGATTGTATATATAACAAGTATGTTTGAAATTCATATAGTGGAAGCTAATATTGGTGTTTTGGAATCAACAGTCAGGGCTAGGCGAGAAGGACTAATGAAGACTTTAGGCTTCTCGTACCAGTCAACACGTTATTGGTTTGGCACAGTGGGTAAATGATACTTTTTATGGTATTTTACTCTCCGATTGTTACTTTAATGATAATTCTGTTTTTTTTCAGTTGATAAAAATTATAATCAGCATGAAAATGTCACACCCATAACACAGTTATAGGGAAATAAAATAGTAACTAAAACGACATGAAAAAACAAACGTAAAAGGGATGAAAACTAAACCATGTCATTCATCATCGTTTTGAGTATGAAAGCGTAATTCATTAGGCGTGTACAAGAATAAAATTCTCTGTTTAAGTTTATGTTAAAATTAGTTTGGATTTCAGACTGAATGCAAGTACAACACTATTAAAACTATGAGTCACTAGTTACGTGTTTCGTCATAATATGAAATTCCTCAGTTCGTAGTTCAAACTATCTTTGGATTGAGCAGTCTTTACACATTTTTACTTTTCAAAATATATGTTACAAAAAGGGGATATATCAAGTTGAACTTACTCATGTCCTAACATTTGAGTTAAGCATGCTTCAAGTATAGGTTTCTGAAATGAAAATATCAATTCGTTCGTTAAGTACATTAAGTAAAAAACAGATATAGTTATAGAATATTCTGTTTAAGTAGAATTGGACAATTGTCTAGTTATCTTGATTCTAAACACATTCTAATTTAAAAAGTAAATATTTTCATTTAGCCATATGGGACAACCTAGTTATTAATTTATTGGCTTCTTTCCCTGTGTTTCCATATAGAAAAGATTGAATGTGTCTGGGACTGGAATCCGGGATTAGCCTTTCGTCCTGTTTGGGATTCGTCAGCTGGATTTACCTGGATCCCAAAGTTGATCTCCACTTTGACCCTCAGATGGTGCGAAAAGCGCTCCTGAATTCAGTGCTAATCAGATTTCATTTATTTCATATTAACTTGTGTCATTATGGGTATATCGAGGCAATCCTCACAGGATGTCCACACGCTATACCCAGATTGATCGAATTTCAGTCAAAATATCAATAACGAGTTAATCTAAGCTATTTCAGAGTAATCGATACGATCATTATTATATGCATTAAATGGCTTCAAAGGCCTTACTGGTTTTTTGTTGGTTAGCGTATATGGTGGATTTTTTTCAAGGCTTGTTCATGAATAATTATACATGATATATCTTATTGATTGAAGTTTATTGAACAGTTTATGTACATGGCAAAAAGGTGTATTGTTTTAGTTACCATTTTTACATCTTAATTCTAGTGTACGTAACTAGTTCCTTTCAAGGTTAATAACGGTTGTATGTGATTACTAAACATTTCATGAGATATATTTTGTTGAGACGCTCAGTTTATCAAAGTCACAAATACACGACATAAAGTATTGTTTTAATTCCGTGCCAAATCTTAAAACATTCACAGATATACGGAACTTTGAAAGAGTGGATAAATATTTATGATTTTGGTAGGTCAGTTTATTCTATATAAAACAGGTTTTTGATTTTAAATAAATAGAATATTTCAAAAAAGGAGTGATACAGATTTGAACAAGAATAAGCTATTCAAGACGGTAATAGTTAACTTAAAATATCAGAATGGACTGATATCGACTTATTATTTTATCAATTAATGAAAATAAAACAATGAACTAAATTGTATCACTGCTGATATAGTTGCTCGCGGTATTATTTTGTGATGATTCTCAAGCTGATGTCATATTAACATCATTTCTATAGAAGATCAATTACAGTTCACTTTGCTCAATTGTAAATATCTCTGGTCAATGCGTTAGATAACGTCTGTCTTTGTGAATAGTATCAATCCTTTCAAGATTGCTAAAACGTATCAAGTAGTAAGAAATCTAAGAACAAAGTCTCTTACCGACCGCCTACAACCATTCAATATCAATTTAAAATAAAACTAATAGAGTTTGACTATTAAAAAAAATGTCTTATATCACTTTTCTAATTTCATTAATATTTTATAGTAGATTAAAGAATAATAAGTGGTATAAATTAATAAACAAAACCTTACAGTATTCAATTGATGTAAATTCTTTTTATTGCCAGTGGATTTATTCATTTGCCAATTTTCATAAATCAATAATCCAGCATAGATTTTCCCAACAGTAAGACGGGTAAATGTATATTCTTTAATGAAATAAACAAAAAATATTACACAAAATTTATAACTATTTATATTGTTCTTCAATGTGTATATAGTTTTGTTTTTAATCTCCCTTAATGATAGAGATTTTATGATATGACTACCAGACCAAATAGTTGTACATATTACATTTTGTATCAACCAAGAGTCGTGTGCTTATTAGTAATCGATTAAATGGTATATTTACAAACATGTAGAAATCAATATTTTGTTTCATTTCCATGATAAAGCTCGACAACAAGCCAGGATCTGTCGGTGACAAATATTTCACTTTCGACACATTTCAAGTCTATCGATCGTGACTGTTTACTAGTACTATAAAAACTGATATCGAAGTCACTATTGATTTCAAAATTATGGTTTCGTTATGAAAGTTCTGCGGAATTTTATTTAATTTGTAGAATGTCCTAAGTTGTTTGTCTTGGAAAATGTTTTTGTCACAGTTCACACAATTATAGATGTACCTTGCAAGATGGCAGTTTTATATTGATTTTCAAGAAGACAAGACGCTTTCCGGGTATTTACACGACTTGAGCAGTACAGTATAATACTGTGGTGCAACCACATAGGTAACAAGAAACTTGGTGAACTTTTGCCAAGATAGGATAAATCTTGTAATGTAGTAAACCAATTATTTTTGTTAGCTCGGAAGTTGGTATTATCATAATTTAATAACTGACTTTCCACAATGTTACAAATTAATTCAGCATGACACGTTTTTGTATTCTCACAATGTTAATCATATCATAAGACTAAGATATAATCATTCACATGTAATTACTAATAAATCCTCCCGATCGAAGCTGCTACCTTGACGCGGTGGTCGGGCTTGCCTATCGTGATGACCCAACCGAGGTATATTGGCTGGAACATATGTTCCTGTAGGTTCTACCATGCCAGGCAGGTCGATTGGTGAACGGTAAGACTAAAAGCAGCAACTCAAGGTCTGAGGGCGAAGTCGTACTGCTGACTGTAGAGGGGTGTGACAGCAGTAAGGTGTTTCCCTCGGACAACCAGCATGACAGCGATGCTGCCTTCCCACAAGGAGGGAATGGGTTAGAAAAGGTCGACCCTAAAAATGTCACACCTCACCTTACCTCACGGATTTCCGTCTCCGGCGGTAAGGCCCTTTGAAGAACGGAGCTAACACGTCAAAAACCTCCCACAAAAAGCCCGTGCGCGACCGGCCTCAAGCAGTTGTCCCTTGGGCTCTGCGGTCACGCTCCCAGGTCGTCAAGACCAACACTAATCCAATTTCCTTTTCAGGTTCCTCAAGAAATACCCTTCCACGGTGTGGGCAGCCGGGAAGTGATATCAGCCCTCGTACCCGTAACAGCACACGAGAACAAGTTGGTCACATTCAAATCCTTCCTACACCTCCTAATACCTCTCTTATCTCCATGACTAACCCTCCTCACGTCTCTTTATCACCTCGCACCGCTAGAGCAAAGGATTCGAGTACGTGGAACGCTATTCCTGGTCTCCTGAAACCAGGCTCTAAGCTACACATAGGAGCTTTTAACGTCCGAACACTTTGCCAAATAGGACAGCAGGCTTCCTTAGCTAAAACTTTAGAATCTCGCGCCATCGATGTGTGCTGCGTCTCCGAAACGCGCATACAGGATCCGAGTAGCGTCATTCATTTGACCTCACCATGCCAAAATAAAGAACCGACTCGATTTACGCTTCATGTATCTGGAAGCCCTGATTCTGCTTCCCGTGGCCTCGCCGGCGTAGGTATAGCATTGAGTCCTAGGGCAGAACTAGCTCTCTTAGACTGGATCCCAGTAGACAGTCGTTTATGCGCTGTCCGACTAAACGGAACAGTGAGGATCCGAAAAGATAGGGACACTAGTCGTTGCCTCTGCCTATTCTCCCACTGACTGCAGCTCAGATAATGTAAAAGATGAGTTTTACAGAAAGCTTTCGAACCTTCTCCGAAAAGCTAGGCGCTCGGATGTAGTAATAGTGGCCGGTGACTTTAATGCTCAAGTAGGCAAACTAAGCGATAGGGAAAGACACCTAGGTGGATCTTATGGTGTCGTGGCTCAAAGAACAGATAATGGCGACCGTCTGTTGCAGCTATGCTCATATAACCACCTGTTCCTTGCAAATACGAACTTTAAACATAAGGAAAAACATCTTTTAACATGGCGACCCCCTAATTCGTCCCAACGTTGGACCCAAATAGATCACATAGCTATCAGCCACCGATGGAGGGGCTCGATAGAATACTGTCGCTCATTCTGGAGCACATGCTTAGATTCAGATCATGCTCTGGTGCGAGCGCGTATTTGCTTGCGTCTTACTGGACGTAGGAAAGACGCTGCAAGGAAACCTCTTAGGAGTCTACTTAATGATAGTCAGGCTAAGAGTATATTTCAGGAACAACTAGGAAAACAATTAGGCAGCCATGTATGTGATGCCCACCCTGAGGCAGCATGGAATGATATCCGAAAAGCTGTGGAAACAGCAGTGATATCTGCTTGTAAGGTAAACCAGAAGGTTAGGGAGCAACACTGGATCTCAGCAGCATCTATCTCACTGATAGATGCTCGGAAACTCATTCCACCTGGCTCTGAACATAATGAAGAGCGGAGTCAGCTTAAGCGCAGGCTGACAAGAAGTCTACGCAATGATCGCGAACAGTGGTGGGTAGCGAAAGCAAGAGAGATGGAAAAGGCATCGGCAATAGGTAATAGCAGACAATTGTTCAGACTCGTTAAGGAAACCGAAATTAAAAACCCAACCGTTAGCGAAACAATCTCAGAGAAAGATGGACATATTATTCATTCTCAATCCAGGAGATTGGATCGATGGGCAGAACACTTTAGGGATCAGTTCAACTGGCCTTCAGCCACACTTCGGTTTCCCACGATCTCTAGTCAACCTGAATGGCAAGTTAATGTCCTCCAACTTTTTACGAAGTTGAAAAAGCCATAAGAAATCTGAAGCGAGGGAGAGCAGCAGGTCCTGACAGGTTCACTCCTGAGATTTTTAAGGATGGTGGTCCAGTATTAGCAGTGAGATTAACTGAGGTCTTAGGTAGAATTTGGGAACTGGGCGAAATCCCATCTGACTGGTCTCAATCATTGATTGTGCCAGTCTATAAGAAAGGACAAAAGTCCTCTTGTGACAATCACAGAGGAATCAGTTTGACTAATATAGTGTCTAAAATATTAGCTTCGATAATACTTCGACGCCTAACCAAAGCTCGTGAAGAGCAGATTAGAGAAAACCAGGCCGGTTTTCGACCTGGACGTGATTATATAGATCAGATATTCACACTACGTCAGGTTCTAGAACACAGACACCTATTCAGACGCCCCACAATGGTAGTATTTCTCGACCTTAAGGCGGCATTATACTCTGTTGATCGTGAGGTTCTATGGCAGTGTTTGTCACTGAAAGGAGTACCAAAGAAGTACATTAACCTTATAAAGGCTCTCTACTCGAACACAACTGGTAGAGTGAGAGCTTATGGCGAACTGTCATCAGAATTGATTACCTCAAGTGGTGTTCGTCAGGGCTGTCCACTCTCTCCATTCTTGTTCAACTTTGTCGTCGACGTACTTTTAGAGATCACATTTTCCTCGTCCGAATTTACAGGGGTTGAACTTCTACCGAGAGGTTCACTTGTTGACTTAGAATATGCTGATGACATAGTTTTATTTGGTGAAGACGCTGACAAAATGCAGAGCGATTCTCCCCCTCGAAATGCAAAATGTTGCTTCAGGATTGGGTTGCATTGACACCAGAACTAATTATAGGGAGTGAAGTAGTTGAGTGTGTCGATCGCTTCACTTATCTTGGAAGTCTCATAAGCCCTTGTGGTCTGGTGTGTGACGAAATCTCAGCACGGATACAGAAGGCTCGACTAGCTTTTGCCAACTTGCGTCATTTATGGCGTAGGCGAGATATCCGTCTATCAACCAAAGGACGTGTTTACTGCTCAGCAGTTCGTTCCGTCCTACTTTATGGCAGTGAAACATGGCCGGTAAGAGTAGAGGATATCCGTATGTTACTAGTATTTGATCATAGGTATCTTCGAAATATTGATCGTATATCCTGGGACCATCGAGTAAGTAACTCAGTTGTTAGGAAACGGGTACTAGGTAAGGATGGCAAATCAATTGATGAAGTAGTGAAACTTCATCAGTTGAGATGGCTGGGACACATGTTACGTATGCCCAACGATCGACTGCCACGACGTGCGATGTTCAGTGGTATAGGAGTAGGTTGGAAGAAAGCTAGGGGCGGCCAAACCAAAACATGGCACAAGTCCATGAAGTCACTGACAAGTGGACTGAGTCATGTTGGTAGGTGTAGACTACCTGGTTGGGGACCGCGAGATGATAGCAACCGATGGTTAGAGACCCTGAATGACATGGCTCAAAATCGTTTGCAATGGCGCAGGTGCATCCACTCTCTGTGTTCTCCCAAATTCTAATCTTCTGAATTCTTCATGTCCCTTTCTTTTTTCTCTTTCCAAATTTATTTCACTGGATTATACTCATTAAATAACATCTCCAAACCCTAATCTTCCCGATTACTGCTTATACTCTTATTACCTCTACCACTACGGGATTTGAATCGACAACTGCATCTCTGTGCTAATGTGGTGTGGCAACTCGAACTGATGCACAAGGATCTAAGTCCGATGGTTAGACAGAGTTATCTAGTGAATTACTCTAAATTTTGTATGATAAAGGTTTTACTACATTAATTCACATTTTTGCTGGACAGAGTGGTAAACATAAATATTTGGTGAAAAACACGCGGTTTACTCACATAACCCAATTATTTAAAATAATTTTAATTTACCTGAATCTGGTGGTAACAATAAGTCTAATGATCGTTTCGCTTGTACCGGCCATAATGTTTTAATGGTTTCACGTAATTCAGCATCTTTAATATCCATAAATTCAGCTGGAGCCATTTTAATACCTAATGATTCTCGAACTAAAGCAAATAGTGTTGTTGTGAAATGTACAGTTCCTGCACTATCTAATGGCATATTCATACGAATTAGTTTCTGTACAAATAAAATAAAAATTATTAGTAATATATATAAGAATTAGTTCAGTTTGATCATATTTTCAAAATTTTGTTCCAGAGTCTTGTTGCATAAATATTTATGAATCACGTTAGAAAGTCTATCTATAAAGTGAATATATATTATTAACATCAAAATGAATTAATGTCGAAGAAATTGTTTGGATCATTAAGAGTTTTAAATCTGCATATACTTAAACGTGAACATAACACGTTACAACCAACAAAACGCATACTATTATGATGATTCACTTTTTAACAGATTATCTATCGATCTTCACCTTTACCAAAGAATTTTCTTAATAAAGATAGAGATTCAACAAATTATTGCATTGATAATTCATATGTTTAAGAAGGTTGCTTATCACATTTACTAACTAAAGTTAAAGATGTAAACCACTGAATACAGGCTCAGTGGTCTGATTGTCGAGCACCTACCATAAAGAGTGGGTTCAATCTCTGGGAGGTCGTAAACATTCTGTGTTAAGAAGTTCGCTAATAGGATGAAATAGCTGTCCAGAGCTCTCTTGTTTTAAACGGTTATACGACCAAGTTCAGTCCCTGATGTAAAACTAAAACATTTATTTAGAGTGAAAACATGATCACTTCAGCTTATGTTAACTGTTTTACTCACTACATGTTTGATTGTACTAATCGAGATTAATTATAACATTGTGCTGGTGTCCTAACAGGATTTGAAAATCTTGGGTGTAATCCGCTACAAAGTTAACATTGCTAAATTAACCACTGTGTAATGTTCTCAATAAATCTTTTGATAAAGTTAGTTTGTACTGGAAATCATTTTATTTATTTATTACAATTTTCATACAGTTAAATTAAGCGTCCTGAACTCATAAGTCTGAATAGTTTCACCCATTAGTTGGTACATAGCTCTATGGAAAGTACTTCTTTATTGAACCAAAACATCCTTTTTATACATAGTATTACCTGCTCAATATAATAGTAATAGGATAAGTAAATACCATAATCTGAATAAATATATGGTTATTCACTGCACAAACAAAACACTTCTTGTTAACACTAATGAAGTTTATTTCTTTGATAGAATAACTTTTAGTTAGATGAGCTCTTTTTTTAAAAAAGGGATAACACTATTTTATATTATTATGATGACTTTAAAACAGATAGATAATCACAAAATTTCTGTCCAATGTATGAAAAGCATAGGGAATATGAACTCTATATTTATGAAGGAATTCTTATATGAAGGCTGAAGATTTGTAGAGAAGTTAGTTTCTAACTGGAGAAACAAGGAAAGCTGTTCTAATATAATTTCTATCTTGTCACAACAAATATCTAACTGAAAACAAATCTTTATTACGAACTGATAATACTTGAAGAAACACTGAACACCCAATACTTGCTCAAGACCTTATACAGAACCAACCAAAATGAAAATGAGTCAGCGACTTATAGCGGATATCTGATGAGTTAAAAATGAGAATCAATAGATTTTCGTTCAAATGTTCAGTGATGTATTGTTCATTAAAAGACCTGAAGTGGCTAATATGAGTGTTATGTCGAGCAGTATCAAGTAAAGATGACTCGATTTTTAATTCGGTTATTAATATTTACTTTTAAAATAACTGAAGTTTCAACTTACCTTATACGCTAATCTGTATGGACAATTCTGACCAAATCCAACTGGAGGTTCTAATTTTCTTAGCATTTCATACATTTCTGTGTAATGTATTCTTCCCCTATGTAATATATGAGTTTATTTTGAAAAAAAAACAAAGTAGTTTCATATATTACTTTTTTATCTAACATAGTAATAAGTTTGAAATTGTGTTAAAAATCTTTTCAAAAATGGTTTTTGGTAAAATAAAGATCATTTAAAGTTTATTTATTTACTTACAATCATTCGATAAATGATCGAGTGATAAGTCGTTTTTTTCCTATAGAAAAACAGCTGTATGAAGAAAGTAGTCGTATGTTTGATTTTATTTATTTTAACACATAGATATTGGTACAAGGAGGCATCAAATACATATGCGCCACACAGATCTCATTTGATATGTGTGAAGGCTGTGATACTGCCCGGGTGCCCAAACTGAAGCAGGTATGTTTGACTGCCCAACTGTAACACAATTTGTTACTACATACCATGTTTAATATTAAATAAAACATGAGTATTGTATAATGTTCCTAGTTATTATCTTAGATTAAGAATAATTAGGCTGTAAAAATACTTAAATTATGGTAAAAAAAATCTCAATCATATAAAGATATGAGATAAACTACAAATAATTTATAAATTTCATTTGTACTAGTGATATGTAATGTAAAAGCTGGAAGTAAATGATTTTTCTTGTTATGATATAAAGATTGTTTTCTCTAATTTAAGAAAATATACTTACGGATAGAACAGTAAGGAATCATCGTTGTTTTTTGTTTGTATAATGCCTGTTAATCTCCATTTTGGAATAATATTATTTAGTGGACAATAGAAAAATATAAAGTGCTTAAAATCTCCAACACCTTTGGATCAAGACTCAAGACTTTTAAATCTGTTATCTATGATACTCTTGACAAAATAGAATTAGAAGATTCTGAGATTGATCTTGTGCAGAAAACTTATATGTGCATAGACTAGAACTAAATATCTATTTAATGCTTTCTCATACGTTATAAACTAATTGATGTTTCTCGTCAACTAGTCAATATGTTTTGTTATCAGTTAGGAATGATAATCGTTAGAAATCATGCGTTACATTTTCTTTTAAACAATAAAATGGTTACAAAAAAAACTTCAGACAATTATCACATGACAATTATTACAGTATAAAAAAGAGAAGTGAATTTCTTTAGTTCAAATGTTATCCGAAAAAAGAGGGTGAATTAAAGGAAGATAAATATTTCGAATTGCACTATGATTTATTTACAGAAATAAGATGCAACCATTATTATTTATTACCTTTTCAAAGATAAATCTATAAGAAATTTTCTTTTTTATAATTCATGAAAGTGACATGTATACAAATCTCTTCCCATCGTTTATCAACAGAGTCTAATTTATCAATTAATGGTGAAGGTTTAACATTAACATCGTTGAATACCAGCTCAGTGGTCTAGAGGTTAAGCATTCGCAGATGAGACTGAAGGCCATGGGTTCGAATTCTGTTGGCAGGGTCGTGGTCGCGCAATGCTGAAGAGCCCCACAATAGGACGAAATGGCCGTCCAGTGCTTTCGGGTTTTCAGTGGTGGTCGAACATCAATCGTTCCATGATCTCAATCAATAAATTAGCCATTTTCAAGTTCATATATACATGATAAAAGAATAATTCACATTTTAATTAATAAGTCAATAAGGTATATTAGACATTTCAGTCTTAGTAAACTTATTTTATCATACCTTCAAATTTAAATTCATATGATGTAGTTTTTATAGATGTATTTACCTTAAACTTGATTATCACTTTAAGAACATAATTTTGGGTTTATCACCGTAGAAATTGATGACTATTTATTGAAAAGAATGTTCTAGGTTTAAAATTAAATTGATAGTTGAGATGCTGGAAAAAACATGAATACTAAATATTGACAATTTAATAAACCATTTATGTCACATATTCCTATGTTGAACTGCAATTATTGATAGGATAATAAAATATATCTAATAAAAATTCATTTATTTAGTTCTTGTTTATTGTAATCTCATCATTTGTTTTAATATAAAACTACATGTTCACTATAATTGCTCATTGAATAATAATTGGTGTATGTGGTGAACTATGACGTACTACAGTGCAAACTGGTGCATGAAGGAGAGATGAAAGACGCATTTCAAGTGAGGACCGGAGTCAGACGACATTGCCTACTCTTCTCCTTACTTTTCTTCCGGTGGTCGACTGGATTATGAAGACCTCGTCATCTGAGGGGAAGCACAGAATAAAATGGACACTTCGGAATCATATAGAACTCAAAACAACTGTCTGCAAGACAACATCAAAGTCAGAATATTCAATAAGAACATCAAGACCGTTTGTTCTATTGTATGCAGCTGCAACTTGGAGAACTAACACAATCATCATCAAAAAGGTACAAGTATTTATAAACAATTTTCTACTCAAGATACTCAATGTCCGTTGGACGGATACAATCAGCAAGTCTATTGTGGGAGAAGACAAACCGACTTCCAGGTGAGGAGGAAATTAGGAAAAGTCGTTGGATGGGGATAGGATATACATTACGAAAATCAACAAGCATCTGAGTTTTTTAGTATAGATAGATTACTATCTAAACGGTACAACATTTATGTGGCTGTTTGTAGAGTCCGAAATTCTGGAAGTGCATGGGTTTCTCAAGATTACAGATATGCCTTACTGACATGATTTAACCTACAAAAATCATGGTTTTCATAGTTTCACGGTGTTTACCTAAATCCATGTGACAGAATTTAATTATTCTCGTCTCAATCAAAATATGTATAAACATGTAAGCTTGATGTAACGAACGAACTACTTAATTTAAAAGCATTCCATGCCCATTTTGTTAACCTACCCTAAAGTATGTTTATTTGAAGGGGACATAATAACAATTAAAAATTAGATTAATCATTTCAGAAGTGTTCCACAATGGTTTCTAAACCTTGGTTTTCAACGGTTTTTCAGCATGTGTTAATTCATATTGAAAATTGTTTTTAAAGTACACTAATAATTCTACAACGACATCCATTTAAAAAATATGGACATAATCTGTTTTATAACATCATTACCATTACCAATGGTAATTGTTAATAACTGTATCAGTTTGAGTTCTGTTTTATGCATCATTACATTTTAAATTACAATAGTAAAGGAAAAGGAAAGTTCAAACAATGATTGCCAATGATAATAATCATAAATTATTGAAACAACAGAATCAGAATATTAAAATCAAATAATCATATTCAACCTTGTAGGTAATAAGCGTTGTTATATTGTGTATTACTGATTGTAATTAATGATAGTAAAGAATACTTTCAAGTAAAAAAAAGTTAACTTAGTTGTTAATGATAAAAGTAGTGATGATGATGATGATAATAATAATAAAGTAGTTTAATGCAACAATGACAATTATTAAACTTAAATTGAAAATGCAGGTCATTTGAATGTAAACTAATAAAGAATTAGATTATTATACTGTAAATAAAATTGATTACAGAAATAGTGGATGCTTAAAAATCAACAAAATATGTTGATGTAGTAATTATGAAATTGGTTTTTATTACAGACTGATATCAAGAGGATAATATTTAAGAAAATAAAACAAAGGGAAATGTAGAATTGGTTCTTCTCATTTGAGACTCTTTAATGGTCCACACATTATCGGATCGTATGATCTTCTAAATTTGTGATAATTACGATACATCTAGATTATTGTGTTTTGTTGTGTAGTGTGAAGACTACCTACTAATATCAGTCAGCAACTGTTGAACTTCTGATTTCAGAACTCTACCGCTTACTATTCACTTTAACTTTAAGAGTCTGTCTTAAATATGGCCATTAGTGAGAAAATTATAATTATTAAGGTAACATGTGTTGCATTTGTCACTCAAACTAGTTGACATATATCAACTTGATCGATAGAATTCGATAGCGAGTTGTATTCTATAGTAATGTTCACATATACACAATGTCGGCTTGACACCATTGGTTCATTAAATTGTTGAATCAATAAATTTCAATAATATTTATTGCCATTTTGTTTGGATACAGACCCGGGTGAACTCCTACATCGACAATTCACTTAACTGGAACATTATAGACTGCTCGCTTTGTATCTTGTCCTTTTATTTCTTCGACAATCCCTTCTGATACCAATTAACATATGCTCACTGGTGACTGGCTTCAAGGTGTATATCCTGGAGTTCTAGTGGGAAACAGTGACCAGTTGAGTTGTGAGATAGTAACTCACTGATGACAATAGTAGATGTGTCGCTCAATTTCGTGGATTGGTTGAAGTTAGACATTAACTCCGTTGGATATCGGCTCAGTGGTCTGGTGTTTAAGCGCTCGAGGGTGGGACTGATGGGTCTTGGGTTGGAATCCCGTGAGGTGGGGTTGTGGATGTGCACTGCTGAGGAGTTCCACAATAGGATGAAACGGCCATCCAATGCTTCCAGGTTTTCTATGGTTGTCTAGCTTCAAATGATTCATGATCTCAATTATTGAAATTATTTGTATATAAAATATGGAGTGATTAAAGCTTTGTAAATACATGTTTATTAACATATTGTCATTGTATATGAGATTATATCAACAAATTTTTTGTTTGGGAAAAAAACATCGGAAATTTCGAATGATACAAATATTTCTGAGTTTATTTTATCGTGAAAATAAGTATACTACTTTTAGTAAGTGACTAATATATTACATCTAATTTATTATTCTAATTAAGTTGAAATAGTAATTAGATTTTGCATGTCTGTCTATATGTGCGTACATGTAAGTAGCGGTAAAATTCAATGAAACAGAATGATCTTTCATATTTATTTAGTTTATAAAGAGAAGAGAGAAGCATATTTAGAGTAGTATTTAAATGCCAATATTATTAGGAGCTTAATTTTTTTAGAAAATTACATGCATCAATGTTGGAAAACAATAGAGAAGTTAAACGTTTTTCTGTTTTTATAAGCTGTAATATGACATGTTGAAGGCGTGTGTTTTCGATAATGCCGCCAAACATTTGCTTGCTACTTGTGATAGCTTCTTTTTATGAGAGAAAATATACGATACATTACATTATGTACGTAGTACGATTCAGCACTTGTATTTTTCAAGGTATGGTAATTTAAATTCTATACTGTCAGTTATATTCATTTTTGTATTGGTTATTTGGATTTTCCCATTGGCGTTTAGGGCTGCAATAATGCAATATCGGGGCAATCCACACAAAATACAGGAATGCCAATATGAGACTGATCAGTTGAGAAGATTCAAACAATCAATACGAAAATGAATTAAACTTTTCCCCGTTGCACAAACTAGAGGCTGTCTGGAATTAGCAACTAAGGGGATAATGCGATGGAGTTTGAAGCTAACGGTTCTGTATTCGAGTACTAGAGTGAACGTCAACTCTGGGATGCAGGTAAATCTAGCTGACGAGTCACAAACTGAACGAATTTCATGACCTGGATTACACTAATAGGTATTATCCATCACTTCTTCTAAAGTCAGTTATATAATTTATTGTCGTTGAAGTAATTTTGGCAGAGATTAGGATAATTGACTTTCAATCAATAGGTGAAACGTCCGAATTTCTATTTCGTGCATGTCCTTTTTAAGCAGCTGGCTAATACTAATGAAATCCATAAAGATATTGTGAGGCAAAGTTGAATACACTAGCTGGTTCTTGGTAAACAAGCTACATTATAAGACAAAATGACAGAAAACCAGTCAACACAAATAAACAGATTTAGATTTATTTGAAGAGATAACTAAGCTAGAAAGAGAGGTTGTGACTCATTTTAGACTATAGCATTGAAATTGACTGTTTTGCAGATTCAACTTCTGTTGGTGTATGTTGTAGCAATATCAAAGAAACATGTTGTATCATAAACATGGATGACAATGATGACCAAATGTTCTAACAAGTAATTTGGGTTATCCATTAAACAACTAGTCATTAGTGATGACACGATTCTCACTTCGTTGACGGGTTTAATATCTTGAGAGATCTTTGTTTTCGTGTGACATGAATGCCTCAAGTTGTATTCTATGTAAAGTGAGGATAGCTATTGAGTACCGAACAAGAGAGAAATATCTTCAGTGCCTCTTCACTCTTAATATTTCGTAAATCGATATTCATCTGTGGTGAAAAATGACTTAAGAATCAATACTTATCACAAGTTATGTTGGATAGCGAAATGTTTATTTTTTCTGATGTGATATTTAAGATGCTTTCATGAGTATTATTTTGAAACACTTATTGAAGAAAGCTAGATATATATGGATTCAGAGCTATAATATTTTGGTGTTTATCAAACTCCATTTTTCATAAAACTTACTTTGCACCTGGATCATATTCAGCCCATACACGTATGAATTCATCTAAATGATGTGATCCCAGTATAGATGAATCTCTTGTTAAATAATCAAAGTTATCCATAATTACAGCAACAAATAAATTGAGCATAAGAAACGAGCAAAAGAAATTAAATGATACAAAATAAGTATAAGATGCATTGCTTCCACAATTGTTTGATGCACGATTAACACATTCTTGTCCATAGGTACAAGCAAGCATTATTTCTTGCCATGATTCACCAGTAGCACAACTGAAAATAGTGGAAATAAAAATTATATGTATAAAGGTATAGGAAAATTATTATTATTCGGGAATTTGTAGTAAAATACATAGAATATTCGTTCTTGAATTGACAGATGATACATTCCTAGTATAGGTTGAATGATTGATAAAATTAAGGGAGTAGAAAATGGTTAGAAAAATGAATATTGTTATTAGAACATATAGATGAAAAATTGAAGTTTCACTACAAATCAATGTGAAATTTTTAAAACGAAAACTCATATGTCTAATTAAAACCCAAGACTGTAATACAGTAAACTAGTAACCCAATAAATCTCTAAGCAACCAAATAACTATCATTCAAGTAGCTTGGTAATAACGTCTCATGCTGTAACATATGTTTACAACCCATTGAAAGAGTCAGAGCACTCATAGCTGAAGACACACGGCTGGATTCTTGATGTTTACGACCGATGCACTAACGTCAAGCAACCTGTACCACGATGTCAAGTCGTTTCAACGTGTGGTCACATGACTACCTTATTAGTAGAATTCGATTAGATCTAAAAGCTGGAAAATATAATGCTAGTTTCAAATCAGCGACAAGTTAATGTTACCCAGTTGTTATGTGATGAATGTCTCGAGATAGGGCTTTATTTTTAGGGACTGATTCGCATTATCTGCAACGTTTGAAGATTCAGTAACTGAGTGAAACAAACAACATTTAGTCATTTTCCATACCGTAAATGGTTGTTGTATATTACTTACTTACGCTTGTAACCCCTCATGGAAGAGTATGGACAACCCACTAGCATTCTCCATACAACTCAGTCTTCGGTAATCCTTCCCAGTTACTGCTAGTTACTATTCATCCTTTTCATATCTGCTTCCGACTCCCGATGCAGTGTGTTCTTCGGCCTTCCACTTCTCCATTTTACTTCAGGATTCCAAGTTAGCGCTTGCTTCGTGATGTAGCTTGTTGATTTTCGTAATGTATATCCTATCCCCATCCAACGACTTTTCCTAATTTCCTCCTCACCTGGAAGTCGGTTTGTCTTCTCCCACAATAGACTTGCTGATTGTATCCGTCCAACGGACATTGAGTATTTTGAGTAGAAAATTGTTTATAAATACTTGTACCTTTTTGATGATGATTGTGTTAGTTCTCCAAGTTGCAGCTGCATACAATAGAACAAACGGTCTTGATGTTCTTATTGAATATTCTGACTTTGATGTTGTCTTGCAGACAGTTGTTTTGATTTCCATATATTGTTCAATTGTAGGAATACTTCGCTCACTTTGACAATTCTAGCATTAACATCCGCATCAAATTCTCCACGTTCATCGATGATGCTTTCCAGGTACGTGAAATTTTCCACCTGTTCTAGAGTTTCTCCATCGAGTGTGGTCGGGTTGGTGTTCTCCGTGTTGTATTTAAGGATCTTGCTTTTTCCCTTGTGTATGTTGAGGCTTTCTGCTAAAGAGACTGGTGCTACACTATTTGTCTTCGTTACTGTATATTAAAGTTCAGTTTTCAATTAAGATATCAATATAAACCCTAGCTTTTAATAATTTTGTTTTTTTTTTGCATCTAGTACATTGGATACGATGGATATGATGGTAATAGACATTAGCGGATGGCTCTAGTCGAAATTATATTAGTTAAATACGTCTTTGTTTCTTCTTCTAACGTAATAAATCATCATTTGCATGATAACCAAACAAAACATTAAGTTTTAATCAACTTACTTCATATCTATTTCAAAATGTAGATGCTTTATTATCTAAGTTATAATGAATCACTGTTTATCAACCAGTTAAATATTCAGTACGTTATTTGACTGTTTAAATAAAGACATCTTTGTTGACGTCACTAAATAGTTGAAAACCACTTTAAACTAATGTACCAGTAATCAAAATGTATCGCCATTTCAAATCAGTCTGTTCATTAGTTTCTTTGTAAAGATGGATTATAGAATTAAACAAACAATAGCTGGGAACTAACACAACACTAGTTATCACCAAATGATCAGTTTTTAATACTTCAGTATTGTATTATTTTCAGCAATGATTGATTTCATTTTTGTTGGGTTCTTGGTGCTGATCGAATTTTATCGAACAGGTTACAATATAGTCACTATTATAATTGATTAGACGTCGGATGGCCTATGTTTTAATGTTATGTGGTTGAAATCAATTCAGAGGAAATCCTTATCTTAGGTTTGATATTGGTGTATTTTTCTTCATGGATCTTGACTCCACTGATTGAAGAAACGATTGATAATGTCTGATTATCATCATATATAATTAATTCATTGAAATAAAGTAAGAGTGTTTAAATGTCATTTTAAACAAACGGTCTAAATTGGTTGGCAGTAAGTAAGCCATGTTGTTAGGTCATAATGTTATGCACTGATAAGTGACCTAGAAAACCTAAATTTTCAAATCATTCGATACTTAAATAATGTCCGTTACGTTTATATATAACTATGTGATTTTGTTAATATCAAACAATTGTTGTTATTAACCACTTGTTCTATCTTTTAATACTCATTTATTTAGGGCGTTTTGTCAATAATTTTCATCATTCTTCAATCATGATTATGAAATCAATTCATGAGATTGATTGTATTAACTACATCTAAGAGAAAAAATTGAAAAGTTCTCTTCTATCTTGAAAGATTCTTCTTTTACTTTTTGTAAACTGTAGAGATTAGAATAAAAGTGAAAATAATTTACATATTCATTAGAAAATACAAAAAGAACCTGTTGACGAAAACAATTGTTCATGATAAGAATAGATAGAGAAAGTGAGAGAGAGAAAGAGTAAATAATGTGAAAATTATCAATAATTCAAATGATTTGTAAAGTTATCCTTAACTTGGAAAAAGTTCTCATTAGAAATTGACATGAGTTGATATATGAAAAACAAACAGTGCCTATCAAAAATAGATGAACTGTAAGAAATCTGTCAGTGTTCATGTGAAGAAAACAATTAAATTTAATAGTTAAGTTCATGAGTTAATTGAAACTACATCATGATGGAAAACTTGAAAGAACTGGATGGCTATTTCATTCTAGTGTGAAACTTCTCAGCAGTGCATATTCAAGATCCATTCAGTTTCATACTAAGACAAAACGGCCTTCTAGTGTTTTCAGGTTTTCCATGGTGGTCTAGCGTCAATTGACTTAGGAATTTAACTATTAAATTACTATAATATCCACAAAATCTGTTTCTGAAAATAATAAAACGTTTGAGTTTTAATTTTCATATAAATTTTAGTGTATTTTATGTAGACCTTATTTAAAGTAAAACATAACAGGGATTCTCAATATTTGCAAGTCTTATTTAATTCATTTTAAATCTCATAGTTTTAGTAGATCATAACCAAGAATGAAGATAAATGTTAGTTAATACACTCCAAATGAAATTGGATTGATTGTTAAGCATTAACTCAACTAATGAATGTCAAATTTGAAGTCGTAGTTTCGGTACTGTACAAAATTATAAAAAACGAAGCTCCAAGTCATGGTAAAAAAAAGCTACCTAATAAACTTTGAATGCATAACATATGGGTGAGATAATACTTAAGTTCGAAGTAAAGAAATTCGAGATAGAAGAAAGCTTATATTCAAGAGTTCATAGGTAACTATTATCAACTTTGTTATTAGTATGAAGAACAATTTATTTATCTTGAGGTTAGGCATTAACAACATTGGATGCCAGCTCAGTGGTCCAGTAGGTTAAACGTTCGCGCACCAGACAGAAGGCCCTGGGTTCGAATCCCACGGGCGAAATCGTGGATGAGCACTACTGAGGGGCCCCACAATAAGACGGAACGGCCGTACAGTGCTTCCAGATTTTCAATGATGGTCTAACATCAATCGGTTCATGATCTCAATCAAAAACTTGATTATCTTTACAATCCCTATCACATTTTAATCATTTTAAGAAAAAAGTTCCTCAACTCCTACTCACTCCTATTCATCAATTTTTATAAAGATGATAAGATTAGTAACTTCCTCTTTACTAAATAATCAGTGAAAACAAGAGAACACAACATGAATGGTTTTAAATTCTAATCTTTAAGATACGTTACTATAATGCATGAAATATAAAAATACAATCTACAATAATTCATCAGTTTTAATCATTACGTAACTTAACGGATTTCCATACGTTTATAATTGATTGCTAACTTTTAAATGATAAACGGTATCATATAAATTAATGAAGTTAGGAAGAAAAACAACCTACAAACAGAATTAAATTGAAAAAATACCCACCATAAAAGAATTATCAAATACTCCAAATACCCCATACTAACAATTACCATGTGCTCACTAGTGACTAACTTCGTGAGGGAATTCTCGGAGTTCTAGTGGGAAGCCGTGACCCATGGAGCTAATCCATATCGGGTAGAGACAGGTATCTACCTCAGTACAATACTATTTATTCAAATTTAAGGGAATCTTTTAATAAGGCATTATATATATATATAATTATTTAAACCTACCGAAATAATAACAGAACTGCATACGGGAAACTATGAAAATTATTGTAATTTGTAATTTGTCCTTCAGCTTCATTAATAGCTATCGTACCAAATATCTAGGTAAAAATATTAAATTAATGAATCAGTACACTTATCAGTATGTATATTTATAACATGATGATATGATTTTACTAATGGGAAATGAAAAAAAAGATATAATACTCATTAATATGTAATTTAATTATCAAGCTTATTCATTTGCCTAGTATGTTTAAAATTACATTGAGTTTTAATCATGGTTAGTAGCAGTAATATCTGGGTTGTTAAAACGAGAGCGAAATTAGATTACTTTGATCGGCGAGACTCTAATTTAAGGACGACCTTTGAACGAATATTAAGTGACCTTGACAATTATTAGCCAATCAGAAGAAAGTTAGTATAAAGTGAAAATATATTATATGAAAGTAATGAATTACAGTGGATATTCTCCTTTTACATGATTTAAAAACTTGTTAAGATTTGATTAAGGTTCAGAGGTTTTGAATTCACAATGCATATGGAATAGAAACTCGTCCATTGGGTTAGGGTTAGGTTTACGGGTAAGGTTAAGGTTAGGTTAGGGTTTAGGGTTAGGATTAGGGTGCCAACATACGGTTAGGGTTTAGGGCTAAAGTTAGGGGTTAGGGTTAAGATTAGGATTAGGTGAGAGTTAAAGTTTAGGGTTAGGTGAGGGTTAGGGTTAGGATGCTAACATACGAGTTTTTAAATCATGTGAAAGAAGAATATCCACTGTAAATTATTACTTTCTTTTAATATATTTTTACTTTATGATGTCTTCTGATTGCCTAATAATTGAAATTGCTCAAACGCTTCTGATTGGCTCGTCCCTAAATTAGAGTCTCGCCTTTTCATCTGTTGTAACCTCTCATTAATCACCTACTCTCTAAAATCCGCTGTGAACTGATCGTATGTTAGGATCGCGTGTTAAACTTGGCTCCGTGACCTTGAAATTGCTCAAACGCTTCTGATCGGCTCGTCCCTAAATTAGAGTCTCGCCGTTTATTTTAAAACTTTATACTTTTAATGCGAATTAGCCTATTAAATTGTTTGTTATAAAGTTTCAATTCTACCATTTGATACATAGTTAACAATTATAATATTAAGTAGAGTTATACACAGCTATTTGCTTTGGACAGGGAAAATATAGGACAGCCCCATATGTCATTTGAAAAATCCACATACAGTAAAAAGTTTGGACCTGAAATGAGAACTTCAATAAAAACTACATTCCAATATACAGTACTTAATCATTAAATGAACGGGTAAAAAACGTCTGGAAGCAATCGATACAACATAATGAATATCAAATAGTTGTGAATGATCTCAGACGAATATTAGTTTCGAAGATAGATTTGAAGTAGTTTTTATCTACGATTGGTTAGATATTTACTGATAAACCTCTTGGAAAATTTCTTTTAAAAGAATGAATTTATAAGAAACAGCATGTTATATAAAATATACTGAATCTAAACCGTACCTTTGTTGCCTACAGATTGAATTCATATGAGTAGAAATATTTCCGAAATTGTAAACACAAATAAGGATATGGATCAAAAAGATAAGTTCTTGCTCTCTATATTTTATTTTTAAGAGTGACAGGATTATTTTCATGCCGAATCAATAAACAGTGGGTAAATTTAGTGTTATCTTTAAGAGTGTCATTTCCTTGTTTATTTGAAGATGTTTTCATTGTCAGAAATCATGTATTTGATTTAGGTCACCGGTAAAATGTTTCATTTAGGTGACCTACAGGTATTCATGAATAGAGAAAATCATTAATTGGCCTTTAGTAATCAAGCTATTTATTTAGTCTTGAATTTCCTACCCCGAATAACTAGTTGGTCAAAGTTTAAATATGTGCTAGTGGCTGAATTGGACAGTACAACAAGACAAAACCAGCCTTCAAGGGCTCTGTAACTTATTGAATCCTAGAATGATTTAATTTGTAAACTATATAGTTTGTGAATTAGTCTAACTTTCGTAAAGTTTCCTATGACACGTAAATATCATATATGCAGTTCAAAGAAGGTATGAGTCCATGTTTGAGTCTTGAAGCCTGAATGTTCAGAAGTTGCCATTGCAACAATTATTAAATATCCAGCTGTGATGATCTTTAACTATACTTATCAACTTACACTTATTTACCTGTCACTGTATGCGCACTTGTGTTTGCATTTTTTTTCATTATCAATATTAAGTTCTTGAATTGATTAATCAGTCTTTGTAGGTATATATGTACATTGTTTAACTTGTTTTTTATCAATAAATTTATTTATCGACTAACTTCTGGAAGAATTCCCGAACTTTTATTGAAGAGGGTTGACTGAGGAGTTCAACAATATCAAACACCATATAATTTCAATGACAGCCACAGATGATATTTGCAAAAGATTACAAATATAATGGATTCGGAATAAGAGCAGCCTTAAGATAATTTCATTGTTATGAAATCCAAAGATCATAGATTTTAATATTTTGTGGAACAGCGAATATACACTAATGAGTTGTTTACTAGGAAGAGGTAATTACCTATCTCTCAATAGTTTATAATGATTATCGTTCCATGATCTAAACTATCTTAGTTAAAGAATAATAATTGTTTCTCATTTTTAAATACACTTAATTTCCATTACATCATCAAACGTATATTCATTAATTTTCTTCTTACTTTAATCCCATTCACTTCAAATAAGCTTTAATGTATATACCGACAGACCTTTATCTCTCGTAGCTTAATTGATTTGCTATATTTTATGGGGACATATAAACGCGTCATAGCAACAGTACAAATTATATATATAAAGACATGCGCAACTACGTTAAATTCACTTCAAATGGATTATTATTATTTTAAATTGTTTTATTTTTTAATTTAATACATTTAATCTTCCTTTGTTGTATTTAATCGAACAAAGAAAGAGTATGTGTGACAAGGATATTGGCTTCATTGTATTTTCTAAAGCATATACCATTATAATATCTGAGTAGAAGTTTTCTTCTGAAAGTTGTAATTATAATAGTATAGTACAGCTATATATATATATATATATATATATATATATATATATATATATATATATATATATATATATATATATATATATATATATATATATATATATATATATATATATATATATATATATATATAAAGCTACATTCTGTAAAGTTTTATTCAGCCTTCTTTCTTGTTTCGCTACCTAGTTTGCTCTCATCTACAACTTGAACATTGTTACTTCTTCCGGTCACTTATTTCATCTTTGTACATAAAGAGTTCATTCAATTTAAAATTTATAGTGATGATAATAACAATTATGAATATACAGTTAAAGTAAATGTAAACTTTAATTTTTAATTATCATATGTTTTAAAGAGAATTTAGTTGTATTAAAATATACTTCTAGTAAATACTAGTCATTAAGTTCTATTACTAATGTAAAGTAAAGTGGATTTGTGGAAATTTTAAAATGTTTTCATGATAGCTTTTAAACGAATTGATGTCAGCTTAAGAACGGTAAAAAATTAGAGAGAACTTGTCACATGTGTGGTTCAAGTGCCGGATTGATCAAGAGTCACAAGCTGAGATGAAACAGCTATCTAGTGGCTTCCTCTTTCCAGTGTTTCTTGAAATGTTGTGATTCAATAATAGGACCTGTCTTCAATATTGGAGGATTTTGTGATGGATTCTTGACGTTTAGATGAAAAATCTTGACAACAGGAGTTCAACACTGTCGGAACGGACACTACTACTCATAAATGATACTAGACGACTGCCGCATCATATTACGAACTGACTGAAACCGTTAATGTAAACCCTCAGGTGGAAAACCAGTGGTTTAAAGGCAACGCACTAGGTAAGAAGTTTGAACATAATGAGTTCGTTTCGTTGCAGGGTTGTGAATCTGAAATGTTGACGAATCCTATACTAGAAAAAAAGAGATATCCACCTCTTCCTTTTATCTAATTGTTCCTCAAATGATATAAATACGCGGAGAAAATCAACTTTAATTTAATCTAAACTCGAATTATTTGTTTAGAAAAAAGAAACTTAGTCATACTGAGTTAGATACAATGACTTTTAAGTATCATCCGCTGATTGGCCAGAATTAGTTGATTTGATTACTTCAATTAGATTAACTGAATAAATTATTCATAAAATTGGGTCGATAGCTTTTTTTGGCTGTTTATTGAAACAAGTAAGCAAATACAATTCGTTTTCTCTTAGTAAAAACTATGCTGCTTAAGGAAAAGATACCGTATTGGTAAAAGAATAATACAACAGACTTATCAAATGTAAAACTTCTATTTGGCGATAGTTTACACAATGAAATCGTGTTTTTTGAAGAATATGTTCAAATTTAGAGCTGTTTCAATCTACATTTTAAACACTTCATTAATGTTCTAATATACCGTTAAAACGGTACGGTCAGTTTAACTTAATTACTGGAAAGGCTGAAGTCATATTATTGAAAAATTTATACTGTTACTTAACTAAGGTATAAGGTCATTTATCAGATAATAAGTGAGGGTGATCAAGGAGGAAATAGAATATAACAAAACAACCAATGAGTCTTTACTTCTGATAGTTATATCAATTATCACTTTGAAAATTAAAGCTGAGGTTGATCATGTTCTGAATGAAATGTGCTAATTGCTTAGCTTGTTATTTTGATCTTCCTAAAAAACTTAATGTAAAAGCCACTAAGAAACTGAAGTAAACTTACTTGCATTCCTACTACAGCATAAATAAAGAATAACATAGTAATAAGTAGGCAAACATAGGGTAGTGCTTTAAATGATTGAATAAATGTCCATAATAGTATTCTGATTGTATAACCTTGTCTAATTAATTTGATTAAACGAGCTGCACGAAATAGTCGTAAAAACCCCAAGTTAAGAAATGATGAATCCTGTAAATAAAATTTTTAAAAAATGCAACATCACTTAGGATATACAGTCACATGGATTTATCTTATTGAGTAGAGTAATTCTGTTAATGTTGAAATAGACAAAAAATAAAAAAGTATATAATATTTCTGTAGACGTGATAAATAACGGAGAAGTGACTAATATTATATTTGTCTAGGTCTTTTAGTGCCATTCAAATTTTATCGATCATTTTGAAATATGATCACTAATAAGAGTGACTCGGTATGGCATGAGCTATGTTGAGATGTTATGTAGTTGGAGGTAGGCTGTAGGAATGACAGTAAATCAATACAATTTGACCTACAATAAGTTGGTTATAGGTGAATTCAGTTCTAAGAGAAGTAAATTTAGATTTTTACAGTCAAACTGTCTTATCTGTAATGTAAAGGCATCCTAAATTGTTTTGGTTCTAAAAGTCTCTCAAGAGGAAGCTCCATCTTTACAGATTTCTACTAGAACTAGTCAAAAGTTTATAGATGTCATCGTTTTAAAAGTAAATCTTAATATCTCTGTGATCTGAGTAAAATATCTAGGAAAAAAAGTCATCTATTAGGAATAATTATCGAATATGTTCGATCGAACAACAATACGTAATAATAATAATCATATACTATTAATTTAAGAAATAAACTATGTGGACGGTATTACGTTGCTGAAGAATATTGAATTTCATTTTATAACATGTAAATATTTAAATATAAAAGTATAGATTATTTAATTAATAGTAATTTATCAGAAAAGAACTAATGATAATCACTGAATCAGTTACAAATAAATTTGAGACATCCGATCCATATAAACTTTTAGGGTTCTTTGAAGTAAACACATTCATTTTAGTTTTCCTTCAAATCCAAACGGATATACATTCAGTTGAAGAAATAGTTAGTTACATCATCTTCGTTTTATATCGATCAAATTTTTCGAAATATGATTATACTACTGGTATTTAGTTTTGCCCCAGTTTATTTAAGCTAAAATACGTCTCGTTTGTACAGACAAATGATAGTTACATTAAATGTAATCAAATCCATTCATGTGGTATACAGTTAATTGGCAAATGATTTACCAGATACTGGTTAGAACGTACTTGCAACTTAAATCTGTCTTTTACAACATAATTGATCATATTCAATAAACGCTTATGTACGCATCCTAACTATTGAAAGTAATCTTTTTAATTTATTAAGAGTTTTAATTCATTTTATTTTTTGCTTATAATCATTTATCATTACGTATACTTGTCTAAAATAAACTTGAACACTAAGCAAATGCCGAAAAAGAGACAGTATGAAGTGATTTATTGTCAAGAGACAGTAATTTATCTTGATGTCAACAATCAGATGAAATAGACATTAATTACAATTTGCTTCTTTTTCAGTGCGAAGAGAATTTTCATCATATAACAGTTGGAGAACATTTTAGAACCGAAAAACACCAAATAGATGCTTTATACTCGTTTAAAGTAGTGTAAGCCTATCCACTACCTTCACACAAGATCGAATCCAGAGCCATCACTTAACGGGTAAATAAGTACAGTTTACGGACAAAGAAATTAAATTCAGGATGATAACTCTTGGACTTTCGGGAGAAATCTGAAATGCGTTGACGGACAGCTCGTACATTAATAGTAGCTAGGCAAAACCTAGCAATACTGAGTTACTTAGCCGTTAAAAATGGATGAATACGGGTAATGCCGAAGAATAGAGACCGAACTTCACAGTCTTCAAAATGATTTGAAGGTTACAGAGGTTTTATATGAAAAAACCGACTGTTCAAGTAATAACCATTACGAGAATAGTGGAACTTCTATATTTTAGCAAAATGTTGTTATCCTTCCTCAAAGTCATCGATGTAGTATAATAGCTTGAACTGGCTTACGTACGTTTTGGTTCCTAAGCTGCTTTTGGTTGACTGACTGAAGTTTGGAACACAGTTTTTCTATATTTGCAACGGGTCAACTAGACATGTCAGAAATTTAGTGTTGTGATTAGAAACGAGTAAGCATCGTCTAAAATATTAAAACGTTATCAACGAGGTTACTGAATAGTAATAACTACCACTTCTTTTTGATGTTGCTCTTAGCTTTAGGGCAATTCGGTATTCAGAATGATAGTGTGGTTTGTGCTGCCGATGTCGACAAATATAAGCAGTGTATATCATCACTTTAAAGTCAAATGTCTGGAGGCGGAAGGTCAAGAAGACCAAAGAAAAGAGAATGAGTTAAGAGACTGATTGATGTGGAAAGAAAGGAACAATTAAATCTGAGATGATTGATTGACATTTTGCAAATGAATTTTTTACTGTACGGTTCACGGATTTTACTATGTTCTGTAATTTTGTATTCAAGTACATTCGATTGTCCCCACTCGTGTTCTCATTCACTATAATATGTGTTAATTTCAGGTCTCGTATGTATATACATCTAGATATTGATTCCAAGCAGAATGAAATTCACATTTTTAACTCGACCATTAACTTCTGTTTTAAACTAAATCTGCATGTATCAAAAAATATCTTAGGCGAAACCAATAGTCGTTCTATAAAATGTAAAATTAATGGAAATAAGAAAACATACAATTACTTACCTGTAGCTCAGAAACAAGTACATCGGTTATGCTACCAACTACCGTAATAAAATCAAACGTATTCCATGAATCACGAAAATAACTCTAAAAAAGATTAGTAGCTGCTTATTATTCAATGATAAAATTATTTTAGATGAATGAAACTCAGAGTTAGTGCATAATAGGTAGAAAACTATTTCTGTTGTGATACACTACTGTAATCGAATCAAACAATATTTTGTGAGTTAACTCATTGAAAACAGAAAATCTAATTGTTTAACTGAAAGGAATCTATGTCTACAAATTTACTTACTTACTTACTTACGCCTGTTGCTCCTCGTAGAGGAGCATAGACCGCTCATCAGCATTCTCCATTCAAACCTGTCCTAGGCCATCCTCTCCAGCTCCTTCCAGTTGTTCTTCATCCTTTTCATATCTACTTCTATTTCCCAACGTAATGTGTTCCATGGCCTTCCTCTTCTCCGCTTCCCTTGAGCATTCCAAATTAGAGCTTGCCTCGTGATGCAGTTTGGTGATTCGCGCAATGTATGTTCTATCCATTTCCATCGTCTCTTCCTAATTGCTTCTTCAGTTGGAAGCTGGTTTGTTCTCTCCCACAGAAGACTGTTACTGATGGTATCCGGCCAATGGATGTTGAGTATCTTGCGTAGACAACCATTTATAAATACTTGTACCATTCTGATGATGGTTGTTGTAGTTCTCCAAGTTTCAGCTCCGTACAGTAGAACTGCCTTGACATTCGTATTGAATATTTTGACTTTGATATTGGTTGAAATTTGTTTTGAGTTCCATATGTTCTTCAACTGTAGGAATGCGGTCCTTGCTTTGCCGATCCTCGCCTTTACGTCTGTATCTGAACCACCTTGTTATTCGGTGATGTTTCCTAGATATGTGAAGGATTCTACATCTTCCAGAGTTTCACCATCAAGAGTGATTGGATTGTTGAACTCTGTGTTGTATTTGAGAAGCTTGGTTTTCGCCTTGTGTATGCTGAGGTCTACTGATGCAGAGACTGCTGCTACACTGGCTGTCTTCATCTGCATCTGTTCGTGTGTACGTGACAGGAGGGCTAGGTCATCTGCGAAGTCCAAATCGTGTAATTGATTCTGAGCTGTCCATTGTATTCCGTGTTTTCCCTCAGATGTCGAGGTCTTCATAATCCAGTCGACCACCAGAAGGAAGAGGAAGGGAGAGAGTAAACAGCCTTGTCTGACTCCGGTCCTTACTTGGAATGCGTCTGTCAGCTGTTCTTCATTTACGACCTTGTTCTGAAGTCCGTCGTATGAGTTCCGGATAATATTGACAATCTTCTGAGGAACCCTATAGTGTCGAAGAAGTTTCCATAACGTTCTCCTATATACACTATCAAATGCCTTTTCATAATCAATGAAGTTTATGTACAGTGACGAGGTCCACTCAGCTGATTGATCGACGATGATCCGTAGTGTCGCAGTTCGGTCTGTGCACGGTCGATCCTTACGGAATCCATCTTGTTGATCTCGAAGTTGGGCGTCTACTGCATCCTTCATCCTGTTCAGCAAAACTCTGTTAAAGACTTTCCCTGATATTGACAGTAGTGTAATGCCTCTGTAGTTTTCACATTTTCTCAGGTCTCCTTTCTTTGCAATCTTGATGAGGTGTCCTTCTTTCCAGTCCATCGGCAATTGTTCCTCCTCCCAAACCCTTTTGGATAGATGGTAAAGCATGCTTGTAGTTACTTCGATGTCTGTCTTCAGTGCTTCAGCTGGTATATTGTCTAGTCCTGCTGCTTTCCTGCTTTTGATTTGTCTGATGGCCATGCTGATTTCTTCCGTCGTTGATGGATTGACATCTATAGGAAGATCTGTGTGTGCTGCTTCGATGTCCACTGGATTCATTGGAGCCGGCCTATTCAGGAGTTCCTCGAAGTAATCTACCCATCTGTTCCGCCGCTGTTGAATTTCAGTGATTGGCCTGCCTTCTTTGTCTTTGACCGGCCTCTCTTGCTTACTGTATTTCCCTGATAGTTTCTTCGTTGTATTGTAAAGCTGTTTCTTATTTCCCTCTCTTGCAGCTTTTTCCACCGTCGTTGCTAGTTCTTCCACGTATTTCTTCTTGTCGGCTCTGATGCTTCTCTTCACTTGTTTGTTTGCTTCTATGTATTCAGCTTGTGCTTGGACTTTCTCTGCTCGTGTTCGGCTGTTGTTAATTGCTGCCTTCTTGTTCTTCCTTTCTTTGATCTTGTCCAGTGTTTCTGTAGAGATCCATTACTTATGATGGTGTTTCTTTAGACCCAGAACCTCTTGACACGTTGAAGTTAATGCTTCCTTGATGCCTTTCCAGTTGTCCTCCATAGTAGTTTCTTCTTCCTTCAGTAGATCCTGTAAGGCTTGGAATCTGTTGTTGAGAGCTATTTTGAATTCATTGAGTTTGTCAGTATCTCGAGGGAAGGCTGTATTGAACCTTGGTAGTGCTGTTTGTCCTGTTGTCCAGTTCTTCTTTAGCTTCAGTTTTAAATTGGCTACAACTAGGTGGTGATCTGAAGCTATGTCAACCCATCTCCTAGTTCTCGCATCTTCCATTGTCCTTCGGAATTTTTTGTTGATGCAAATATGATCTATCTGGTTCCCTGTGGTGTGGTCCGGTGAGATCCATGTAGCTTTGTGTATGCGTTTGTGTGGAAATATTGTGCCTCCTATGACCAATTTGTTGAATGCATACAGATTTGCAAATTTATTGTTCATTTAATAATTGTCTATACTTCAGTTGTTATGTGTCGAAAAAGGAAATGCATTTTGTATAGCTTTAAAGTTGATTCGAAACGAGAAACTATTGTTTAATGATTGCGTTATATTAACGATTTAGGATTAACAAATATACACGTCACTAAAATCATATAGACAAGTAATGAAGTAAAAATTGACTAAGTAGTAAGTAAAGTATTCGCTTTTCCTTCAAAATCATTATGAATTATGATAAATCATTAACACTTTCATTGTTCGGTGACAATAAAATTAAATGAAAATAGATAACGAACGAATCAATCAGTTTTCATCAAAAATCAGCAACAGATAGACGGCAATCGTCTATTTTGACATCACATGTTTAATATCAGCAGTTATTTAGTAAAATAACAAGAAATGACATAGCCTATTCAGTTATCAAACTTTATTCATATTGATGACATATTCATGTTTTATCATGAGTCAAAATGTTTCGTTTTACGAAAGCCAAAAATAACTTAGAAAGTTAGGTCGGTTTTCTGACTCTGATATTGACTGGAACAGCTTCTTATCGTAAAAAAGCATTTGTCCTCTGAGGTTTCGCATGTCCCTTACTGATTAGTGCTAACCAGCTGCAGCATATATCTAAGGTATCTGTGTTGATTACTTTCAACCGACTGACGATATTAAAAAAATCAGTGTAAATAGTATTTCTTACTTTTGGTCCAAATGCAATTAATTTTAATAAACATTCCATTGTAAACATCGCAGTAAATGCTGTATTCAAATAAACTAGTGTACTACAATAACTTTGATATTTTTGTGTTTCCCAGTCAGGAATGCCCATATTAGCATCTGTATAATCTGGTCGATAATACTAGTAAGGAAAGAAGAGTAAAATACAAATGAAGTATTTATGATAAAATAAAATACACTTGTTTCATATTTTAGAATACAGTATAAATTGATTTGAATGATCTTAATTACAAGAGGAAGATCATTACTAAGTAATAACGCTTATAATCTAATTTGAAGGATTTGAATTAATTGTTCAGCTGATTATTATTTATCATGCTATCATACAAATAGTAGTCTAAAAATTATTAAAACTGATAGTTTATATGAACTGTTCATCATCAAGTGAGCATCCTATGTTTCTCCACGAGTGGTAACAGGCGTAAGTTAGTAAAAATTAGTTTGATAATTGTTTTAAAAAAGTTAAAAAAAATGTTAAGCTCTGAGGAGAACGGCTTCTGAATTAGGAAAATAAACGACAAATGGAATTTCGGCAAAGGTTACGTAAATAACCAAATCTTTAAAGAGAAAGTTAAAAACATAGGAATGGAAAGTATGGACACATTCCTTTTGAGTATATAATTGAAAGCAGAAGGGTAAAATTTCCAACCAAAATTGTTTGGTAATATCATAATCGAGGAAAGTATCATGTTTCATAATGGGGAAACAAATAATTAAGATAGGTCATTATATTCATTTAAGAACAGCTTTTAGATAGAAGCCTCGATCAATAAAAAAATTTAAGTCTCCCTTGTATGCGCACAAAATACCACTTACTCTAACCTTGAATCGGACATGATAAACTTTAATCGATTCTCTTGGTTAGGGTTGATATGACTTCTTAATCTTTTTATTTTATATTACTTACCTCTCTCTCCTTAACATTTTCAATGATCACTTTGTATCTAATTGACCTTATATTTAATTTATTTTGATTAGTTTTCACGATTTGACAAGTTAATTTACAAACGGGTTATCTGAATTATGTTTCACAAGTAAAGCAAATATTTTGGATTAACTCTGTTTGCTTATTACACTATCGAAATATACACTTTAATATATCATAAGTTTCTTCTACATTCTTCTTTTGAACTAAACCTTATTTAATCAAATCATGATATAAATCAAGTTAGTTACTTAATCTAATTTCCTATTTTACATTTGTAATTACTTTTCTATAACTTATATTTGACTTCTATAATAAATTCTATTTTTATTTAATAAATAAATGAATAAATATTGTGAGAAAAACTTACTTTCATCATTAAAATTAAAGTATTTAATGCAATCATTGTCATAATATAATATTCAAATGGACTAGATACAACTAATCTCCATATTCGATATTTTGTTGATGCAATATTACTAGGCATATATCTACATAAAGGTTTTGAATTAATTGCAAATTCAATACATTGTTTCTAGAGAAAAAAAGAATATAGATTATTTTTTCGATTAAAAATAAGTAAAATTTGCATGTTGATATATGTACAGGAAATATTAAGTGTGAAAATGTTTTGTATATATATAACGAAACAAGGTTATTTATTATCATTATAGGGGTTGTGGAGATTATTAAGTTTTTGATTGAGATCATGAACCGATTGATGTTAGACCACCATTGGAAACTAGGATGCACTATACGACCGTTTCGTCTTATTGTGGGACTCCTCAGTAGTGCACATCAACGATCCCGCTCGTGGGATTCGAACCCAGGTCCTTCAGTCTTGTGCGCGAATGCTTAACCTACTGGACCACTGAGCCGGCATCCAGTGACGTTAATGTCTAACCTTAACCAATCCACGAAATTGGGCAACCATCTTTCATCGTAACGCTGTAGATACTTGTCTCTACCCGACACGGATTAGCTCCACTGGTCACGGCTTGGGATGAAATACACTTAAGTCTAACAATTAAAAAAATATCTCAGACTCAAAAGAGATAGGAAGGTACTGAAAAAAACTTTATTATCTATTTGGATTCGAATCCGAATGCTTAAATCAACCAAACAACCAACCAACTAACCAACCAACTTGGTTAGTCAGTTTAATTTAAGTAAAATGCACTGTTAACATGCATATTCTAATTAGATATTTTAATGCTACAGATGGCTGAATTTTTGGGAAATTAAATTCACTAGTCGTTTTATAAATATATATTATTGGTTTTGATTAAAAAGTAAACGGGTAGTTAATAATTTACCAGTATGTTTTCATTAAGAATTGGTGTAAATTTTAGTATGGGTTAAGTGTGTGAATTTATAAAGAAATGTTTAGTGGTAGCTTATAAGGTTAACATTATCAATTGAGGAAGAGTTAGCTACCAAAAAAGTATTGTATGTTTGATTGAGGAAAATAGAAAGATGTAAACTACTTAATATAAATTGATTGAATGAATGGTATTATATTTGTCATGTGAACTAAATACCAACCTATGTAGTGTTAATAACTTGCAAATAGAGAGAAAAATCCTCCCACTAGGACTACCTAACACTTTGGAGCTATCTGCTCTTCAGTGATTCACTGACTGACATTAATTCATGAGGTAGTTATTTTCAATTTATACAATGAAGTATATTATAATCTTGAAGTGTCATAGTGGGTTTTTTCAGAGTTTAAAGTAAAACCAACGTAGTCCGGATCAGATGAAAAGATCATTTTTTTTAGAGATAACCGTACAGGATTTCGTTCCAAATGCAAAAAGACTTATAGAAAATCAAAATAACAGTCATAATTTTTTGCAGAAATTTAATGTCATTGTTTTTCATGATTGAAATAGGTGTCGTAACTGATAGAAATTAATTAACCGGTCATACTCAACTGTGAATTTGTCATAGCTGCAATTATGATTCTTTTTTCAAAAGATGCTTTATCCATACTAGATTTAATCAGACTTAGATATATTGTCGACATTCCTAAATCTATCAAAGTAATAAGCAAATTGATAAACTCTGTTTCATTAAGCTTTCTTGAAGCATTAGCTATTAGAAACTCAGACCCATTTTATTCACTCACAAAAGGTAGTTGTCAACTATCACTATTATAGTAAATTGATATTTTGAGATTAATTCCTCTCCGCATTTTATTCATACATATTCATTCATATCCATCCACTTTAAAACGGTCATTTCATTCATATAACTCCCAAAACTTATGTGAGCTTTTCAAATCTATAGTCACCACATAATCTATCTTATCAGTTTTTGAGTAACTATCCTATATATGTAGTTTTTATTACTTCACTTTTTCAACAACCAATGCCTATTATTAACTATTATAAGTGGTCAGGTTTGCTGAATTTCATAGTCTACACTACTGACTGATTATAGTTAAGCATCAGGGACCAGATCACACTGGACACTTTTTTTAACCCACGATAGTGCTGAAGAGCCTCATACTAGGAAAAAACATTCAACCAGGGCTTTCTGGGTTCAACAGTTAACTAGCCAAGAACAGTTTGCGATAAAAATTATGAAATTACAATTCATGACTGTTACATTTCAATACATAGACTGTTGTAAGCAGTTGTTGAGAACCTATAAAATAAAAAAAATGTATTTATATTATTCCATGCCGACTGTTGTTCATGATTTCTACTCAAATACTAGAGTATACTGATGAGCTCAATATGGTAAACTATGGCTTGAGAAACAAAAAATGATACATGTATACATCATTTACTTGATTTTTATCCAATTCATGATCAACTAATTCATTTTCACCTTGTTCTTGAAATGTTATAATAATTAAAGCTACAAAAATATTGACAAAAAAGAATGGGAATACAATGAAAAATATGATATAGAAAATTGCCATTTGTTGACTATGATCTTCAACTGGGCCATGATTCACCTCTGTAGCATCCATTGAATTCTTTAAAACTCTACAATGAATAATATTTATGAAAATAAGTTATGAAGAGAATGATAAGAACAAGAAAGTACTGAATGAAAAAAACAAAGAGACATACATTTACTCTTTGTTTAGAATACTTTTAATCACAAAATCATAGCTAACCAACGTACCATAACTTTTTTGTCGTCTGTATAGTTATTCTCTACTGTAGTAAGACAGCTAACTGACGATAATATAGGATGGAAAAATTTAGCTTTGAAGTGAATTCATTGGAGATGGAAAACAAAAATCATTTATTATTCCACCAATTATTTTAGTAAAATAATAATATTCATTTTATGCAATACTATATGTTCAGGGTAAATATGTACTCTACAGTGGTAGTACTTTTTAATAGTTAGCCTCGTATTAGGTTTTAAAAATAATAGAAAAGCGCGTAAATATACTTGGTAGATAGGTGAAATTTAAAATAAACACTAAACAAGAAAGACTGCCATCAACAAATGGATGTTTGGACAAATGATAGTTCATATATTTGAGCAAGTCGCGTAATATTGAGTGTATTATGAAACCTGAGTTAAATATTATTGTGTACTTTTGAAGTGTTCAGTACTACAACGAAACACCTTTCCTGTTTTTTCAATAGTTAACCAGTTGTTATCGTTTGTTCAATGCATAACCTTACATTTCTCCATAAATATTAACAAAAGTTAATTGTCATTGAGAAGTGATCTCTCACTGTTTTCATTAAAGTCATAAAGTTAATAGAACTGATCTCTGTACATCATATATCAATGACCTTGAGAAACACATAATGAGTTATTAAATTCAAAGATAAAATAACCAGTCATGGAATACCAAGTACTTAATTTTCTAGTTGTTCTATAGTCTCTCATTGGTTTACAGTTCTTAAACTTTGAACTAATAAACAGTTAATACTTTGAGGTTTGTTTATTGTTGTTAGTTCAGACACAGATATCAAAGGTTTTTTACCATAGCAGATATAAAAATTTCTAAAAAAGTAAGTGTAAAGCTTTTTTTTCCTATGGTTGGTCAACGACATTAATTAAGAAAGTACTGAATTGAGTTAATATTTAGAATTGGCCACAATTGATCAATGACACTTATCAAATAAAATGTTATCTAAAAGACTTGATTTTTGTTATTGTTATCCGTCGCCTCAGGGGCTGAAAATAACGATTATTAGTAACACCTCATATAACCATTATATATATATATATATATATATATATATATATATATATATATATATATATATATATATATATATACTTTTTCTACTTAGAAATCAGTTAAATTGAAGAGTAGCCATTAGGGAATTGTTTAATTAATTAGTCAGATAAACAAAATAAAATAATCAGAATGGGTTTTGTGGAAATTTTTAGAAATTTCAATAGTTGAAATCATGAGTCAATTGAAGCTAGACCACCATAGAAAACCTGGAAGCACTGGAAGGCCGTTTCGCCTTAGTATAGGGGCGGGATCGTGGATATACACTACTGAGGAGTCCCACAACAGGAAGAAACGGCTGTCCAGTGCTTCCAGGTTTTCCATGGTGGTCTAGCTTCAATTGGTGCATGATTTCAACTATTGAAAATAAAATAACGCACACAGTATAATTTAAAGAGACTGAAAGAATTCGCGATGCATTCTATTTTTATATATACTTTTCCATTGAATTCAAATTTCCTATAGATGTATACTACATACCTACATACATGCACACATACACACAGCATTGATAATCTCAAATGTATATAATGTAACTTGTTGTTAATATGACGCATTTTAAGCATATTACTATTACTAGTATTAGTATATATGGTATTTATATCATTAGTGGCAACAGAGATAGTATATTGTAAGTGTTACGAAAAAAAGAAAATACAAACCACATAAGGGAAATGACACAAAACGAAGGGAACAAATATTATGCATGGGTAAAAATAAAAGAAGTAAAGGAAATTCTTTGTTTAAATGAATGTTATGGATTGAGTTGTGTTTTTTTGGCTTGTTGTATTTTAAATAGTAATTACATGATTCGTTTTAAATTGTAAAACTAAACTATCATAACTTCTAATTAAATTGTACTTCTCATCCATTTATGTAACGAAATAAATCCGGCTACTATGACAACAAAATAACTAGTTTAATAGTCAATATAAAATGTGGCGTATTTGAATAGATAACAAATATTTATCGTATAAACATAATGTTTGTGAAATATTGTTTAAATTTATAAATCTAGGTAGTTACAACTATATTAGGATTAATTCACTGATAAGAAATCATTTGTCAATGTGCTTCTGTTTCATTTAAAGTTTGACAACAATCCATTTTTTTGACTTATTAGTTTCCCTGATATATATATATATATATATATATATATATATATATATATATATAAACTTCAACAGTGATCTGCTTCGTAAATGCCTACGATCGGTTTTATTTCATAATATCTTTCTTCATATCCAGATATAATTTGATCTATGAATTCGATAGTAGTCGCCGCTTATTTTTCCGATGAATAGGGAATAAAAAGGGAAAGTATACGAAGCAACTTGACGATAATTCGTGAGTTTCATCGTAATCAAATGGACAACACGTTGTAAACACTATATGATAGTGCGTAAATACACAATTTTGTCATGCATAATTAGCTGAATAAAACAAGTGCAACTAAAAAAGAATAATGATAAATAATGGGCTCTTGGAAAAGTGATGTTTAATAATTTTAAATCACACAGAATTTTTAATGATATAATGTCACGGTTTTGAATTGAAACAAAACAACTGATCAGTACTATACGGCATTCAAGTACTTACCCAGGCCATCCTTCACCAGTTGTCACTGTGAATAATGTTAGCATAGCTGTGATCACATTATCATAATGAAAATCACGTGAACTCCATACTCGAGCTTTCACAACAGGTACTAGACCATCATCATATGAAAAGAAATAACCTCTATGGAATAAATAAATAAATAAATAAAAGACAATGTTTATGTTGTTATTTTTTGTGAACATAAATCAATTATTTGGGGTAGTTGCATAGTAAAACAAGAAACAATTTAAAAACGAATTCGTCTATTAGAAAAGTAACATTTTTAGAGGCAAACAATCATTTGTTTTGGTCTAAATGTATTCGATTCTTCTTGATCTTCAAATGGCTAAGTAAATTAACTTCAAAACACTTGGTTACTGATTACGCGATCATCTTAAGAATTGATATTGTCTATAGCAGTATTAAGCAAAAATTGAAATTATGATCCCTTTTTGTAATTATAATTCATGTTATTTACCATGTTTATATATATATGGAACTAATTACATCCAGTTTGACATAGTTTACTGTGTAAAATTATTACATACCTCAATTAACAAATACAAATTTATGAACTCGAACGTGTATGGGATGATACTATTACTATACTATTACTATTTCAGAATTCATAATGAAATAAATAAAATGGGGTTCGAATGTATATCAGAACAACGGTTGGTAGTCAAACATTTAGCCATCACCGAAGTAACCACTTATGCACTTTTGACATTCTAAACAAATTCACAGAACTAAACTATCAAGTTATATTTAGCCTTTAATTATTTAATAGTTGAATTCATGAGTCTATTGAAAGCAGAGCACCATGGAAAACCTGAAAGCACCGGACGGCCATTTCGTCCCAGTATGGGACTTCTTAGCAGTGTACATCCACGACCCCGATTCACAAGACTCAAACCCAGGACATATAGGTTTCACGAGCGAACGTGTAGCGTTTATACCACCGAGCCGACATCCTACGGTGTTAATGTTTAACTTCAACTAATCCATGAAAGTGAGCGAAACATCCACCATTGTCATCAGTGATTTACTATCTCACAACAGACCCATTTGAGGCGGCATCGTGGATACGCACTGATAAGGGATAAAACGGCCTTTCAGTTCTTTCAAGTTTTTCATGATGGTCTGACTTTAACTGACTCGTAAATTCAACTATCAAATGACTATAATATCCATAAAACCCCTTTTTGGCTTCAATTATCCATCAGAAATTATTTTTATTTATTTATTTTAACACATAAATATTGGTACAAAGAGGCACCAAATATATATGCGCCACACAAATCTCATTCGATATGTGTGGGGGACGTGATAATGCCCGGGTGCCCAGACCGAAGCAGGTGGTTTCCTTAGGAGACCACACCCCGAGCCTTTGACATAACGGTCTGATCCACAGGGCAGTCGAGCATCGTTAGGAGATGCAGTCCCATGGTAGCCGGTGACCGAAAATTGGTTCACATGCCATTTGTTCCTTCAGGATACTGGAGCCCTTGTGCACCATTGGTTTAGAATCAGGGTTTTCCAACTCCCCTAGGTGGACCCTCCCTGTCCACTAATCCGGGTAAAGCGCCGGACATTCGCTTTTCGTCCTCGCAATTTCGTAAACAACAACCCCGCCACGAGAAGGCGGTGAGTAGGACTTCCTTGGCAGAGGCTATATACGCGTGGCCATGTGAGAGCATTTTGAGAGGGAGAGCGGAATCTCCTCACCCTCGGTCGTACCAGAGCATTTGAGAGCATTTATCAGAAAGTGGTTTGTTTTTGCATGTTTTGTTTAATTAGATAATACCCTCAGATTTAAAGAAATGGTTTTTGACAAATAAATAAAATTATAAAATAACCAAGTTCAGATGGTAATTATCTTAGATAATATTATTCAAGACAGTAAGTTAAATATAATCAATTTTAATGAAATCTAATTTATTTAGACATTTGGCTTTTAAGTTGGCTAACATTAGTGCATGAAAGTGTTCAATGGAATAAACTAATGAGTAAAAAATAATCATTTATAATTCTAAGGGGTTATTTAATTAACATATTATTAAATTCTAACTAATTAATAATTACATTCAACCAATATAAGTTATAAAAATGTAATCACTGTATTTGTACAGAATGTTTATGTATTTTCATATTAATTGTTGATAGTTCCATAGTAATGCTAGGGTTGAAGCTATCACGAGTTCACTTAATCTGCGAACAAGAAACAAGACTCAGTGACCAAAGACCAGTAAGCTAACTATTGATGCGTCCCAGCCACGCTAACTAGAGGGAGAAGTCCAAGCTTGGAATGGAGAAGTATATTCTGCAAACAGCCAGAAACGAGCGATAACAACAAACACAATTCAAAATGTACATATACAGCACAAAATTTTCCTTGGGGAGAGTTACCAAATAGCATACTAAAAGACACAACGGACCAATAGCATTTAAGATACTTCCCAGTGGGAAATATGACATGGTGACAAGAGCGCCTTTGGTACGAAAATGAAGAAATTCCAAATAAAATTACAAAATTGGGTCTTTTCCCAAGTGAGTTCTGGGGACCTAACGTCCCCGACAAATAATTAGACAGTACTATAGTGTTAAATAATTCATAAGTCACTTGTTATTTGCTGTAATCATTAAATCCAATTTAGCTTATTTATTAGATCAAAATACTATTTAACTGAACAATGTAGGTAGTTGGGTACTATATGGCTGGGATACATGTGACTATTTTAATCGATGGTTGGAGACTGGGTTATGTTGCTTAGAATCGTTCACAATAATATAAATTCATCTACTCCTTTTCTCTATTTGTCTTTTTTTGTATCTTGAGTTGTAAAAGTATCTTATAAATTTTATTGTATAAATCCGTTTTTTCTTATTGGATTACATATTCCATGGCTAATCTTTTCTGCTTCTACTATTCTGGTATTCCGCTTGATAATTTCATTTTGCAGTGGTTATATAGTTTGGCGACTTGGAACGAAAAAGACGTATGGTGAACTCTACATTGCTACATAACTGACTGGTGGTACTTTGTGATTGATTCTACGTTGTTTCCAGTAGGTATCGAGAGGCTAAAGAAATTGTCAAGAATCAAGAACTGGGAAACAGAATATGTGATTCAATCAAAAAGATTGAAAAAACTCAATGGATGATGTAGAAATTATAATAGTTTGATATTCAGGTCGTTTTAAGATCAATGAGCAGGGTGAAATCGATCTTATTTATCAGTGTGTGGATAGTTACCAATAAATCATGTTGTCATAAGATAATGTAACAAAATATTCAACAGTAGTGCAAATGTATATGAAGACAGTATTACGTTCAACGACGGCAAATCATTTAGAATGCCCTTAGAATGGATTACTTTGATGATCATGAAGTAACTGTATAAGGTTGTTTGGCATTTGAAATACACTCTAATAATATTGTTCATTACAATAATAAAAGCCGAGTTTGTTGAACCATCCAGTGCAAAATGTGTGATACTATAAAAAGCGATAAAACCCTGACGTTTTTCCAGAAAAATGATCTATGTACGATAAAAAAATAAGAGATTTTAATGAACACGAACTTTTTATCATAAAGAGAGGGAGTGCTTGATATCAACCTGTCTATTTCCTTCAAATATCTGAAATGAAGATCATCCAGAAAGATACTGGAGACGTGATTTAAGTACTCAAAGATATTTATAAAGCAATTTTAATATTGATATTGGTTTAAAGTGATTACATAACTTTTAAAATGAAAGTTTTACTATATTCAATTTAAGATACCATACAATTTGTTTAACTGATCAGTTAGATATTGAAAGTCACTTAATTTAATAAAGGAGATACTTATCAATCGATTTGAATGAGTTAAATAAAGACAGTAATTTAAAGATGAGAGTAAATGAAAAAAGAATTTTCAAGTACTATTCAAATAAATTATACAAATAACTCTTGAGTATTATTATTATTATTAATTAAAAGAGATAACATTCGAGACAAATAAGTATATACTACTGAAATATTTAATAATTCATTTCATGAACTTACTGACAATCTTCTTTTGTAAGTTTTGATAAATCATTACAATAGAAAAATTTCCCCTGAAATAATTGAACTGCCACAATAGAGAATATAAATTGAAATAATATATATACAACAAGAATAATGCAAACATTTTTCAATGAACTAACTACACAATCGAATACCGCCTATAAAAGAAAAAAACAAAACAGAAGAGCATGAATAAAATTCAGAAATAATTGAATTATAATTTTTTCTTAAAAATTCTAGTTGATATCCTATGCTTATCATGTAATGATTTATTGATTCATTAAAATTCATGATGCTATGGTAACTAGATTACTGTTACTAGTTTAGTTAAAATAATTTATGAAATTTGAACTAATCCATTTTAGTGATAGACTTCTTCATAAACTAATATCCAATGACGAGTTTAAGGTAAATTATGAACCATTGGATAGTTATATTGTGATTATTAGATCAGTTGAATCTTTTAGTACAATCTACAACGTGCTCCCAAATGCCCTGGTATGGCCGAGAGTGCGGTAGGCTCGCCCTCCCTCCCTCTCGAAATGCTCTTACACGGTCACGCATATACAGCCTCTGCCAGCGAAGTCCTACTCGCTGCCTTCTCGTGACGGGGGTGTTGTTTACGAAAATGAGAGGATGAAAACAGAATGTCCGGCGCTTTAACCGGATCCAAAACCAGTGGTGTACATGGGCTCCAGTATCCTGAAGGAACAAATGGAGTGTGAACCAATTTTTGGTCACCGGCTACCATGGGACTGCATTTCCTCACGATGCTCCACTGCCTTGTAGGTTAAACCTTTAGGTCAAGGGCTCGAAGTGTGGCCCCATAAGAAAACCACTTGCTTCGGTCTGGGCACCCAGGTGGTATCACAGCCCTCACACATATCGAATGAGATCTGCGTGGCGCATATTTATTTGGTGCCTCTTTGTACCAATATTTATGTGTTCAAATAAATAAATAAATAAATCTACAACGTTTGGAAGATCAGTTACTAATGACTATTTTATTAAGGTATTTTATGGAGAGGTTCATGTAGGTTAAGTAATTTTGTTTACTCTATTTATTTTGAAGTAAGTTTTTTTTGGGTAATGTCACATTTTTAATCAATTCATGGTTTCAAATTAACAAATTTATTATATAGATAGACTTATTCATCAAGTTTTCATTTCTATTAATTCATTATATCATTGGCTTTTAGCCTAACAAGTTGATAATACTATTATTATTATTTATCAGGACCATTTTCATAGATCATAAGGATGTTATTATAATAGTTTTACATCATAAGTTGATATCAGTTAAGTGAAGGATTATTGAGCGAACGAAAAATTAATATAATCTGAAGAAGTGACTTACACTAAGTCACAAAATGTTAGAAAATTTAATTTTTCTACTTATTGGGATATTACAAATATATATAATTTTTATTTATAATGTATAATAGATTTTCAAATTGTTTAAATACATTCCAAGTGATCTTATTGAGAACTATGTGGCTTTTACAATGTTTTGATGACTATTGAACTAAAGAATATGAGTCTGATGATTAACAGACATATTGTAATTCATTGGTGGTTAAACTTTGACATGAACTTATGGGTTCAATGAAATCAATCTAAATGTTTCCAGTTCAATAATAACTTTTGATTATAGGTATGCATTGTGATCAAGTCACCAAATAGTATAAAAATCCAGTTTTTTAATGGTTTTTAATACTATGTATTAAAATATCTTTTTACCGATGGATACAAAGTATCACTTTTCGAAATCAACCATTAAACGTTTTCAAAGTTTAAAAAAACATTTACTAGAATAGAAACTGTTCATAGCTGAATGCATTTATCATTGTTATGAGACCTAGTAAACTGAATCAATTTTAAGTCGACTATTTTTTTATATACCGAAACTTAAAATCAAACTATTCGGTAGAGCAAAATCTCATCTCCTATCTTTTTTTATTTAGAAAAAATAACGACTGAGGCGTTTTTTTTCTAATGAAATATTGAATATTATGATATTTAATGTAGGTTTGTTTATCTTTGATTAGAAACTCTGATGCCTATCATTACACATGAATTAAGTTTAAGCATAACACATGATGGAAAACACTTAGTAAATGTTAGTTTGTATTTAGGCTATTCAAACGCTAGATATATTCTGAAATAAGAAGTTAATCTAATTTGAAATTTAGATTTTAAGTTGGATTGTGAATAGTTTTTGTTAAAGGTAAATAAATTTCTTTTGTCTTTTATTCAACAGGTAATAAAACGTTCTGGGGGAGTTTTTTCTCCATGAATTGAGCCAATTTTATTGGTATTGACTATTTTCTAAATTGTGTCATTTTATACTTAAAAAAAGTAAACACATCGATATTGGTCAATGCTTCGAATAAACTAATTTGTTTTTGAATAAATAAAATATACATATGACCTAAAATAGTATCTAAAGAGGTTATGTTCTAAATTTATAATATATAATAAGGTCTATTAATATTTTGCCTTTAAAGCATAGAAATAAACTTAACTAATAACTCATTTGTGATATGATAATGTACTGGACAAAATAAATTGAATCGTCTGCACTCAATCACTTCGATTAAAGATATCTGTAGAGTTCCAAACTAAGACAAGACGATTGCAAAATGTTCATTGTCTTATTAGCTAGTTTAAGTCCATCAAAAACTACTTTAATTACCTTTCTCAACTGTGAAAATCCTAAACATTCAGGGTCTGGCCTCGATTAGAAACATTGAATAGCTGTTTCACTTTAACATGCTACTTCATAACAGTTCCTAACTAAGGCCCCACTAGAAATCGAACCCAAAATACTCAAGCCTTGACTTGTGTGCTTAAGCTCCAGACTATTGTATCTGAGTCAAGTAAATTGGATTTCTTAATCTAACTAATTCAAGATACTGCTGAACCATCTTCCATTTCATTTTGTGAATAATTGACTGACATCTGACATGCTTGAGATTCACAAGTTCTTAATACTTATAAATATTCAGTTACTATTAGTATATATAACTGTGAAAATTAAATCAAACTTACTTTTAATTTCGGTACTCTGCGAATGGTTTTTAATGGTCTTAACACTCGAAGTACACGTAACGACTTTATTGTACTCAAATTTTTACTTGGTAATGGAAAGTAAACCAACAAATGAAAAATGAAAAGGCATCACAAGAAAGAAGATTAAACAAATAATAATGTGGATTGTTATTAACATCAGATATTCACCCAAATATAAGATAGAAGTTAATTAATCATCCAGTTAATTTATGTATAATGTTGCATGTTTTCGTTTGTTTGTTTTCCTTTTTAAAAAAGCTTATCGTTTTAGTGATTTGATTGCAATATCAACTTTTATTGACATTAATTCTTCTAAATAATCAATTAATCATTTACTGTCAATCACTGATTAAAAACTCACAATGAAGGAATAAATCAATATTTGAGTAACTAGATTGTTTAATAAAAAAATCTATCATGTGGCTACTACTTGATTGGATGTAATTTTCGTTTCAATCTATATAGAAATAGTTACTATGACATTATGAATATCGCTATTTTCTTACTTAAAAGTTTCAATTAAGTACTGTTTGTTATAAGATTTTTCGACGAAGGATATAAGGAGTAAGTTTTTGAGTTATTGGACTCATTTCTAATGGTTCTAAGTTGTTCTGTGAATTCACTGGGGTTAGTACAAATTGACGTTATATCCGGTACCTATGAGAAAAGTTATTTCATTAAGGGTGTAACGTTCTCAGTACAGTACATGATGAGCCTGATTTCATTCTCTGAAGCTATCGTAATTGCGGATTGATGAGAAATTTAATCAGTTCGGTATTGTTGAGATTTCAGGTTTAGATGGCTTAATTGCAGAGATGTAATTGACGTTCTGGACAGCATCTTCACTTACCACTTCAGAAATAAGTGAGCTTTTTAATTATTCTACAAGTTTCATATTAGTTCATCTGATGGTTTGTCTTTTAAGGCATTTTCACTCGTATTGATTTTTTTCCAAATATCTTTCACATGTATAAGTAACAATAATAAATCAATTAGTTATTCAATAAAAATGAATCTTAATGTGGTGTGTGTTACTGATGTCGACAGATATGAGTAGTATATATCATCAATTGAATGTCAAATGCTTGGAGGCGGAAGGTTAAGAAGATCGAAGAAAAGAGGATGAAAACAGAGGGTAATCGGTGTGAAAACAAAGGAACAATGAAGTCTGAGATGATCGATTTACATTTTGCAAATGAATGTTTTACTGTACGGTTCTCAGATTTTACTAAGATGTTCCATAATTTTGTGTTGAAATATATTCGATTGTCCCCACTTGTGTTCTCGTTCACTACATTATTATTTGTTGAAGGAGGATTGTTACACTAAAACAGTAATCAGTGTGGTTGATTTTTTAGTCGATTTACTTATTTTATTATCTCTACAAAAGCTGTATCTCGTAAAAAGGTTTTATGATTATTTAATGATCATAGTTCTAGATTAAGCGTTTGGATGAATACTACTATATTTTTATAGTGAGACATACATATGAAAAAAAGGATCAGTTAAGTATTTTCTCAAAAAAGGGCCTTATTCTAAAATCTTTCGTAAACACTTTAAACTATCGACACAGTTTGAATACAGAATCTCTTGACTTATTCGAACTATCTAGTGTTATTTATTGTTTAGCAGACGATGCATATCTTACACAGTCGTAAATTTGTATTTTTGGGATAGCTAGATCCAAGTGTTAATTTTAGTCGTTTCAAACATCCGCCGGCGAACCTTACCCATCGATATAAGTCATTTATCAATTGCAGGTTTATACAACAAGCTATGAACTATATGTTCAGTTTATGATTGCTTCTGATACTGTCTAGCTATCCAGACTGAAGTAACTTAGATGAGATTCAAGCTAGTAATTTGACGGTTAAAAATCGATTATCCTAACTGCAATGAAACCTGTAAAATATTCATTCAATAGACATTCAGTTATTTGGCGATTTATCAAGAAACAATGACAAACTTGTGAAAACCTACAAAATATATTTTACGATATTGGCATTTTCCCCTTTTGTCATGTTTATACAGGCATTACATATCATAAGTTTTCTTTATTCATTTCAAGAATCTATTTAGTTTATATTTGAAAAATAATTCAGTAAAAGTATTCATTAATTTATCGTTGAGTTGCATTATATTAATTTTTGTTTGTCTACAAACGTTAACAATGGAAGCATTTTCAGTCAACCTACGGGTATCACTAATTAATCGTAAGAGACCATAATGCCAACATAAAATATGGTTGACGGTTGTTATCATATTAAGTTTGTTACCTTCCGTAAAAAACACATTAAAATGCACAATTAATACATGAAATAAGCTTGGAACGTTTCTCAATATTCGACCAATCAATGATTATTAAATTTTTATAATTATACCCATATATTTTTATCAATAGAGATCAGAAATATCAATCACTGGTGGATAATTGTCAATCTTCAATATATGATAGCGACTTAAATAAAACTAGTTAATTGATTAAATCAATAAAAGCACTTTAATATCCTACTTTGTATTGTCAGTATACAATGTTTCCTCAAAATATTGTAACATAGAAAACAAATATGAATCAACTTAACATCATACTTACCTACTTCCATGTCCAGCTCTACCTTTCAAAGTATAAGCACTTCATTAAGTATTATACAGTTGATGAGGTTTCAAATCGAAATTAAAAACAAAAGTGAAAGGGAGAGATAGTAACGAAAAAAATTAACATGAAACAAAACTTTAAAATACTGATTATAATCTTGATGATATGGTTAGTGAAATTCGTAGAATAAATAGAAAATTTATTTCTATGAAATGTTAGCTAAATTTGGATTTCAATCAACTAGGTTAATTTGGGTAATGTTGTTTTGTTCTCCATATATATGGCCTTCTATATGTGATATCAATCGATAGGCGTTGATTGACTTTTTTGGATTAGGTTTACAATGTGTTTGGGATTCCACTGCTTATATATTAATTGAAAGCGATTGCATGATGACTTTAATCTATCACTCGTGCTTGATAATATATGACAGCGAGATATAGTTTGAGTTTCATGTTAAAATAATGTTATGTTTAGGAGAGTTACACTAACTCTTCTTATACAGTTACAGGTTTCCGTTTGTAAAATTGGATTAATCACGTTAAAAGATCATTAACTTGATTTAACATTGATTTTAAGTCTTACACAACTGAAATCAAGTAGGCTTCGTGATTTGTTTATCATCAAGTATGTTAAGACTAATGTTGATTATCGATGAATAAATTTTTCTTAAGTAATGTATTCCTTTAAATATGACTGGCATGTTAAGTAATGATATATCCTCAGTCAAGTATTAACCTCACTGATTTTAGGTAGTTGGCGGTAATAATCGGGAATCCGCAAACCCAAATTTTGTTCCATTTGAAGATTATTGATAAGGTGTGTTTGTGGTTCACTGGGCTACAGTCAGAAATGTTATCACTGAGTTTTTTGGTTCGTGACTTACCGGATCTCAAATGCAGTCAAAAATTTAAAAATAAAATTTAATTTCAAACTAACGTCAACCGTGGCAATAGTAAAAGTCAGACAGTTATGTACAGCTGTTCTACATCATTTAAGGTTTCCTTGGGAGTGCATAGATCCACGATTTGAAGTGAAATAGAGCATGAGACCTTCAAGTCTTGTTAATGTATGATACCTTTAAGTTATTGAGTGTTATTGAGTATAGCCATAACTAGTAGTGACTACTATATCGAAGGTAAGTTTTTGTGTTCACTTTGAAGCCTAAAAGTTCTGGTTTCGATTCTGCGCATTTGTTAGTTAAGGTCAATTGTAACGTTATTGATTTTTAATGATTCTCCTCTTATGAAAACAAACTTTAAATTATTCAGTCTCTAGAAACATGTCATCCTATTATAAGAAAACCTTATATTAAAGTTAATTAGCATGACATCGTTTCTATTGAAATGTTCTTCGTTCAACTTACCGAAAAAATGATATTAACGCACCGATCACTACAGCAGCATCCAATAAATTCCACGTATCACGACAATAAGAATATGGGTGTAGAAATACCCCGAGATCAATTAACTGTATATAATTACAAATTATAAAATACGAGAAATATGCTGATATCTAATTCACGGTTAAAATAAATGCGATCAGTCATTATAAACAATACCAGTTTCATGGTTTAGTAATACAACTAAAAAGTATTGTGAAATGTTTTATAGTAAGTTTGACCTGTTCAGCATTATTTTAAATTTAACTATTAATTAGTGCAACTCAGTGACAATGAATTAGTCCATGTCCTCGTTCATGGAGCATAATTTTTCTATATGAAGACAAGTGATAATATCTGGCTGTTAAAACGAATGTTGATGATATGAATGTGAATTTTTTTACATTTACCCCTAGCCCATCGCCTTATGTCTGTATCCCTCTTTTACCAACAGGATTACTGTTTCAAAAGTCATAGAAATACCTACATTTGGATTAATAAAAATAGTGTTTTTTTACTGTTAGTGGAGATAATCGATTCCAGTCATGTGATAACATGTCTGCTAAACAGTGAGGTTGAATATACCTTCAGAAGGATGATTGTTGGTGTGGGGTTTCTGGCGAAAGCAGTTCATTTATCAGTCAGAACCTTATGGGAATGAAACCTTGATGAATTTTATATTCTGAGATAGCCATCGAAATGACAAGCATTTTTGATGCCGAATACGTCTAGAATGAAGGGCCATGTCAGATAAATTTCCAAGAAACATATTGAGTTTTTCAAAATATCCTGTAGTTAATATCATAAGCAACCTGTTAGTTGTGGGTATGTCTTCTGTAGATAGTCACTCAATTTATGATTTAAAAGCGGTAAGTAAATGAAGTGTAAACTTTTAATTTGAATATCTAAACCCAGGTCAATTATGTATACGATATTGCAATAATGCTGCATATTCAAAGGCTTTTTAGACCTTTGTATTTCATTTTTTAACAAATTTCAATAAAAACTGATCCTTACAAGCTTAAATGCTGAATCATTAAAATTTTTCACCAAGTGATAAATAGTTAAAGGGTCATTTTAATACCAATGCATCAAAGTTGATTGTAGGACACTTTTCATGCTACAATAATTGACCGGACCCAGGTATCTACACTCCCAGATGGGAAATTATAAAAAATTGTTATACTTTTGATGACCTACGTTTCTGGTTGTAAACTAGTACATAAATACAAAATGAAACCATAAAAAAATACCCTGACAATAATCACCATGATATGGATTGCATACTTACAAACACAATGTGAAAATTACAAGTTGGTAGTTAGAACAGGTGTATATTAGTAATGATAAGAATAATGAAATGATAAAAAGTTCTAATCGATAGTTCGATCTAGAAATTACTCTCATTATGATAATTAACTCATAAGTTACCTAGACTGGTTTACTATTTTCATATACCCACATAAATGTTCATGTATACTAGAGTAAAGCTTAATGAGGACCTAATTAGTTCTTTTTATATTATGAGATTCTTTGATATTTGTCAAGTTAATTTTGTTTTAATTTCATTTAATTCATTTCATTGTGATGTTTTTCCGAGACATACTTAAGATTCAGTTGTTTTGTGCAGATGGAATGTTGAGTATATCAAGGCATCATGACCTTAGTACCTTCAAACATCTTTTACTTTTGAACCACATGTGGTAGAAATAGAAGCTTGTTAAAGTAGTTTCGTTAAATGAAAGTGCAGTTTTAGAATTAGTTTTACTGTATGTATTCACCAACGCGACTAAATATAAATCCTAAATATGTTGTAGCAAATAAGACAAATCTAGGCCACTGAGTTGGGATTTCTTAGTTCAAATTTACAATTGCAGTCAATACATCAATATCATCTGTTGTTATTGGTAATATTAATCCTAATTCAGACTCCGTCGAACCTCATAAGTCAGTAGAACGTCCGGAATATATCTGTAAGATGGTAACTAATGCGTTTATTCAAACGGCTTAATTATTATTGAATTTCACCCTGGTTTTTAAGACATTGAGTGTCGTGACTAACAGAAAGTGTTGGAAAGGTCATACGGAGTACATGTTTTCAATGTTTGATATAGTGTGTATTATTTAGAATAAATAAAAATTATTATGACAAATTTGATCAATTCAGTTTTACTAATAACTTGTTGGACTGACTTCTGGATAAAACAATAAGCTAAGCCAAAAAATTAGCCACTTCAAACAATCATTTCATCTACCCTTTGGTCCCGACATTCATTGAGACCTATACAACACAAGTACAATTACATTTTAATCACTATTTATTCTCCTAAATTATAGTTAGTTTGATTTAGTTTGCACTTTAAGTCTAGTAAATATAAATAGTTAGCATAAGACTCGTATAACCTTTATCCTACGACCTTTGGTTACACGTGACACACTAAAACTATAAAGAATTAACACAGGTTGAAATCATGAGTCAGTTGAAGCTAGACCACCATTGAAAACCTCGAAGCACTGGACGGCCGTTTCGTCCTGGTATGGGACTCCTCAGCAGTGCGCATCCACGATCCCGCACCACGCGGGGCTCGAACCCAGGACCTACTGGCTTCGCGCGCGAGCACTTAACCACTAGACCACTGAGCCGGCATTCAACGGTGTTAATGTCTAACTTCAACCAATCCACGAAGTTGCGCTACCGTACACCATTGTCTTCAGTGAGTTGTTATCTCACAACAGACCGGTTGAACTCCACTGGTAACGGCTTCTCACTAGAACTCATGATTTCAACCTGTGAAAAATTCTAAAACTCTCCACAAAACCCATTCTGATAATAATCAACTGCTCATTAGTGACTGACTTCAAGAAAAACTCCTGGAGTTCTAGTGAGAAGCCGTTACCAGTGGAGTTCAACCGGTCTGTTGTGAGATAACAACTCACTGAAGACAATGGTGTACGGTAGCGCAACTTCGTGGATTGGTTGAAGTTAGACATTAACACCGTTGGATGCCGGCTCAGTGGTCTAGTGATTAAGTGCTCGCGCGCGAAGCCAGTAGGTCCTGGGTTCGAGCCCCGCGTGGTGCGGGATCGTGGATGCGCACTGCTGAGGAGTCCCATACCAGGACGAAACGGCCGTCCAGTGCTTCCAGGTTTTCAATGGTGGTCTAGCTTCAACTGACTCATGATTCCAACCTGTGAAAATTTCTAAAACTCTCCACAAAACCCATTCTGATATAAAGAATTAAGTACATGTGTGGTAGAAATAAAACAGATCGGAATCAATTATTCATATCCTTAAATGGTTAGACAAGTTTATTTCAAACCTTGACCTCATAAATCTTGGATTGTTCTAATTTTGATTTCTTTGAGTTAAATTATCGTAAGGAAAATAACGAGTATAATCTCTTTGCAGTGTACACCTTAGTACTCCTTAGTATTGCTCATTCATGAACTCGATATGATTCAACCCTAGGAATTCGAGATCGCAGTGAGAGCGTTTAACTTAGAGTACAGAGATATCATATAATCGTTTGTATTCCAACTTCGGTCAACTTTACCCATTTGTAAATGTGATCATAGTTCTGGTCAAATAACTCAGATTTTTCATTTCAAGTGGCGAGCTTTTAAGAGAACTTTGTGAATACAATCAAACTTTTTAACTTGAATTATCGAGTGAATTGGTTTAAAAGTTGGTTTTCATATAACTTTATCAACAGCTTCTATGAACTAAAGTACCATGAAAAATTAGGGAGTATTAAACAGAGTTTTGTTCTAAATCAAAACTTTTCATTAATGTATCAACACGACCATTATGTCAAATCAAACACAAATCATTCAGGCTTGAATAGCACACGGTGACTATCAAATGTATTATTCGTTCAAGAAATAAAAATAGGACAATATGACAATAAGAGATATTTTTTATATAATTATACCGTAAATATTTAAAATTAACATCTCGTTAATTTTTATTCATGAACAACACTCATTCCAAAACTACTACGTTGATTCACTTACCTTCAATAACATTTCAATAGCGAATACACATGTAAAAGCGTGATCGAAATATTCTAATAAACAATTTCGTGTACTATTTTCACTGACTGGATCTTCAGCAGCTAATGCAAGACTACTTGATACAATAACAATCATTATGAATAAATCAAAATAGCGTAGATTCACTACAAAATGACAAAATCGACGAACACTAATAGGGAAATAAAACAATAAAAAGTCATTTGTAATACATCGATTGAATTTCGAATTTCTCAAAATAATATTGAAAATTAAGTACTGAAGTCACTCACTATATTTGGAAATATTATATGGTAAAGTACGAATAGTTATTTCATAAAACCATGTGTAGGCTCAATCATACTCAAAATACAGTTAACTGATCATATGTGTGTGCTTACTTTCCTTCCTTGGTTTCATAAATTCATATTCATTACGACATAAGTTTTAGAAACCTATAGAATTTCAATAAGACATATTACTTACGATTTTTATACTGCAACTAAAGCTGAAGTGAAGCTCTGCACAGATTACAGTCTTTGTACTTCACGAATATAGCTCATGGAGTAGTGGAAGATTTAAAATAGATTAGAAAATCATTATCTTTAGTGATCATTGCTCGGACTTGGCAACTACCATCAGTATGAACTAGTAATGAGTCTTTCCTATTGGATAGTTATAAGCTTTTCAATAAAATCAGTAATAATAGTTGAACCAAACTCAGTTGAGAGTAATTGAAGCCCTAATTTAGGTGTACACAACAAGTCATCGTTTTCATACAAGGTATTGTATCTGTTGAGTATTTAACTGACTTCTTAATTGCCACTGAAAATCGTGAATCAGAATATTCAAGTAAAAAGACAAAGACAGGTGAAGGTTTATCTAACACGAAATAAATCAAAATGATCTCTAAAAATACTAATTTCTATATGAATTATTCACAGCCGAATTTGTATAATTTGAATTGAGTAGTATCCAACATTAAGTATTTGATAAATAATGAACTAAATAATCATTAATCATTTATGACCAACAGATATACGAATATGATTGCTCGTTAAAAAAATGATTATCTGAACATTTCTTATTGCATAATCTTGTAATCCTTATGAATGTTACTTCAGTGTCTGTATTTTTCTAATCATTGACCTATTTCTCATTATGTAACACTGATTCAAGCCTTTATTATTCTTATCTCAACTAGTGCATCTGTCATCACACAACCGATTTGTACTTCTCAATTATTATGTTTATTTATGTAATCTGTTCCACTGTCATTATTAATTCATAAACTGCCTTGATTGATTTAATTATTTCGTATATGCATATAAATATTACTGTATATTAGGGTAAAGCTTGATGAGGATCTAATCGAAAACAATAGTGTTCGCTTATATATGTTCTCCTAAAATATGATTAAATATCATAGACAATTGGTAAAAGAAATCAATATCATATATCATTACTTGTAAATTAACTCTCTGCTCATAATATTACATAGAACTTCAAGAGAATTGTATAAATTTTACCTTACAACCGAATTCATCAAATACATTTTATGGGTTGCGTAAAAATGTTATTCATTAATTTCAACAAGTGTAATGATTGTAAAAGAGTCGATCAAAAATGATTTAAACCACATTGTATTTCAAAATTGTCTGAATTTTTTAATAGAAACTTAATAACGTACGGATTTGTTGAAGAAAATATAAACATTGAACTATAAGGAAGCATCGGCTTGCCATATAATTGATGTTGTGTTTGAGACTCTTGATTTGCTTGTGTTTCTTGCTCTCTACCTAGTTCAATATCTGTTTGAAATTTTTGCATTGTACTATCTGTAAAACAAAATATCTAGTTGTATCAATATGGTTACTGCGTGTAAAATTAAAAAACACTATTAGATAATTATGCTTATAAGGTACAACATAAATTAACATCTGTTTTAAAATCATATAACGTATTTAATGTTAATTGTTTATTTGCTGTTAGCTAGTGAGAGAGTCTGCAGCATAAATTTCCATCTGTTTTGAGGTTGTCAGACTTATGTGTACCGATTCACATGTTCCAAGAGAAGTTGAATCTGTCTTCACAGGTTTAATTTCATAGCGTCATCATACTTAGTATCAGATAATAAGAACTATCTCTCATTTAGTAGCTATGACGTTTCAGAATTTCACATTAAATGATTACTGCTTTGATTTTTCAGTCAGAATTACTTTGACAATATTACATTTTCATCTCTCTTACATTTGGTAGAATTTTGTGTCCTACTAACAACTCTGAGATCCAGTAATTATGAATCTGAAGAAATTACTAACAAGGATAACTAGATTTGGTTAACTGACTAATATTATGCAGAGATATCATATCTATACTTTGTAACATCCTCTTATATTCTGTTGACCTTTTTCTAGTTTCGTGCATCTTTTAACAAATTTTCTAAGTTGATGTATTTTTCGTAGTTCACATAACGGGTTGATCTAAATTAGACAGCCATTAAAAACCTGGAAGCACTAGTAAGCTGGTTCGTCTTTTGTATGGGAATTCTCAACGGTGTGCATCTACGATCTTACGGGAGATAGAAATCAGGACCCTCTGGTCCCACTGAGTGGGCATATTTTTTCATCGATTATTTTTATGAATAGAACAGTAAGTGATGTTGGGAGATAAAATCTGTGCTGGATTACATTGACTCTCGTTACACCGTTAGGAGAATGACGGACAAACTATTTAAGTAAATTAATGTCTGAATCTACGACGGAAGGGTGATCTAATGAACTCGCAAGACCTATCAGTGATATGTCGACAGAACCGAAGTGAACAATCACACTCTACTACTTTACGAAGCATTGAGTACTCAAAATAAAAAACAGTGAAAAGAAGTATGATGAATAATACTCTGGTTCATAAATATAATTAGGTAGCCCAAAGAATTTTAGCTAATACAATATCTCGTCGCTTATTGTTTATTCTTGCAGAAACCTACTGGATTGTAGTCGTGGTTGAAGGTAATCGAAAAGAAACCATGATTTCTTGCTGTTTGGTATTCGTCAGCAAAGTGTATCTGTATTCTTGAGGAAACTGATGCTTTGTGGTGGATTTGACTCCTTGTTATCGATCTTCACATTAGAAAACATTATATCTTATTCCTACAGGAAGTCAGTTACGACCCTGATAGCTCAGTTGTAATTTCCTGTCAACTGCCTTCAACCACCACCTTACATCTCGAAATAAGGCTTGCGATGTCGAGTTATCAAGACCAGTAGTCACGTGGGAACTTGATCGATGAGATTCGATCTTTACTAATAAGGACCTGATCCCCATGACATTTATCACTACCCAGTGAGTAATCAATCGTGAAGAAAACGGTGTGGACAAATTATTTATTTTGTAAGGATGCTGTGGTATTTGGTAGGCGAATGCGAAGTAATAAATGAGCCTAGTTAACAGATCTTAATTTGATTGAGCATTGAAAGACCTAATATATGAAAATGTCCCGGTTTTGTTTACATTGGTGGATTTTAATGATATTCATTTTGCGTTAGTTTGTTTGCATACTTGTATTTAATTTTACAGAACGGTTCATATTTTTGTAATGATTTATTCGATCATTTTGTATTCATTTACGAGAATATCACATCAACGATTTCAACTTTTGTGAGCTTCAGTCCCTTAGTTATATTAGTTATGCTTATTAAACAAACTAAATGTAAATATCACAATCCATACAATTTTGATCTATTCTTACACAATAAATATTATCAATCATTCGTTCCCCATCTGTTATCTATTTGCAGTACTCTCTATTTCTGATAGAATTTATTTTACATGTCATTTTATTCTTGAATTTTAGTTCTTAATCAAAAGTACCGAAATTTACTGTAATTTATATATTTTGCTCACATGACAAACACAGTTATCGGGCTTTTTGTCTTCTTTTAGTGTTATGCTTAATCCAAGCAGTAAAATACTGAAGTGACTGATCAGAATAGATACTTGGCTGAACGTCTAATATCTCTAACAAATCAAAGTATACATATATATATATATATATATATATATATATATATCACAGTAGTCATTAAGTATCCAGTCCATACACTGTGACTCCGCCTAATAACAACGAATACTTTAAGACGAGCATTGATGCTCACAAACCAATCTATGTGGTCACAGTTCTGTTCAGTTTACCTTTCCAATATTGAATAATACGGGGAATATGCTGTATATTTAAAAAAAGCAGAATTTTTATAGTTATTTATGCTTAAACAAACCTCAGTAATTAATATGATAACATTTCAAGAATATTTACTTTCAAGCTTAGATAATCATTATAAACTAGTGTGTTGGCAGATCAATATTTTTTTCAACTAAGAATTCTCTAAGAATAACAGCAACAAATGACAGTAGAATAAGGAAACACTGGAGATAAAAAAAGATTATAATAATAAACTACCTTTCTATTGTAATTAATTCTATAGAAGATGAATTGTCTCTCTCTTTATTCAACGGAAAAACAGTAAACAGACAGTTTTTCCTTTTAAAAAAATATTCTGTTTTTACTACAGAAAAGTTATATAAGGATAGATAGATCATCAAAGTAAATATTCTGCGCATATTTTATGTCTATTGAATGAATATTATGATGGGAAAAAGTTACTGTAATCTACAGATGTATACGACACTATCAGAAGTTGATAATCTCATCTCTTTAAATAAATGTGTATAGATATCTCCAACTATTGAGAAATATAAGTTTTTTTGTTGAGATAACTTTAATTTCAGTCTCTTAGATATTCATAAATAATAAATTGCCTTTAATGTTTTATTTTACATACTTAATGTTTAATTTTCCTTTGACTATTGATCCAAATCTTGATGATATTGACTAAAAATAAAGTAAGACTTCAATGACTGAATGCCATGTTATTCAGACCTAATATCTATGGTTGTTTTATAATATTATTGGTACGTGTTGATAAGGAGTAATAGCGATATTGAGGAGGTTATTGATTATGTTGGTATTATAACACGCTTAATACAGTGTTGCAATCAAAAATAATAATATCGGTGAACTATTCTAGCCACAAGTGACCAACTCCTGTAATATTGAGCTGTTAGCATATCGACTGATCACTTATTAGTTTCCATCGTTATGTTCGTTTAATCCCTTAATGTAAACATTACATAAGTTGACGTGACCAGATCTTTTTCTTGATTCAAGTAGATGCTATTCCTTCATGTCAGGTTACAGTTTCATAATTGTTTAATTGTTTGATATGAGTAAATATTCATATTTTAATTATGAAATTTAAGAAAATGTAATAATTATTCATTTTTCTTCTATGGGTGAATAGTTTATGGGAAAAAACTAGTTAATCCGATTGATTTTTAATATTTTAAACAAAACAAATAAAATTTAACTTACAGTTATCACAATATTTATTTCCCATTTGTGCTGTAACAGATTTTCCGAATTCTTCTAATCCGGAACTTTATAAAAAAGGAGACAGAAAAGAATAGAGATACAGTTAATAATAAACAATCATTGTTATTTGGAAGTTACATGTAACTATTTAATTTTCTGTAGGTGATTTTTTGAAAAAAATCATAAATTGACATCAGTTAAAGTACAGTTGTGATCCAGGTGACCAATAAACATTTGTGTTTGGCCTAGTTTGAATTTTGTTTTTATTGGTGCATACTCAGATATCAAACCCACGAACTTCAGATTGCGTAGCTATAGAGTTACATTAAAATAATTAAGATGAAAGTCAATAATACACATTTTTAATTCCTATCAATTCGAAATATACTTAAATGACTATTTCTTTATTTGAACACATAAATATTGGTACAAAGAGGGTACCGAATACATATACTTGATTTGTGTGTGAGCTGTGATACTCCCCGGGTGCCCACACCAAAGCAGGTGTTTTTCTTAGGAGACCACGCCCGGAGCCTTCAACCTAAAGGTCTGGTCCACATGGCAGTGGAGCATCGTCAAGAGATGAAGCCCCATGGTAGCTGGTGACCAGTATTTGGTTCATACGCCACTTGTTTCTTTAGGATCCTGGAGTCCGTGTGCACTACTGACTTGCAATAGAGGTTTTCCAACTCCCCTAGGTGGATCCTCCATATCCACCAACCCGGTTAAAGCTCCAGATTATATGATACCATTGTTGATGGCACTCTACTTCAAGTGCTTTGCTTATTAACTGTATAAAGATAAATTTCTACTAACTGTTTGAATGCACCAGTCCCTACCATACAATAATAGTTCAGTCGAAGGCCTTTTGTAGATATTTGAATAGTTTGTAGTTTGTATCTATCAAGCAATGACACCAGCCGGAGAACTACTGATCATAATGAAATTGTCCGAGAACGTTCAATCCTTAATAATTTTTGGTAGAATCCATAAACGTTTTGAGATAGATACCTGTTTCTGCCCAACACGGACTAGCTCCACTGGTCACGGCTTCTCACCAGAACTCCGAGAATTTCCTAACGAAGCTAGTCACTAGTGAGCAATGGTGGTTTAGCTTCAACTGACTCATGATTTCAATTAAAAGCATAACAATCTTCACAACCCCTAAAGTGATAATTACCGTGTGCTCACTAGTGACCAGCTTTGTATGGGAATTCTCGGAGTTCTAGTAAGAAGCCGTGAGCAGTGGAGCTAATCTGTGTCGGGTATAAAAGTTTTATTACACATTTATGAAGGTGAATTTCTTTTCAACTTTCAACAAAATCACCTAGTCTCCATAAATCAATTAATAAACAACTGATGTTATTGTAGATAGTTTATAGAGAATCCAAGTAGACTAGAGTACATATTTTAAAATGCTTACCTGGGGAAGGAAATGATTTATTAGTGACGAGTAGATCAGTGCTATTTATTAGTGCACGTGCGAGACATTCTAAAAGATTGATTTTAGGGTCATTATCCTTTATATGGATTTTCATTATTTGGGGTTAATGATTAATAATGCAATGTTTAACGTATCTGACTTTATGCTAATTGAGATTTAATGTAACTAAATGACTGAAAAAGTTTGAATAATTTTTTTCTGGTTAGCGTTTTTTTAGCGAGTTAGTTTTCTACGGGATGGGGACATTAAGCCTATGCCCAACCCTACTCCTATATCCGGGTTTGGGACCGGCAGCAGCCCCCGGAGGGACTTCAGGCGGATACAATGGACATCTGGGATGCAGTTGGACGATCTAGACTTCGCAGATGATCTGGCCCTTCTATCCCAAATGCAACAACAAATGCAGGAGAAAACGACCAGTGTAGCAGCAGCCTCAGCAGCAGTAGGTCTCAATATACACAAAGGGAAAAGCAAAACTCTCCAATACAACACAGCATGCACCAATCCAATCACAATTGACGGAGAAGATTTGGAAGATGTAAAAACCTTTACATATTTGGGCGGCATCATTGATGGACAGGGTGAATCTGATGCAGATGTGAAGGCGCGGACCGGCAAAGCAAGGGCAGCATATTTACAACTGAAGAACATCTAGAACTCAAAGCAACTGTCAATCAACACCAAGGTCAGGATTTTCAATACAAATGTCAAGACAGTTCTACTGTATGGGGCAGAAATCTGGAGAACTACGAAAGCCATCATCCAGAAAACACAGGTGTTTATTAACAGTTGTCTACACAAAATACTTCAGATCCATTGGCCAAACACTATTAGCAACAACCAACTGTGGGAAAGAACAAACCAAATCACAGCGGAGGAAGAAATCAGGAAGAAGCGCTGGAAGTGGATAGGACACACATTGAGGAAAGCACTTAACTGCCTCAGAAGACAAACCCTTACATGGAATCCTCAAGGCCAAAGGAAAAGAGGAAGACCAAAGAACACATTACGCCGTTAAATGGAAATAGACATGGGAAAAATGAAGAATTGGATGGAACTAGAAAAGGTCCATGACAGAGTGGGTTGGAGAATGCTGGTCGGCGGCCTATGCTCCATTGGGAGTAACAGGCGTAAGTAAGTAAGTAAGCGACTGATAAAACAACTTGAATTTTTAAATTAATTACTATTTTATATCATTTCCTGCCATCTGTATTATATAGATTGTTTGTAATAATCTTCGTTTGCTCATTAGTATTCATAAGTCAAGAAGCAACCTGGGTTGTAATGAACGCGTTTACTTAGTAAAAACAAGCGACTCTTAACCGTTCTCTAACTGCATAGATGTTCTGACCAAATCATGTATGAGTAAAAGCCATAAACTTACTACATTATATGTAAGTAGGATGAGAAAATGTAACCAACAAATCAGTGAAATTTAATGAAATCTGCAGGACCTTATATTCCGGCTAATATGTAATCACTCAACATTATAACATAGATTCGCACTACCAGACAATGAGGAGAGATTTAAACCAACCCCATAGCCAAAGGTTCAATTGACACTATAACCAACAAGAATCGAAGTACACATGAAAATAATGAAGCCTTTGAAAGTGAACAGTCGACAACTGAATAACTAAGGTAGAGTGATGATAAGACTAGTGTAAGAAATCAACAATGCATACCTGTAGTCGAAATTCTAATAAAAAAATGTCATCAATAAAACCAAGTTCAAAGAGTACTGTGCCATCAGAACAATATAACAATTTCTTATTCGAATGACTACAGGAGTTCGAATTCTTTCTTTCAAACTCCATTCATCATTGGAGAGTGGCTAGTAGTGGAATTCAGGACGCGCGTTTCATCCTATTTGGGACTCGTCAGCTGGATGTACCTGCATCTCATAGTTGATGTTCACTTCGTCAATCGAACCCAGTACAATTCGCTTCAAACGCCATCACGTTATCCACTCCGCTACTGAGTCCTGATTGTCACTTGCTTGTGCACTGCTAGCCATTATCCATCTTTACTTATAAAGCTTGTGAATTAAGGCACATATACGAATAACAGACTGTTCGACTACAGTCTTGAACTTCAATGAAAAGGTTCAAGCAAAACAACACCAAGTGAATCCATTCATGATTATTTTATATTATGGCCAATAACATGTAAAGTTGAAATAACATGTAATAAGACTTTATTTTTATGAATGATATCAATGAAATATTAACTTACTATTTTCTTTCATTGATTTGATTTATTTCAATAGTTTGTGGTTGATTTAAATTGATTTTTAGATTTTCCTTATCTTCTTGTTGTTCCGCTAACTGAATAAATGAGATTAGAATAAAAAATATGAAATTGTGTACTGCCATTAGAAAAAAAATATTATTTAGTATTAAGGAATAGATAAAAGTGAATTCATCTACAAATATTCTTATTCTGAGTAACAAAAAAATATTCTTCATTATCTCAGATATACAAGTGTTAATAAAATGTTATTCATTAATTCACTTTTTAAACTATTTCCAAGTAACCTAGTTTAAAATATTCAGACGTAAACATATTTGCTAACCTGCTTTTATCGACGTACATTTTCTTACTGTTAATAAATATGACTGTAATAGCATGATCATTGTTGGTCTATGTGTATAGTAGGTGAATATAAGTTTTTAAAATATTTTGATTGTTATCGAAAGTCTATTTCAGGAGATCTGATTTACTTATTTAAAATTCATCAGCTTGATATACCTACATCCTAGTTTTGATGTTCATAGTGAGATTGATACTTTGTACTTATGGATTAAAAAGGGTAATCCATTATCTATTAAGTTACTGAATTCGAATAGATGCTAAGTTTTCTGAGGCGTTCAAAGTTATGTGTATGGTTTGCATTTTTGTGATTACTGATAACCAGAAATAAGATCGAACTAATTTTGTTTATTATCAGTAGCAGTGTAATGAATGAGATGTCAGATGGGAACAACCAATTTATCATTTAACAAAAAAATGCAGAGTTCTTTCATAAAGTGTGAAAACAATACATTAAAAAATTCATTTGTAAATCGTCTATCAATTGTCTTAATCTTCATCATGCCTTCATTGATATTACGATTACTCTCTCTATTAGCTTTCTCTTCGATTCTATCTTCCCAACCTTTTGCTGCTAGACATTTCACTTCTGATTGGTGTTACTTATTACTTATGCCTGTCGATATAGTAGTATATACCATAGTAATATGATGGAACTAGAAAAGTAGTTTATTATTTATCAATAAGTTATGAGTTCGTCACTAACTTTAGTAAGCTTACTGAAGTTTGTAGTCTTACTGACCATCGTAGAATAGTTTTTGATTTTGTCTTTTTGTTATATCTGATGATTGTGATGGATAATAACTATAATTGAACATATTCATTTTTTCTAGGTCCTTAAGACTTATTATTCCCTGTTAACTATCGTGTAAGTCGATATCAGTCAGATATAATTATCGAAGCTCTTTCATGTTCTCAGCAAAACAGACATTATTGATGACACTACTCGGTGGTTGCAAGATATAATAGATTTTGATTGAGATCATGAATCGATCAATGTTAGACCACCATTGAAAATCTAGAAGCACTGTACAATCGTTTCGTCTAACATTGATCGATTCATGATCCCAATCAATAACACAACAATCTTCACAACATCGTACTTATATAGTAGATTGATTAAAGTTAAAGATTTGTTTTATTGTATTATGAAATAGCTATTTAACAGTAACTAGTCGGAAGTAGGATGAATTTCATGTTGGATGCATACTGTTTAGTGTTTGTGTCTTTCTTAAATAAATAGCTATTCTATCCTTCTTCGTTTTTATTAAATTATCAACTAAAATTGGTGTATGAAGAAAATGTATATTTCAAAATGTACAAAAATTTCCAGTAATTACCACTTTATTTATTTATTTTAAAAAGTTAGTCAAACTATTCATAACTGGCATTATGTCTCATGTCAGTTTGTGATGTAAATCCTAAATCTAATTCATAAGCTTAATCATCATATGTAAATCATAATTCTAATTCCCTCCACATTGGTTTATAACCCTCTTTTGGTCATAGTTATTAGGTGGAACCTCTTAAGGTCACTGTAGCGTCGCTCAAAGGTCATCCATAAATTATCGTCTCACCAAAATATCTTTCATCTACTGATTAATTTCTAGTTTAAGAGAGGACATCTAATCAGACACTTATTCAGTTTTATATAAAAATTGTAATTGAAAATAAAAATTATGCAAAAATTGAAAACAAAACAGAAATGCAGATGAAAAATCATAACTGTCATGTCTACGGAAGAGGAGTTGATTTTTATTCAAAAACTAAATTAAAAATTTTACTATCAGATTGAGGGTTTGCGGAAATTGTAGTAATTTGGTGTTAGAATTTATGAGTCAATTTAATCTAGATCACCTTGGAAAACCTGTAAGTATTGGACAGCCGTTTCGTTCTAGTATGGAACCGGATCTGTTGTGAGTTAGTAACTCACTGAAGACAATGATGGATTGTGGTGCAACTTTGTGGATTTGTTGGAGTTAAATATTATCACCGCTGGATGTCGGCTCAGTGGTCTAAACATCAAGCGTTCACGCGAGACTGATAGATTCTGCGTTCGAATCCCATGGGTGGGGTCGTGGATGCGCACTACTGAGGAGTCCCATACTGAGACAAAACAGCCGTCCAGTACTTCCAGGTTTTCCATCGTGGTCTAGCTTCAAATGACTCACGAACTCAATTATTAAATAACTATAACATCCACAAAACCCCTTTCTGATAATTTGTTGATTTGTTTTTAAGTAGTTAATAAATGAGAGAAGAAAAAAAATCACTTAAAATAATTAAGTTTTATGAGAATATAAAAATTCAGCAATTAGAAGTCAGTAAATTATAATTAATTAAATCGATACTTGTTTATCTAGTCACTTGAATAGTTGTTTACAAAATTCGAATCTCTACTGACCATTTCATGATCTTTTTTTACTACCCATATATATATGCATGTGCATGTGGTTATTTTAGTTCCCGTTTAATGTTTGTAAATTTTTTTAATTGAGTTCATCTATTTGTTGATTGACATTTTTCCTTTTATATTGTACATTTGCTTGAATCAGTTTTATCCATAATATGTGATATGTTCTCTATATGCGTTACTCAATTGAATAGTTGAAAAAACAATTATGTACATTGCAATAGTGTAATATATATATATATATATATATATATTTAATAGTTAAAATTTATTGGTCATTTGAAGATAGACCAGTATAGAAAACCTAGAAGTACTGCACGGCCGTTTCGTCCTAGGGTGGGACTCCTCAGCAGGGCACACCACGAGATTCGAACCCAGGACCTAGCGGTTTTGTGAGCGAACGCTTAACCTTCAGACTGATGACTCATGAATTCAACTATTAAAACTCACTATGATATCCACAAAACCCCTCTCTGAATATATATATTTTTTTTTGAGTTAACTGATTTGTAAAAATTTACAGTGAAAGTCAACGGAATTTGAACTGTTTTGAATTAATGACCATTTTGCATAACTAGTCGGTAAAATTAAGTTAATCTTAAAATTACTAGACGACATAGTATTAATGTAATGAATAAAGCCTTGATTAAGGTGAACCAATCTATTGTGTCGAGCAAAATCACAGACTATACTGGCAAAACATTATAATAATATATTAAGTACACCATTTGCACATCTTTGAATTGTTTCTTACAAAATCAATAGTCTATTCTCTCTTGTTGCTACTCAAACTGCTTTCTTTTCTGGTCTCATTTCCCTATTCTGTCAATAAGAATACTACATCCAATTCTTGCTATATATTACTTATGTCTGTCCACATAAGTAACATACACCACATTAGTACCCACTGATCTCTAGCTGAACGGTTTGAAAACTTTAGTTTTAAATAAATTCATTTGTGGTTTGGATAACCCACCGATAGTGTGTTTATAACCACGAAACTAGCTTGCGTTAGTATCAGTAATAAGGATATCATCAGTCTTGGTATAATTACAGATATCTTGTTCGCAGTCATTTTTCAAAAGAATAATTTTTTAATAAGGAAGCATTTGAGTAACAGGTTTCATGATTTGTAGTTTCTTTACTGAATATACTCTTTAACGTATAGCTTGACTAACAATGAATGTACTTTGTTTGTTTACCTGAGGGTTGAAATATAATTATGGGTTCGAATCACACGTGTGCTGCTTTCATCCGTAGTCCAGTGAAATATGCTATTCCATAAACCTTCATAACCCACTCTTGATTTTACACTTTCTAATGAAAGATAGATCAGCAGTGTCTTGATTAATAAATGTCTTTGTATTGGTAAGAAATTTGTAACATCCTTATTTGTTAACAAATAATCATTTTTATTGCTATTTTAGATACATTTTATGCGTTCACTTCACTACTTTTTCGATTATACTCTTCACCGTTTAAATATCTGAATACTTCTTATAAGATAATTTTTTGTAGTTTCAACTGAATGACACTTCAATGTTTATTTTTTCCAAGTCTTTGTCCTACTTCCTATTAGGAAGTATTGATCCAAGCCTTTACTTTTTGTATCATAATTAGTATGCTTGTCAACACACTAACAGTCGGTACATTTTACGTATCATTTGCTATTATGTAATCTATTTCATCGTTGTCACTGACTCACAAACTACCTTGGATAATTTAAGATTTTCATATTTTTACATAAATATTACTGTATTTTAGAGTAAAGCTTTATGAAAATCTACTTGAAAACGATATTAGTCACTGATATATACATATTGTTTTAAATATAGCTCACCGAAAATTTACCTAACAATTTTTCCATTCTTAAACTGAATAATTCTTTATCTATAATGACTAAAAAATGATTTACCTCATCCGCTAAACGTTGTTCCTCTTCTTCAGCTGCCGTCAATTCTTGTGCATTAGCTAAATTATCTACAGCAATAGCTAAAAACACATTTAACAAAGTATCTAATCACAGAAAAATAGATGTTAAGGTTGTATAAACGAGAAGATTTGAAGACTACATTGAATATTGTCCAAGTTAGTTGAAATATAAAGTTTACAACATGATATACGATATTAAATTAGTTTTAGTACAAACGTGAAACATTTATGCATGATTTTGATAGCTTGGTAATTACGATTCAACACTAGTTATCTATTTCAACTTATTATGATTCCCTAAAATTTGTGTATCTTAATATTTTTAGAGTGTGATTATTTCTAAATCTCTTTTAAGTTGACAAAATGTCGTTTCATCCAGAACCATTAAAATAACTGGTGTACTAATTGCAATAGCAAAAAAAAGACTGTGGCTAAATCAATACATTTCTACCAGTAGAACGAAATTCATTACATTTTATAATAACCCATTATACCATTGAATAAAAATAGAATTCAACGAAGAAAAATTTCTTTTCAACGAATACATTCACTTGTATTCACATAAAACTCTTATCGTTCCGTCGTACTATTTAAACTTGGATTAATTTTGATTTGGTTATTAATTCTCTGAAGAATTGGCTGACACTGAGTCACGAAACGTCATTTTTCTACTCATTACAAATATGTTGTTCATTTATTCATTTAAGTTATACATTCGTATTTATAGTTATAGGGTAAATATATGACAATAAAAGGATAGAATAAATTATATCATAAAGTGTTTGGTGACTCCAAATATCAAGTGAGGTTACGTGATAATCAGGGAGTCAGAGAAGAAATATTAGGATGAAAATAATGTAGGAGTCATAAGTTTGTAAGATAACTGTCTCAAATCATTTTGTTGTGCAATCTTTTCTATCCTTCTATAGACATATGTTTATCACTCAACTATAAATACAAATGTACAGCTTAAGTAAATGATTTTATCGAAATATAAAATTTCTTCACTGAACTCTCTGAATTTTTAACATTTTATAAATTATCAGAAGGGGTTTATTTTTAGAGATTTTAGTAATTATATAGGTGAATTGATGAGTCAGTTGAAGCTAGACCACCAAGGAAAACCTGGAAGCACTGACCGGTTTTCCGTGGTGGTCTGACTTTAATTGACTCATCAATTCAACTATAGAATTTTATCAGTATAGGGTTCTGGAGATTACTATGTTTTTGGTTGAGATTACTAACTTATTGTTGTTAGACCACCATTGAAAACTAGGAAGCACTGGACGACCGTTTCGTTCTATTGTGGGACTCCTCAGTAGTGTGTATCCACGATCCCACTCGCAGGATAAGAAACCAGGACTTATCGGTTTCGCGCACAAACGTTTAACCTCTAGACCACTGAGCTGGTATCCAGTGATGTTAATGTCTAACCTCAACCAATCCACGAAATCGGGCGACCATCTTCCATTGTACTGATGTAGATACCTGTCTTTACCCGACACAGATTTTCCCCACTGGTCATGGCTTCTCACTAGAACTCCGAGAATTCCCTAAAGAAGCTAGTCACTAGTGAGCACATGGTCATTATCAGTATAGGATTGTGAAGATTATTAAGTTTTTGACTGAGATCATAAAATTTTCTAAATTATTAAATCTGTAAACATTTCCATGGTATTATACTTGATCTTGCATATGAGACTATAGATATATTATTCTATAAATGAAAAAAAGTTCAACTCAGTTTGAAACAACTACGATATACACTACAATTTTCGAAAAAAATTTCCTGTCTGAAATTAAATTTGTGAAGTAAATATATTTTAAAGATTAATTCTTCTTTTTTCTCTCTCTCTTTCATTTGTAAATTACAGTTGAATAGATTCCATTTATCTAATGACTTAGTAACAATCTTTTGACAGATTTAAAAGTATGTTTTATTCATAATTTTGAATTGATGAAGAAGGTGTTTTGTGTTGGATACAAGTAATTAGTATTTTGCTTTATTATTTTATTATGAATATGAATTGTTAAGTTGATGAAATCTGTTGACAACTATTTAGATTGGATGAAATGATTAACTAATGTAAAAAGATGAATGGTTATTATGTAAGTTTATAAAATAAGTTTAGATTTATAGATTTAGAAAAAGTTGGGCATTCATTAAATGTGTGTATTCATTACTGTTGGGAATTTGTGAATTATCTTTTTAAGATCTTCGACTTCAATGAGAAAAGAGATTTAAATTTTACAGAAATAACAACTTATATATGTCTGTTTTATTTGACCCTTCATTCACTCGGCAGTATAAAATTACTTCATATAGAAGAACTTTGAGATTTGGTAAACTGTAGTTTAATTTTATCCAGACAAAGCTATTAGTATTAAATAACGAATTGTCAGTGAAATCAACTTATTTCCTTCTATTCACTCATTGTATAATATTGAATGAATGATAATAATGAATACTGTATAGCTGTTCTTTAATGAATTAGTCTGTATATTTTTAATGAGCACTTTATTTAAACGGTTGTTTTTTAAAGGATTTTATATGGTCCTAATTCCAAGTTATTTATTATATCGTCTAGTTGATCAATGATAAAACTGTTACTCAACATTAATGTCGAAAATATTCAACCTGTGTATTTAATGATACATGGTACGTTTCAATCTTGTATTCCTATTTATAGTTATATAAGATATGAGTTTGGTTAACAAAAGTTAGTTCTCACTATCCATCTAGTTTTCTCATATACTGACTGTAGACTTGGAGAACGTGAGAATTTACTCGAATTGACAGTCAGACAATGAATATAACAACAGAGTTAGTTGGTTTATTGTTACGCGTGTCAATAAACGACAAAACCAACAAATATAATATCTCATCATTAATCTAATGTAACAAATAACAAAGGAATAAAAATTTACCAAACAAATAAATCAAATAAACTTGAACAAAAAATGCAAAGGATACAGTTGCCAAACAATACTAATAATACAAAATAAATACAATATACAAATCCTCCATTATTTACACCACCTTGAGAACGTATACCATCGTACATAATCATATTCCAATCTTCACCAGTTAAGATCTAAATCGGAAATAAATTTATAGATTCATAAAAAATGTCGGTTAGCTTCATACTTTAGGAATAAATTACATTCTTCTACTATTATTGAAAAGTTTTGTAGAATTTAATTTGTAGGCGGTCTTCATTACTGATTGACATTAGTTGATGGTAACATAACAATGCAATCGGAACTAATCTTCAGTACACATCCGTGATTAGAACTCAGAAACTTCAGTCCTCTCAATAACCGCTCAACCACTAAACTATTTGGTTTGTTATCAATGAAGTTCAGACATGTGGATTTGGAAGTCGTCGCCACTAACGACTTTGAATGAACATCACATTATATGAAGAATTGACTGAAGATGTAAATGTGAATTCTTGTATTCTATCCCACTAGTCTAATGGTTTATTGCTTACTGCGAGATCTGAAAGTTATGCGTTTGAACCCTGGTTGGGTGGTAGGTACTTACCGTTAAGGATTCGAATCCTAAGATTAAACAATTATCCAGTGACCAATTTTTAATAAAGTTACCATAACCGAGGTCAATTTATGGTCAATATTATCTACGTTTAATGACCTATATCAGTCATTTGATTGTATAAACATGTTTCAGCTATTGATCCGCCTTCTATTCATTTGTTTTACTAATTTAAAAAGTGCATCGTTACAAATCATAAGAGTAACCTTCACAACAAGTTTTGTTTTCTGATTACTTTTCACGGTTGGCTAGCCACGACCGTTTTAGTAATTAAAACAAAGTTATATAAAAATCTATTTAAATAAATCTATAGAATATGGAAGCAGATGATTATGTTTTACATTTTAAATAAACATTCTAATGCTATAAATTTTGTTGAACATTCAGATATTCTGAGATCGGACTTTAGTCAAAGAGTATATTCAGTGTTCATAAATCATTCAAAGTAAACCAAATTCATGTCCTATTTAGGAATTCTTATCAGTTAGTAACAGTAGTAGAGTCATTAAATTATTATACCTCACATCAATAATTCATCAAATCGGCTTGACGTAAGAAAAAATCATACTCATCTTTCTATTGAAGTGAAATACAAAACGTAAATTTATACATATAGATGAAACTAATTAAGTGTATGATATAATCAGAAATAACTAGCTAGATACCACTTTTCTGAATTTTAAAATGCTTATTCGATTAATGTTTGTTCTTGACAAATATGATATGTAAGTGATTAATTTCATTGGAGTTTCTCATGCCAATCAAGAATTTGAATATCCATATTTTATTCTGTTTGCTCCTGTTCATAGCCTAACGACTTTTGGGATGTAATATTAGTCACTGAGTAATGCGAGCAGTCATCTATCAATAATTCTAGTGAAAAGCATTTGTCAGACAGGTAAAAATGGCCAATTTATCTGTTGGCAAAGATCTTTAGTTGGTTTGTAAGTAAATGAATAAAGTTTTGATCATTGTGGATGACCAATCTTATCGGATTAACTAATAAGATGTTGGTTAAACGTTTCGACGTTCGATAATAACAAAATGAATTTACTCTTTCTGATAATAATCATCTGCTCAATGGTGATTGACTTCAAGAGATACTCCTGGAGTTCTAGTGAGAAGCCGTTACCAGTGGAGTTCAACCAGGTCTGTTGTGAGATATTAACTCACTGAAGACAATGGTGTACGGTGGCGCAACTTCGTGGATTGGTTGAAGTTAGACATTAACACCGTTGGATGCCGGCTCAGTGGTCTAAGCGTTAGGCGTTCGCGCGCGAGATCGATAGATCCTGTGTCCGAATCTCGCGGGATGCGGGATCATGGATGCGCACTACTGAGGAGTCCCATACTATTGCGAAACGGCCGTCCAGCACTTCCAGGTTTTCTATACTGGTCTAGCTTTAATAGACTCAGGATTTCAATCTGTGAAATTTCTAAAATCTACACAAATCTCTTCTGATAATTACCATTTATGAATGTATTTCTCGGTAGAGATGTACATATTATAGATAACACTTCACTTACTTGAAATACAGTTAATAAGGCTTTTACAAATGTATCAAAATTTTGGCCTGGTTTGCCATCATCAAAATTAAACCTGTTAAAAATAGAAAAAAAACATTTACTTTAGACAATTTTGAGATGAATCACGTTACTACGGTGATGCAGATTTAAATGAATTCAATGAAACTGTAAACATAAATCATATGGTTTGAAAGTTTTTCGGTTCGATATAAGAAAGCATACTTAGGAAAACAGGCATTTGTATCTCAGTGGTTTTAGTCTCATTTTTGTAATTATTTGTGTTTTGAGTATATCTGTAAAGTTTCTTAACTGATTAAATCGAATCAATAACTAGCTAGCGTAAACATCTCGGCCGCACACGAGGTCATCTATGATCAAATAACTCAGTCGGCAACATCTCTATAACTAATCGGGCCAGGTTTGAATTTATGATTAATATCAGTACCTTCTAAATAGCCGATATATTTGTCGTACTGATGATTGACAATCAGCATGAAGAATTTAGTTCAGGATCACCAAGCTGTCACTTCAAATTAACTAAATTAAGATAAACCAAGATAACTTAAGGGTATTAGTTATTGTTTGGTCAGTTTAGATATAATTAATGGATAGTTGCCTTTTAGTCAACTTGTTTTGTTTTGTCAGTGACATTTGCAAGACAAGACTGACTTATTTCTAAATATTCATTTTTTCTAGTTCCCTCACTTAAAAATTGACTTTATATATGCTAACTTTGTTCACTTGAAATGAAATTACATTTACTAATAGATTTTTGTCAGAGTTTACGGTGTGGATATCAAAATTTAAAAGTAATTTCAAACAATATGATTTGTAGATGATTTATTTTAGTTTGAGAAATGTAGTTGTAAAGCATTATTTTTCTGTCATTCATGTTTCTTTCCTGACTATCGGAGTTCTAGAGGATTGTCATACTTGAACAAAAGCATTGTCATGATGGGTTTTGGTGTGATATGATTTATGTTGAGCTGTCAACTAGTGAATCTTATATCATTTTTGTGTAAAAGTTCATCACTGTAAATTTCATAATGAAGTCAAAAACTAGAATGCTCTACTGCATCTTGAGCCATCGTCCATAAAATAGGAAAACCCAATATCAAATTGGACGAGTAGTAATAACTTCAATTTAACAATTTACACTATGCTAATGGCAATAAAACAAATAACCTTGAATAAACTCATGAATATACCACTCTAATGTGAATTATGCTGTTTTCCTAGTACTAAAGTAACGAAATTCAAATAAGAATAGGTAAACGGTACACCTATGAACATATTCAATCTTAAAAAATGTTCTTTTATCTAATTATTGGCAAACACAGTTATAAGCATTTTCTTTATTTAGTATCTATGATGATTAATATGCATTCGCTTGAATATAGAATGGTATTTTAGGCGTTTCCATCACCATATTATATTTATCTGATCAGTTTGCATGAAAAAAATATATCGAAAAAGATTAATATTCAACAAAGAATTGTTTTAAAGTGTCAATGAGATAATGATCCTTCATTTAGATCACATTTATCAAAACTTAATTAAATGTTTCACAAATATGAACAATAATGACACTTGTGCAAGCTGTTTAGATGTTTTATGGTTATCCGATTTTTTGATTGTATTCTCTTTAACTTTATATCACCATCATGGCATGTTATTATTCATTCACATACATTTTATCTATTTAATTTAATAATCTTTAATTCTGTTCAATTACAGAGTAATGACTTCAGTAAATTGATTTATCATTGATTGGTTATGGGGTACAATCCAATAACCAATTTTTTTATTTTTAATATTAATCGAATACCATTTATAAAATTGGCATCTAATCATTCAAGTGATTTGATATTATAATGAATATTGGTTTTATAATAGGGAAAAAAATCAATATTCATAAAACTTTCGATTTTATGTCATCTATTTGTTATTAGTAATTTAGAATTTCCTATTTATTAGTTTCAGACATTCGATATTTTAAACTAATATTACAGTGGCGTGTGCTACTGATATCGATAGATATAAGTAGTACGTATCGTCAATCGTAAGTCATATGCCTGGAGGCAGAAGAAAAGAGAATGAAAACAAAGAATAATTGCTGTGGAAACGAAGGAACAATAAAGTCTGAGACGATTGATTGACATTTTCGCAAATTAAGTATTTACTATATGGTTTTCAGATTTTACTAAAATGTTCTGTAGTTGTGTATTCAAATACATTTGATTGTTCTCACATGTGTTGTCGTTCACTACACCACTATTTAGGAATGACTTGTAAAAATAGCTCTATATAAAAATGAATTGAAATAAAATATTCAATGACTAATTGATAAAAACTTACTCTCCACCAAATAATTGCATTCCAAGTAAAGCAAATATTAACATAAATAAGAAAAGTAGAAATAGAAGACTGAGTATACTTCTCATAGCATTTAATAAAGATAATACCAAATTACGTAATGATGCCCAATATCTAAATTATCAAGATAGAGAAAAAAACGAAGGAAAAGAAACATTATAGATGTTAATAATTTATAACCAATTTGTTTTCTTTTAAAGGAATGTAAAATTCCATTAGGATAAAATTCATTTTAAATTAACTGTTATATTGTAGATTCCATGATCTCGTGGTTAATCATTATAGCTATTCTACTTATACACATATTATACTTTAGTTTCTGTGATTGGGTGTATTTAGAACATTTACTATTCAGTACAGCTTTTCAGTAGCTTTTTGATCACTATTCAATTAATAGTTGATAAAGGTTAACTTTTATCCAAACTCACAAAAAATCAATATAACAAAAATAGTACATTTATTTTAGTTTGATATTAATCAATATTAATTTTTGTCAGAATGGGTTTTGTGGAGAGTTTTAGAAATTTCACAAGTTGAAATCATGAGTCAGTTGAAGCTAGACCACCATTGAAAACCTGGAAGCACTGGACGGCCGTTTCGTCCTGGTATGGGACTCCTCAGCAGTGCGCATCCACGATCCCGCACCACACGGGGCTCGAACCCAGGACCTACTGGCTTCGCGCGCGAGCACTTAACCACTAGACCACTGAGCCGGCATCCAACGGTGTTAATGTCTAACTTCAACCAATCCACGAAGTTGCGCCACTTCGCGCGCGAAGCCAGTAGGTCCTGGGTTCGAGCACCGCGTGGTGCGGGATCGTGGATGCGCACTGCTGAGGAGTCCCATACCAGGACGAAACGGCCGTCCAGTGCTTCCAGGTTTTCAATGGTGATCTAGCTTCAACTGACTCATGATTTCAACTTGTGAAACTAATTTTTGTGTTTATACATGCTGAAAGAAATAGTGCCAATTAATCATCAAGGTAACTAATTCTAATTCTAATGTGGGGTCTAAACCAGCAAAATATATGTAAATGAAACATTTTATATCTATCTGTTACATAGTTTTATCCAATTTCGGGCACTTTAGTCGAATTATATGACATTTTATTACAAATATTTAGTTATTCTTCGATAATTACTGAAAGCGCTGATAGATGTTGTTAAATAACTTTATAAGTTTTGAATAATCATCAAAAAAATTATTTGATATTATACAATTTGTTTTTCTAACCAGATAAATATCGATGATTGTGAAACTTAATTCTTATCTTTAATGAGCCCTATCAAGATAGTGAAAATCACTTGTGCAAATGAATATACCTGTATAACTAGGGAGAGGAGCTATCAAGTATGTACCTAATGTAATCTGTTTCCGTCTGATAGACAGTTTGAGGATCAACTTTGCATCATGTTCTGCTAGGGATGAAGATATCACGAGTCCACTTAATCTACGAACGAGAACAAAGACTCAGTGACCAAAAGCCAGTAAGCTAGCTATTAGATGCGTCCCAGCCACGCTAACTAGAGGGAGAAGTCCAAGCTTGGAATGGAGAAGTATATTCTGCAAACAGCCAGAAACGAGCGATAACAACAAACACAATTCAAAATGTACATATACAGCACAAAATTGTCCTTGGGGAGAGTTACCAAATAGCATACTAAAAGACGCAACGGACCAATAGCATTTAAGATACTTCCCAGTGGGAAATATGACATGGTGACAAGAGCGCCTTCGGCGCGAAAATGAAGAAATTCAAATTTTCCAAATAAAATTACAAAATTAGGTCCTTTCCCATGTGATTTCTAGGGATTTAACGTCCCCAACATGTTCAAAATATCTTTGCACAGGAAACGATACAGGACTCAATTCATAGAAATCTATTTTTTCCAAAAATTACATTTAGGAATTTCTGTTCATCCTGCTTCACTATACTTTCATGATATTTCTAATCAAATTGGTTACGTTAGTTGTGTAGTATGATATCTTACCCCTTACATTATATCATATTTATGTTTGTCCTCTTTCGCACTGTGAAGCATTTCAGATTGAGTGTTCACCTATCTTAATTCACATATTATTATCATTATTAGCACGATAACATTGATATTTCTAACATCTTTGAATCTAATAATATGGTTCTTTTTTTGTGGTTATAACTCACTTCTATACAGTGGATTTTCTCATAGAACCTTGTGATTGACTAGGGATTTGAATAAATTAAATTTACAGTAATTTATTTAATCATAACTTTTATGTGAACAAATAATTTAAAATTTATGAACTGTTGATAGTAGAGCAGGAAGATTAAGCTGCTAAAAACTGTTGTAGTTCAAGCGTGTTGGTAGTAATACGAGTATCCCTAATGGGAATGTATGGTAGTTGCGAAATATTGTGAATTAAACGACATTAGGAAGTTAGACTCATGGACCTCAACTCAGTAGTCTGGTAATCAATAGCTTCTCATAAAATATGTCGTCTCTGAAGGGGTTCTAGATGAGAATTGTTACGGAATCTCATTATACGATGAAGTAGCTTACAAGTGGTTCCCAGTTTTCAACGATTATTTAGCCCAAATCAGTTAGTGACATAAGTTTATAAATTCGGTAATTCTCATAACCTCCTGCACAAACAACCATCTTTTTGCTCAAATATTTCTTGGTTTTGAAGCACTCAGTTTGTAAATATTAATTTTTTTATGTAAATTAGGACAGATATAGCAATCATAAGAATACTGAAGACAATACAGCGAAGTAAATGTTCAGATCAGTAATTAAAAGTAGAGGAAAACATGAGAACACAATTCTTAAGTGTTAATTAACACTGATGGACAAAGTGAGCTACAAAACAAAGTTTAGGTGTGTTTAATTTATAGAGACAAAATGTGAAACGTAGTTGGAATATACTGAACTTCTATCACATACAAACTCAAAGGCTGATAGTCTGAATGATTATATATTTTGCTATGCATCAACGAAAAGCAGCGGACTAGATAACCAAAAATTTTAGTAACGTTAAATAGAGTAATTTCATCTACCACATATGCACTATCGATTTTGTCATATAAAATGCAGCTAAGTATTCATTATGCGTGTTCCTCAATCTCTATTGCAATACAATGTTTTAGTGCTTTCGAAGAGTCATACCAACAACTTTGGTGAATTTAAGAAGACTAACATGAAAAGTTCATAATAACAATATAAGAATGAATATTTCAGTATAAGGAATATAAAATGTTATTCTTAAAGCGTTGTTCTGTATAATATATTTAAATTCCAAACAAATTTGAATATATTCACTTGGTATTGTTTGGCTTGTATCTTCCCATTGAGGTTTAAGACTGCAATTGATCAGTCTAATATTGGCATACGCGCATACCTTGCGTATGCCTCGATATCCCCTTAATTCACGAGCTCTTTGTAAGCAAGGATAGATAGTGGCTAGCAGTAGAATCCAGTTTAGACGCGCCTTTCATCCTATTTGGGACTCGTAAGCTGGATGTACCTGCATCTCAGAGTTAATGCTTACTCTGAGACTTGGTCCGCAGTACCATTCACTTGAAACCCCATCACGTTATCCACTCAGCTACTGAGTCCTGATAGCCACTTGAATATAATATGAATTTTATATAGTAGCAGATCATAAAATAAAAGAAATAACTTGATATTTGACCTGAATACTTTTTTAACATCAAAGTTATTACTTGGATTATGTTAAATATATAAAATTCTATACACATCTATCAATAAGAGAAGATATAATAAATTAACTTATTTTTCCCCTTCCATCTTTTTGGTTTATTATCAAATTCAATTACACGTAATGTGGTTTTAAATTATAAAGATAAAAATATTTAAAAAAAAATTTAATCATGACATTTCAAAACTCCTACATTCATTTACTTTAAATTCAGGTTAGTTATTAAAACTGTCATAAGATAAGAAACATTTGATCAATGATAATGAACTAATTTATTCATTCATGAATTAGATAGATTGAATTATAACTAACATTAAAATATTATACTATAAACTATTTCATTCGTTTGTTTCTTTTTTATTGTCCTCAAACATTTAACTGTACTCTTTGTGTGTGTGTGTGTGTTTGTGTGTTTGTGTACGTGAGTGCATGTGTTACATTTGCATTCATTGTGATAAATGTATTTTAGACAAAGTGTGTGTGGGAGTGAAAAAAATTTTTTTTTGAAGAAAAAAAAAGAAGGTAAATAAACCATTCAATTATAACGTTTTTTTATAATAAAAAAAATTAAAATTATTTCTTTCTTTATGCCTATAGTGATTAGTTGTTGTTGTTGTTGTTGTTGTTGTTGCTTAGTTCAATGATATTGTATAAATTTATGTATTAAATGAAATTTCCCGATGACCTTAGAGAAAATTCCATTTTCATTCCATAAGTAAGATTCACTACTGACCTTATATATATATATACATAATACAAAAAAATTGTATGCTAAAATGATTTCCAACCATCAAATCATAAAATAATGCTTGAGAGTTTGCTACTGTTTTTTTTTTTCAATTTTGCTTATAGACGAATGATTTAGTCTTAGCTATCTAATGTTTGTTTTTCGAAATTGAACAACACTACATGATGTAGTTTAATAGAGAAAAGATAAATGATAAATTATTATTTTTTTAGTTTAATCAACTACACATTTATCTTTATTGACGTGATATAAGTAAATGAATGTAAATATTAAATTGTAGAATTAAAACGATAGAAAATTATTTGAAATTCAAATGAATAGTTATAGTTTTCTAGTCAATAAGCTTATTGTATATTCATAAAAGAAAATAGAAATACCATTATTACTAGGGAATTAACTATGGATATTGAAAAAAAAAAGGTTGTTGAAGTGTTGGTTACAGTAAACATCTGGCATGAATGTATAGTTTCTAACCGTTTGAACTGTTGTCACAATGTTCTTTCATCACATAAGGTATATATTTACAATATTCAGTCTATTAAATTTATTTACACCCTTGTTATACTATATGAATATGTCTTTAATATAAATTCCAATCAAACTCTTTTATGTAAGTAATTTAAACCCATTAATTATGATTTTAAATATTACAGGTTGTAAGCAGCTGACGAGAACCAACGAAATAAAAATGAATTCATGCTATTCTGCTAGAATGTTTGTTCTTGCTCTTTTCAAAATAAATTAGTTATTAAAATAATTGTTTATAGGAGAATAGAAAAAGATTACATCACAAAAATGGATTCGAGAATAAATAACAAATGAGGCTTCATATAATTATATATGTATAAACGAATGTACAGCTTAAGTAAATGATTTCATTGAAAAGAAAATTTTCATTGATTAGTACGTAACCTCATTTGTTACTTATGGTCGAATCCATTTTTGTGATGAAATCTTTTCTATCCTCCTATTAAAATATTCTTTTTTTGAAGTTGTAAATATTACTTAGATTTTTATTGACTAGGTCCTGGGTTCGAGCCCCGCGTGGTGCGGGATCGTGGATGCGCGCTGGTGAGGAGTCCCATACTAGGACGAAACGGCCGTCCAGTGCTTCCAGGTTTTCAATGATGGTCTAGCTTCAACTGACTCATGATTTCAATCTGTGAAAATTTCAAAAAATCTCCACAAACCCCTTCTGATATTAAAATATACCCTAGTTCTAAAATCCTCTATCAAATTCTACTTTACATTCACCCTATTGATTATAAATCTACTTAAGATAACAGTGTTAGTTTTCTACATTTTCATTTACTGAACCATGCTAACCGATTCTATCTAACAGAGAGAATAATGCTTCTTGATTCACAGTACATGTAAATAGCATAGACTTTTAAGAAATAACGCATTATTATTGATAAAAGATAGATTGTTTGTTGGTTGAAGTTAAGTATTAACACCGTTGAATTCCAACTTAGTGATCTAAATGTTAAGCGTCTACACGAGACTAAAGGTTCTTGGTTCGAGTCCCCTGTAAGGTATCATGGATGCGCACTGCTGTGGAGTCCCATACTACAACAAAAATGCCGTTCAGTGCTTCCAGGTTTTCAATGTTGTTCTAACACTGATAGATTATTATTTGTTGTTCGATTGTTCTTGCTCTCCAGTTGGACAAATTCTGAAAAATCATCAAATACTAGTTAAATGATCCTTGTTTAGGACTCCTTACCGATAACTCACGAAAGATTCTGATAAGAATGAAATATAGAATTTTCAGATTCAATAGCTAAGTATCTTACCTAAGGATAACTAAGTTGAAGCTGGATAGTTCTTATTTTCAACAATAATTCACTGTTTATCATGAAGAATAATTGTGGAATGAATAAAATGCCTTAAATATCACTAATTCTTTCATATTATTACTACTGGGAAAAAAACATTAAACATGTCTTATTAATTAACAAATTGATTTTAACGGTATAAGCCTACCTTGTAATTTTGAATATTCTCAATAAACGTATACTACGTAAAGCAGAAAATCCAAATGAATCAGATGGATAAAAAATCTGCCATACAATTTCGAATAAACTAGCAAAAACAACCTAAAAATGAAATTAATTATCATATTTATTTGGGTAACAGTAATAGTTTTAAGATTTAAACATATTTTGTAAGAATCAATATAAAATTATGATTGTTGAAGTTCATTTTGGCTTGTTGTCATATTTATTGATTAATAGATTATACAGGATGAAATAGGAAGCCAGAATTACCCAGTTAGGCTAAAATGTTAATGATACTCAATAAAGATTTTTATAATTTTATTTTCTTAATTAATAAACTTAACTAGGACTTTACTGTTGGATCCATGTTTAACACTCATCAATTTGAATCTTTAATTGGTCAAGTTTCTGTTGTTTATATTTATATTCCGTTCATTGCTTTCGTATAAATAAATGTCCGGTTTCTATGAATTTAATCACATCAGTCATTTATAAAATGTATACAATTCTTATCAAATTGGTTGCAGTTAATTACTTCATTGATTGATAGTTTATCGTACAATTTATACTTAATCGACCATCAGCTGATAATAAATCTTTGTATTATTATTATTATTATTATTATTATTATTATTATTATTATTATTATTATTATTATTATTATTATTGGTTCGACATCATTAATCTCCCCCATTCATGATTCACTCATTTCTCATTCATCCCTCCGTATTACGTCTTACTTATTTGAACGAATTGTAATTGCACTATTATTTCTCTCTCACCCTATTTGATCCATATTTATTCTGATCACGGATCTTAAAAGTTCACTTAACATATACACAGATTCAAGTTAACATTCTATATGAGTCATATTACCATTAACAATTTCATTGTATTTTGTTTGTCACAATCCTAAATTCACATGCTTTAAACGATGTACTTTGCCCTTAACCTGACCATTTTTCGGATTATTAAGTTAGTTATATAATTGTAGAACCTGAGGAGAATTTATCGAAAAGAATATTCTTCGTTCGAATACTAGTCTTTTAATAGAAAAAGTATTAATTTAGTGTGCACTATAGCTAATTAATAAGAAATTTTCATGTTATGGTTATATGTATTTTGAAACTAAAGTGTTATAAATAAATTTGATCATTCTTCTGAAGTTTCACAGTTGACTAATAAACCACATTTCTGGACTAAACTGTAGTAACAGTGTTAGGATGTTGAATGCAATTGATAGGAATCCCTGGGAATAGATACTTAGCTGGTTAAATACGTCAGTATAGGATATCTGTAGTCGTGAAAGAGCTAGTGTTCCAAAAATATGAGAACCTGTGTCGCCTGACATTATTGTCAGAGAAAAAATACACCGGGCTATTCAAATTGCAATTAACTTCTTATTAGACTGATTTATTAACACTGATTTATTAACACTGATTTATTAATTTGTAGTAATCAATGTCATCATTGATTAGCCTTAAATGCTGATTGAATTCAATCGATCAAGTTACAATAAGTCCGTTAATTTGACTTATCAGTAATTAATCAATTTACGTATGCCTATAGGGTTTTATCAATAATGAACGATTCCTTCGTACTTACAAAGTAAAAAGAATGTTGAGGAAAAATATTTTACAACACAAAATCTCCAAATTAAACTTTCTAAATAATTAGGATTTAACATCTTTGTTTTACTACTCTACAGTCTAACAATCAAAAATACCTTGAAAGTAATCTACCAGCGCCTAAGCATAATAACTAAATTTCCAGTTTGTAATTTTCATCGTCTCAATGACCGGAAAAATTATTATCATTGCCGTCATTGTTGTTGTTGTAATCTACCACAGCACTTTGTTATAAATTGATCACTGTACACATAATTTGCATCAATTCAAGAGAATTATGGTAGGATTCAAGTAGTAACTTAAAACAAAATTAACAGCAATAAAATTATTTTTGAGACAGTAATGAAGATATGACTCTTCCTTTTCTTCTCCTCCTCTTTTTACATAAGGGAAACTAAACCAATCAATTAAAATGAGAGTTAGTGAAACTGAGTGGGAGAAACAGGATACAATGTTTTGGAAAATGAAGTGACACACAGAGGGAGAGTAAGAAATGTCAAATAGAAATATACTGGATGAATGGATGGTGAACAAAGAATAGATAAGTACATACCATCAAACGGAACAAAAATCTTGTTACGATAGCGGGGGTTGGGCATCAATTTTTTAATCAGTGAATATAACAAGCTATTAAAAATTGAGAATATTTGTTATAGCTTTATTAGACGAGTCAGATGTTCTTATTTATGATTTTGATCTTCGATTTTACTTTATTTCGGGACAATCTAGACAATTAAAGGACGACTATACTTTTCCAAATGAATTATATATACATATATATATATATACATATATATATATATATATATATATATATATATATATATATATATATATATATGATGCAGTGGAAAATGCACGTGTGTGATGTGGTGAGCAAAAAGCTAATCGCCTGAAACGTCAATGACCTGTGATACTGGTTTTTCTTTTAACTGTCTCTGATATCAAGTCACATTTTAAAAAAAAGTGATCATGTTAACTATATCGACTGGTTATAGACGGTTAACTTTATGATATTGTGTATCTATGTTTATTCAGTCGAATAAATTCTTATCTACTGTCTTCTTCTTACGCCTATCATCTGATTGACGCTTTTCCAGTACAAAGTATCAAATCAGTATTCCTCAGATATAACAGCGTGTCCATGATCACTTATTGATATGTCCATACGTAATTATACGTAATTTTGCAAGATAAATTCTATTTGACGAAACTTCCCGTCATTTAGTGTGCTTAAGTGAAAGCTAATCTTCTCTAGTTTTGAATAGGTTCAGCACAGCTAATCCCCGGTCCCATATAGACCATGAGGTAAAATTCTCGGATTTTGTGGGGAACTTTTTCTGAATTGTTGTAATGATTTCGACTGATGTACTTAATTAAATTTATTAGAAGTTTGTAGAACTACCTATCGCGTTATTGACTATTACTTATTTCATGCAAATATACTCAAATGGCTGTAACTTATTTTTTCTCGCCCATATTTTTTGTTAAACGAACTTCAGTTGATTTCAAATTCATAAATGTAAAGAACAGTCTAAATTGCACGTTACCCATTGGAACAGCTCTTAATATCAGAATAGACCAAAAACCTTAATTATTAAAAACTCATGAGATAAGATTATCCAAACTACAACTTATTCCATTAGTTTCACAAAACTCTATGGACTAGACTAGCATGACACTGACCATTCCTTTTCAGTGTATTGTTGATACAAGTGTTTCGAAATGTTTCTGACGAAATTTAAAGGAATAAAGAATATCATGGAACAGAAAAGTATACCTTTTTATGAACTGATGATTTGACAACTATTCAAAAATTATGTCAACCGCTTCTAGTCAAAGGATTAAAATCTACTGATACTTACGATGGTTTCAGTGTATTTTATGATGAATAAAAAAAATATTATGACTTCATTTGCAATCAGAACAATAACAACAACTTATTTGTATTATCAACTTACAGCAAAGTCGAATATATTGAATGTTGAGTGAAAATAAATCAAACAACCCAATCCATAGATTTTTATGATCATTTCAAATAGAAAAAGACCAAGAAAAATGAATTCTGAAAAATCTGTAATAAAAACAATTTGATTATAATGAAAAAAACTTCTTAAATGAAAAAAAAAGAAGAAATTATTGATAAAATCTACGTTTCAATTTAACGAAAACTCTCACCAAGGAGTATTGTGTTAGCTAAGAAATCATAGATAATCAAGAGGCATTAGATGAACAATTCATCTTATAATATGGCTCTTAAGTACCGTTCTCACGATAATATTCGAATCACTTTGTTAGTGTTCTGTTTTCTGGATCATTGGATTAGCCGATGAAATCAGTCTACAATCAATCATATCGTTAAACTAGGAAAATATTCACAAATCACTTATCTCAATATTAATTATGAGCTTATTGCAGATTAATTATGAGATAAACTTTCTGAAATTCTGGTATGAATTGACCTTTGAATCAATTGTGTAAAACGGGACGGGGCTAACTGTCGACAGCATTAAATAGTGACTACGAACTGAGTACTGATGATAATATAAATCATCATATCCATTAGCTGGATGTTACAGCGGCTATAGAGTATTTCGAGGTTAGGTATTCAGCCATTTTAAAACTTTGATTTTGTGCTACTAATGAGGCCGAAATCAGGGAGAAGGAAATGGTATCTGATTTTCAAAAGTTACTTGTCTGATTTCAAACAATTATACAGCTTCTTTGGTTTCTAATAAACTCCCACATACAACCCTTCTAATATAGAATTTTTAATCTGAATTTGAATACAAATTGTTGAAAATAGGCTTTATATAATCACTTTATCTATCTAGTAAGTACAGTGGTAGATGAATGTGTTTACTGTTAAACAATCAAAGAAATCCATTCGAACTACAAGTCTTATAATATATATCTCGATGCTATTAGCTTGTGTAAATGAAATACCTTTTGTTTAGCTTCAGTCTAACGATATAATAATCATAATTTTGATTATATATCTTCGGAAATGATTTATCGTGTTTACATTAATTTATGAAAGTGAAATGTGTAAATAATGAATTTTATAAATAGAAAAATATGTGTATTCATAATATAACTACATGAACTTACATAAAAAATCTGTAAGCCATCCTGGTTGACCATAGAATTCTACAGAAACGCATAATGCATTTAGCAATACTAGGGTAATCACAATAATATAAAATTTTTGTGATTTTATAAGACGACGAACTGCAAATCTACAATTGTTTTTGGAAGACAATAACAAAGAAAGTGATTCTAGGAAATATACAAATGATGTTAAACTATCTAGTCATATTATAAGAATAATTTACATTTGACACTAGATTATAAAAGAAAGAAATGTGTAAAGTATGTAGTTGTTTGATAAATGTATTATTATTAATGCTTAATACAAAAGATAAACAATTAAGTTTTGCTTTCTTCATGTAAGTTGAAGAGGATTGCACTCATGTTATCACAGGTCGATTTAAATGTCCATCGCGAAATGATACCAGTATGAAACATTGAGGAGCCTTTTTTATTTTGGCTGTGGACTCTTCAGAGGTATATACAGAGATATATAGTTGAGATTAAAAGTCAATTAAAGCTAGACCAACATGGAAAACCTGAAAGCACTGGATGGCTGTTCCGCCTTATTGTGGAATTCCTCAGCAGTGCGTATCCACAACCCTGCCTGCGGGGTTCAAACCCAACTATATATTCAATATCAATATAATAGTATTGAGTATCCAACACTTATTTTGAAATAAACGTTACAAATAGAGATTCATTGAGGATTGAGTAGAAACATACAAAATAATTAAAGTGTTTGCATATGTAAGTAGACAAAGCATACCGATCATTGTATCCAAAAAAATTAGTATTCCTGTTTATTTCTAAGCTACTTTTTTTCATAAGATATTACTTATTAATTACTTTGCTAATATTCTTTGAGTAATAAGTGTTTGATAACTTGACCTTTAAACGCAAACTAAACAGTAGTCATGGTATGTATTCCATTTAAAGTAAAGCTCATTTATATAAAGTGATAATGTTTTATTTTTGTTGTGAATTATTATACTAATGCTCAAAACTAAAGCATGTATTAACACTCATTATATTGCTTAAGATTTATTATACTTTGGAAATAATAATGGAACTGATGTAAACAAGAGAACCTACCGAAATCGTTTATGATATTGAAATAAAGCTTCAGTTCCGGGTATTTTAAATTTTCGTTTAGCTTTTAATTCTTCGTTTAAAATTAAATGAGAAAAGAGGAAACAAAAATAAAGTAAATGAAAGAGATCTTCAAAAGTTGTTTATATTGATGTCAGAGATATATAAATGTTCTTTCATCTAGTCGGTAATTTAAAACACTAATTTACATGCTGTTGCATAAAGACAAGTTTACTTCCTTTTTTCTTACAACAAAAATGAATGGAAACTGATCACTTCATTGAACTAAAGAATCGACATTTATACTACGCAATGTCTATTTAGGATGGAGAAAACTGTTATTGTGTGTTGTTATGGAAAATTTAAAGTTTTAAGTCGATCCTTTATGTGAAGATTCAAATTCAACGACTTACATAGCATCCTTTAATGGGAATTATTGTATACCTATTATCGACCGATTCTCTGAGCTCTTGGGAGAAATAGTGACCAATCGAGCTCAGCAGTGTTGGCAGTGAGACAAATGTAACTAATGGCATTAGTTGTGCAATAAATTGACTTGAATAAAGTTAGAGATATGTCATTGGATAGAAACGTAGTGGTTTAATGCTGAACACCAGCCATATGTCTGAGATTTTGGATGGACTTTGCTCAGTAATCTCATACTAGGATTGAGTAGCTTTTCAAAGTTTTCCACATTCAGTGTTTGCCTAGCCGTAGTCAGTCGTTAATGTGAAACTTCCGATTGAAAGTATGATTATTTAAATTTAAACTTGGTCACAAGAAAGTCATTCAAGTGGTTCGATGCACTTCAAATAGGGTCTACAGTGTTATTTCGTGTTTTTTTGATGGTCTACATATTTATATCAAAAGTATGTGTTATAACATAAACAGAAGAATGTTTCTGAATTCCAATATTACTGATTGTTTGCATATTAAAGTCGTATTTAAAAACCAACATAAATTAAGGTATTTAAATTTAGTCAGACAAATTTATACGGAATAGTTAAGTGGAATTGTTTATCATACAACCAATGTCTTGAGATAGTCTTCAAATAGACCTATCCACAACAAAATTTTATGTTGCTAAGGATACTCGCTTGTAAAGGAAATTAGAAATGTCATTAAAGTAGAAATGAATTATGACATTTCTGAATTCTCTGATGAGTATTATTTAAATAATTTAAAGCTAAACTATAAAACTGTATGGTTATTTAAGAATATTGTGATGTTACTTCGTTTCCAGGATGAAGCGGAAGATTTCTAATGAATTCTAAGACATTACAAAACAAGACGCACATCTAAATGATTTGGTTTGTACACATAAATTAAACAGCATTGATTGTAATATATTTTATACTCAAGAATGCTTAAAATTACTCTTAAAGAACAAAATATATTTCACTATCAGTTAAGAAGAGTATCAATGGATGATAAAATAACTTTATTTACCATCGAAAATGATCACAACAACATGAAAATAATACACTAGTTACGAAATCGTATGCAGTTTTACTGAATATCCTTTAATTTCTAGTGCTGTCCAGCATTTTGTTTGATAGAGATAACCGTTTATTATTTGAAGAAGTGGATTATACAAAATTGCTATGTTCATTTTTATCATTATGTAAGAATAAACGATCCTAGTAAATACTGTTTACCCAGTTTTAATAAACTACATCTCGTTTCAGTAAAAAATAGGACGAAATGCTAAGAGTGATCTTTAATTTAGAAGTGAAAATGAAACTTCAGTTAAGTTAGTAACTCGATAGAAAATCAGTGGCACCATTGTTGTCGGTAAAATTTGCACCTACTTTAAAAAAAATGACCAAGTATGTATTTATTACCCGTAAGTTATTTTATAACCCAGTTTCTTATTGTAACCAGTTTATTTTATTTTCTGCATGAAACTGAACAATTGTTTATAGTATTTGCATGTATGCAATTTAACATTTAGTAATATTATACATACCTTAATTTTTATAAAGTACACTAAAATTTTTACAGAAAACAATAGTATCAGTAATTGTCTACAATCTCAGTCACTTTATAATAATATGAGGCTACCTTATATTACTTTAAACTGTGCCTGCCTTATTAATGATTTTTTAAAAACTTCTATAGTCACATATACTTACTAGAACGTCCAAGTACATGTGAGATTCTACTTTCAAATATTTCTACCATTTGTCCGGATTGTGAAAAAATCTTATATAAGACGGATGACATTCAGCTTAATTATGAAAGTTCTCTTATTCGATCAGTTAGATTTCATCGTTGAAGTCATTATCATCAGTATAAAGTAATTAACAGTGGATTATGTGAAGCATATCTAATTATAAATATATAATAAAACTTACCAGCCTCACAACTTTCCAATTCAGCAGCTATAGCACGTTTCTCAGCATCGTTTGATCTTCTTCGTACCTTTTCCGCTCTTTTTCTAGCTGTCAAGTTAAATCATGAACAATAAATTATATTTTTTTTGCATGCATTGTGAACGCAAAGGTTTTATGTTTCGATTGTAAGACGTTAAAATGTACTCACTAAGTTATCATTTGAACTAATGCATCGGTTAGCTTTTTGAGTTTTTAATGTTTATATAATAAATAAATCCTTCTGATAGTCGATTCAAATTTTTACAGTCTCTTGATTATTGTGAAAATGAAGACATTGAAGATATCCTTCGGTTATATGCATAGATTAGAAAAGCAACTGTAATGGTACCACGTAGTTTAATGGTCAAATTATAACTAAAGACTGGACAATATGATATTTATTATAACTAATTGATCAGTTAGTATCAAGAAGATATTCTTCACGAAGAGTATAGACCTGACATTTTCGGATGGAAAATGTTAACAAACACAGTGAATATGAACATGAGCCATAGTATGGTTCAGTATTAAGTCGTTGGTAAATACTTTTGTGAAATTCAAAAGCTCATAAATATAACCGTTTAGTTTCTTTTAGTTTCTAATAACTTTTCGCTGAATAACTTTATTTTGTGTTGAAAGTAATCCGAATAGAATATTCAATATCATTTAGAATTTCTTGATGAATATCTCATAATTCCTGTTATCTTTTGTTTGAAACGGTTAACTTGTAAGTTTATACAAATAGAAATTGAACAATTAAATAAAATGTATAAATAATGAAAATGATGACAGAACCTACCTTTGATAATTTTTAATCGTTGTGCAAATGAAGTTTGTTCTTCAGCTAAAATAACTTCCTCTAAATTAAAGGCACAAAAAAATGTGTAAAAAAGTTGAGATTTTAAATAGAACAATATTATTTCTAATTGCCTTTCACTGTTCATGTTTTATTGATTTTGATCAAAAATATCAAAGGATTAAATTATTTATCATGCCTACAAATGCCCTGGTACACCAAGAGTAAGGCGAGTCAACTCTCTCTGGCTCGAAATGCTCTCAAGTGATCATGTGCATACAACCGCTGCCAAGGAAGTCCTATTTACTAACTTCTCTTAGCAGAGGTGTTGTTTACAAAATTGAAAGGACGTAAAGCGAATGTTCGACACTTGATGAATACGGAGGATCCACCTAGGAGTGTTAGAAAACCTTGATTCTAAACCGGTGGTGCACATGGGCTCCAGAATCCTAAGGAAACAAATGGCGAATGAACCTATTGTTGGTCACCGGCGACCATGGGACTGCATCTTCTAAAGTCGCCTCACTACCTTATGGATTGGGCCTTTAGGTCAAAGTCTCGGGGTGTGCCACCTCAAGAAATAGTTCACATTAAGATTTGTAACACGACATTATGTAAAAAGGTTGAATCACATTCTGATCATTAACATAAACATAACGTATTTTATAATAGAATGAAACGTGCTTTTTAGATTCAAATATTAAAATATCTAGTCATCAGATTAGTTAACATAAAATCGAGTCTTATTTTCATGTAGCCTAAGTTCTGACACAGGCTGATAAATCAAATCTCAATTGCGAATAATTTCATTTAAATATTGGGTTTAAACTTGCTAATATATACGAAAACACATAATTTAACTGAGTACAAATTAAGTTGCTCAGAAAACAAAATCAATAATCAAATAACGAAGATAACTATTATGGAACAAACCTATAAATCCCCTTTGTTTATCCTATTTCTGTTACCATGGCAACCTTATTTTTTGCAATTGTTAGTTTCTTTCAGTGATTAGTAAGGATTACCATTTTTTAAGTTTAAATTCATTTAACCTTCTTATACTAATTTGTCTTACAATACTATTTTAGAAAACAACAAAGTCAGCAATCTTAAAATTGATATACATATACAGATTTACCAACAAACCCACTAGGGAATGGACCTCGAAGTCTATGGATTGAATGGGTTGGGCGCTTAAACTTTAGACAATTAATGGAACTGAATGATTGTCACATTATATCGTAAACTGGTTCAAGTTGAATATTTACACTTTTGATTGCAACTTGGATTAATAAAGAAAGTTGGAACGCTCTTCACGAAATTTGAAATCTATACTATATCTGAGAGTGTTTAGCCTACATTTATACTAAACTTTACAGAGTTTGATTTTTGAGATACTTTACAAATGACAAAAAAATTTCTTTTCTACGCTCGCTTTTACCCTTATAACATATTGTTTCTATCTTGACTCAGGTACTCATTAAATAGATTTAATGTGAACAGTGAACTTGAGGTTTTCAATACAGACATTGATGTTCGAGAAATTTCCATGTTAATGGTTCTAAATAAGCTGAAGCAAGCATTTTTCATTTTACTGCTAGTTATTATCAAAAAGAAAAGAAAATATAAACAGCTATTACATTATGTCTTGTTTTCAATTAGCCTATATACTGAAAAAGACTGATTAATTAAATCACGATTATCAATAATAAAATATATTCAATCCTGCAGCTAATATTTTAATCGATTATTATTATTTTCTCAGTGGAGATAAAAGTGACTGAAATGTCTTTGGTATGAACAAATACGTCATACATTTATTAATACACAATATTAACAACACTATAATGAAAATCATAGTTTTAGAACAACAGTTTATGAAGTCAGTGTTTTGTGTGTCAGAAACCTTCCATAAAAATTTTTATATTTCACGTTTGATAATTTATATCAGGATCATGTGGCAATAAAGTTAATTGTCTAGAGGTTGAGCGTTTGCACACGAGGCCGAAGGCTATTGGTTCTAGTCTCACGAACGGAATCTTGGATGTGCACTGCTGAGAAGCTTTATATTAGAACGAAACGGTTGTCCAGAACTTCCAGTTTTTAAATAATCGCCTAACATTGATCAGTGCATGATGTCAATGAAAAATTAGGTAGTTTATGCTGTAACGTACAACAACCTGAGCACTAAGTATTTTCTGAAATCACTCAATATCTCATCACAGAATAACCACACAATAGGTGTATCTGTTATGCAGAGCCGTAGGTAAAGATGATTTTCACATCAAGAAATAAAGGTAATAGTCACATAAAACTATGCATACATAGAAAAAAAATTAGACGCCGATGGAAAATTGTCTTATGTTAGTTTACAACTTCTTGACAGTTTGGGCTTACCAACCCAAATAAAATACAGTCGATCACAATTAAATATCACTCTGTGCTCCTCTATCACTAGTGACTATTTTGGAAATAAAAGTATCATAAAAGTTTCTTTAAAGCTGTAACTTTTCTACTTAAACAAAGTTTCATTTAGAAAGTAGGACACCAGTTTAAATATAGGACAATTACATTACTGTCACAGACCAACTCAAATTGTAAACATTAATCAACTGTATTTTCACTTCATGCTTTTGAACATTTCATGACATTTACTGGTTGGTGTTATTGTAACTCACTACTATAGGATTACAAATTATAACAAACAATATCACTTTTTGTTGATAACCATCTTGTAAAATAAACAAAATCTTTTATAAGATAACATAAATTTCAATCGGTGGAAACAAAAAATATGCCAAATAACGTATGAACTTGGCTAATATAGATTTTTCACATGAAATGAATATACTAATTATGTTCAACCTTATTACTTCTGCTCAATAAAGAAACAACATTACATACGTACATTATACGTATATATACTGAATGTTAATTAATTTATACCTAATGATAGAATCCTATAAACATAATAAAAAGAAACCTGTGAATTATGATGGGTATAATGTGAGATAAAAAGAAATAAACAAAAAACAATCAGTTTATTGTTGATTTAAACAAAGAACAACGGATGGTATTTATATCCTAAATTTTGGATAACTATGTCTCTTCTACTTTCTCACTCATTCATTCACTCTCTTTCGTTCTTTCTATGCAAACATTAACACGTTTTAGATGTAAGTTAATTAAATGATTAAATGTTAATATATGGAAAAAATAGTGCCTTCTAGGTTGATGATGTAGCGTTTTTTCTTAAAGAAAGATTACAGTGACCATTTGACTAAGACTAATAAACGTAATTTTTCTCTGTCAATAGAATATGAGCAGTTTTATCTAGTGGGATAGTTTGTACAGATTTATTCAACAAGTATTCTCTTAAACTAAACCAAGGAATCATAAAATGGCTTCATCGTCCTAATGACGGAGTATTCAGCAGTGCTCATTGATAATTCCTCATAATATTGAGTCAGTTCTGTGCAAGTTATTCTTTGTGACTCTTTTATCTAAGATCAGGGGTCCGAGTTCCTGGTTCCAAGCAAGCTTTTGGTTTATATCATAGATAAGCTTTAATAAACTTAGAAGAACTTGATAAGTGTTGTGTTCTACTATGGGATTACTCAGCAGTGCACATCCAAAACTCTATCGGAGAACGGACCAAAAAATCTCAGATCTTATAGTGAGCACCTAACATTCAGGCCACTGAGTTATTATCCAATTGGCTTACATTTTCAACTTTATTCGATTCTCGATGTTGAGCGACTTTTATACATCCTTATAACGAAATTCGTATCATGTCTGACATGCGACATAAAACGACTATTATCCAATACTATCGTTGACTAACGCCTTATTTTAAGTACAGCTGAATTTCTCAAATAACATCTTGTAAAATCTTCAAGAATCATTTTCGAAGTTAATGAGAAATAAACGGAAAATCAAACGATTTATTGAGATAACTTTCTACATGGACTAAAATAATCTGAAGCAGCTGAACATGTCTTTCGTTCTTATTTGGGATTTTTTAGGGGATGGATTTGGGAATCGGGTATTTTGGATAGGAAAATCAATGATAAATATTATTTAAATCTTTGAAAATTTTCGAAAGTTTTGTAATCATTAGAGATGAACTGTGACCAATGGAGTATAATCATGTGACAGCAAAGCAGCGACTGGCCAATGACAATGAATAATGGCCAAGTAGTTGGTTGAAGTTAGTAGGATAAGCCAGTGCATATCAACTCAATGGTCTAAGTGTTAATCGACTATCATGGTAACTGATTATTCTAGGTTTGATCTGCTGTGGGGCAATCTATGTGTTTATTGTTAAGAAGTTCCACAATAGTGCTTCCAGGTTTTTACTGGTTGTTTCATTAAGTTTCATTTTGTAACACAGTATTTAACGATTTCTCCAAAGCTCTTATATTAGTAACTTTATATATATAATAAAAGTGTAACTAACCGGCTCGTTGTATCCAATCTAGATAACCGTTTAATTCACGATCAGATTGTTGTTGCCTGCGTAATTTCAAAAAAGCACGTCTTTTTTCCACACGTTCACGTTCTTTAGCAAACTCACTAGGAAAGAAGGTAAAAAATGGATATAGTAATTACGTTTTCCTTTTTGTTTCACAATCAGAGAGTTAGGAAGTTCAAGTTTACACTTCAGATACGAAACTGCCAATCCGTAAAAAAAATCGAATTTTAAACTACTCATATATAAATAATGAATAATATCTTTGGTGCTGTGAAAGAAATGGTTTGATGATTTCTTGAAAAAGCTTGGACCAGATTTCCAGGTGAAACGTTGAATTTACTTCAAATTCTTCCACTGTGATTTTACAAATACATTCTTCCTCTTTAATGGAAGATATTTCAAAATTTGTTTGAAAAACAGCATAGCATGACTTCAGTGTGATGTCATAGGTCCGTAATGTTTTCAAATTAGATCAAATAGTTACGTATTAATGATAAACTGAATGATGATTATTTTTTTCAGATACCGAATAAAGTTTGAGGTTCACTTTATTACATTTCAGATTCAGCGGTTTGAAAATATAGTTTTTATTTTAATCTCATGCTGGATACCCAATACGTTAATACTAAAGTATAAGGATGAGACAATCATGTTTCAAAATATGGCTTCAAAGACACGTCTAATAGTTTAAAATTATGTTGACTGTCTATTGCATGCCTCTCTGATTTTGGCGAAAATGAAATAATAATATAGTTATAGGAGAAAAGATTGCTCCAGAAAGCCATTTTATTCAATCATTGCAGGGAAATAAGGCCCATAGGAATTCACAGTAAATGTGATAATCTTATATTCTGGTTCTAAATACGCTGGTATATAAAGTCTTTAAAAGCTTACATTTTTTTATTTGTTCGGAAGTCATCTTTAGACAATGGATGCTTTCTGTAATGAATTGGGTAATATAAAACTGTCAACCAGTACAGATTCAGTTATTTTTGCAGGTAACGTCACAGATGGGTACGAGTTTGATAGTAGATTTATCCAAGCTCAGAAGTTTTGATAAATATATCAGTGCCTACACATTGGATACCCGGTATCTTAGGGGTTGAGGAGTTATCAGAAAAGGAAAATGGAATATAAAAGAAAGTGTCGTGGGAGAATAGGTGAGTGGTAAGCTTTTCAGCCATATTGATGAGTTCCTTTAATTCTACATACCAGAAATGTTAAATTTATATCAAAAAGCCATAGGTTATACAAAATAATATACACACTTTATTTGAACTAATGTACTATTATTTTTTTCCCACTAAAACAAACATTTGACTGGCGGTAAACATGGAAAATTGTCAGGATTATTTCAAAAGTCGCTCCAGATTGGTAATATACACTAACCTTATGTCTGATACTCTTTCATATTCAGTGTTATTTTAGTTTACATCAATCTACTATTCTGACTACCTAGCTAAATTATAAGCTACTAATAGGTGTTATTAGGTTTTAACGTTGTGTTGTATTCTATGGTTTTGGCTAGCAGTAGGGTCCGGGAAAAGCTTTTCATTCTGTTTTGTGCTCGTCCACCAGATATTGTTATGTCTCTGTGTCCGTGCTTATAATAAAACTCGAACTCCGTACATTTCGCTTCGAAACGTCAATGCATTTTACACCAAGTTACATCGCTTTTGTGACGTTGCATAACATTTATAAAAATAATGTTTATTTATATTGCATACCATTCAATAGTAATTTCGTTTCAGCAATTTACAAGTTATCATAAAACAAATCACTGTTTTTTTAGGTGAAAAATATTTTCGAACCAACTAGTCACATGGGTCAGTGTTCGGTAACATTCATAAGTTATAAAATCACAATCGATTCCCTGTTCACCTATTAACCTACCACCATTCAGTTAAGTGAATATTGGAACGTAGAAGATACACTAGTGAGATATGATTCAACTTACCCACTTAAAACACCAAGTACTAAATTGATCAATAGAAATGCTCCAATTACAATTAAAGGTATGAAATAAATCCAGTTGAAACGTGACCCATATGTTCGATTCGTCTGTTAAACAATAAAATATAACATAAATTGTTGAAATTGCAGAAAAAGTTTTATTTCATGAAAACACGCGATTATCAAATACATTTGCCGCTGCAAAGCATATCTGTTGATTGCTCAGAGTAATGTAGCAGAATATGAGACACAGTCTGTATCATTGGTACGTCTGCCTATCAACTGGATAAGTAGTCGTTAACTATCAGTTATTAAGTTATTTGAATTGTATCTAAATATTTTCTTACGTAAGACAGTATGAGTTTTTCCGACCTACGTGATGCTGCGTAAACTAATTTTACAATATATAACAAAAATTAGTTCGTTATTAAAAGTGTAGGATCCAGTACAAATAAGTAACTATCCTGTATCTTGTACACATTAAGTCAACACAGCAGTAAATGCAATTAATAAGATGACGAACAAAGGTCTTAAAATAATAATTATATCAAGAATAAAGTAAACCTATAGAACAGAGTGAGAACAAGGAATGGAAAAAGAAAACTGACCAGTGCTATTACCAGCAGTTTTGTACCCATACACCTATAGATTCTGTCTCATGAAAGATATGTTGCCCATTAGTTAAACCACTATTGAATATAGGTAATAGTACTGTGATACTTCTCTTCTCTATGCAATATATTTCATCATTAGTATTCAGTGAAAATTACCAATCTCCCTAATTAACAACTTTTTTAAAAATCTCATCATCAATAATAAATTGTTCATTCGTTGAGCCATTAGTATTATTCAAATACGTTTTCAGTTCATTCAAATGAATCACAACATTACTTCATGAAAGTTAAAAAAATACAAATAAACGTATGTTAGTAACAATTGTGCTAATTATTGCTTGACAAAATCACTTTACCATATATAGTACATCTGTCCATCCTTCCATTGTAATACACTGGAATACTGTTAACATTGCATAACCAATATTATCGAAACTTGTTATGCCATAATTTGGTCCCTCCCAATAACCTTTACATATATAACCACTTGGACAAACAAATGCTCCTGGTGGTCGTGTATGCGTATCCACCGGTTGACATGGTACTAAACCAGGTGCATCTGGTATGAAACTTGGCAATTCCGTTGGATTATCTTCAAAAAAATATAAAAGCGTTTTCTTTTAAAAAAGAAAATGTTAATGCTTCAACATACGTTATTAATACATCAAATATTTGAGAAATGTAGACTGTTGACGTTTATGGATTACGTAAATCAGTTGACTAATGTTGAACGAAGTAATTTCCAAAGCTTATAGGGGAGTATTCTTCAGAGCATGACCTTCTTTGATGTACTACTGGAAATCACGATAACTGTCTCTTCCTGGTATTGAATAGATCAGCAGCAAACATCCACGATCAATCTGGGGTCAAACCCAGGATTCTCTGGCTACCCGGGAAGCATTCAACCATTAAATCAATGAAAATGCACTGAACGGTCAACATTTACACCTCTAATCAATTTCCAGTATACTACATTAGATGGTCGCTGAGCTTGATCACAAATTACTAATAACAGGGTGAATAAAACTGTGAAAATTAATGTTATTTCCAAAAAAAATCGTAATTATAATAATTGTGGGAGTATTATTATTTCAAGATGGCTTAGAATTTCGGCGAATGGTTGTGCATGCAGATGAAAAGTAGACAAAACACAACGAACTCACCATACCCTATAATATTCCGTTATTGTTGATTAGTAAAAAAATATTTGTCAAACAAATTAATCTTATAAAAAATAACACTAATGAGAATTTATGCATAATTTCTCTTCAAATGGATACCATACCATCGATTACTGACTGATCTATGGATTACACGGTATAGTGTTTAATCAAAAAATGAACAAATAGAAATAAACTTAAGAGGTACACACTTGTGTATTGACAAGCGTTTTCGAACTATATCTATTTGTCAGTGTTTTCAAAATATCTAAAGACGAACATTGTACTCCTATAAATTATTGGACATATATAACTATTATAAGCAAAGATGGATAGTGTCTAGCAGTGGAATTCAGGACGTGCATCTCGTCCCTCTTGGGAATTGTCTGCTGGATGTACTTGCATCTCAAAGTTGATGTTCACTCGTGAACTTTAACTCAGCACCGTCCGCCTCAAACCCCAACACGTCACCTAATTAGCTACTGAGTCCTGATAGCCACTAGCTTGTGCAATGAGGTAATACTTTAATTCATTTTGTATTGTTTGTTTGATTCTTTAGGACTACAACGGATCAGTTTCCGATTGGTAAATGTGTATCAAGATTGTCATCACTCAAAAGAGTATACAATTTCCGAAGCGTTTGTAGCAAAGAATCAATAGAGAACCATAGTTTAATTAGAATTTCAAGTTACCCTGTAGTCAATGAGTAATAAGAATGAAATACCGTATAGAAACATGAGACTATGAGAGGTTATTTATTGGACGATTATAAAAAGATAGAAATCTAAAAGAACACTCGTCGAAGTAAGAAATGGAGCAGATGTATGAAAGATAATTGTTCACTTAAATGGAAATGAAAACAAACGTGTCAACAAATAACCATTTCGTATACAATGGAGGCTTTGATAATTCATCAATTCAAGGCTAAACATTTTTCTCAAAGGCGGTATATCCAATCCCATAGTTTCCTAGGATTCTAACATTCCTTCATATTTTTTTAGTTATTTCTTGACAACTGCTTGGTTTCTCTTATTTATTCTTTTATACTCTTCAAGTAGAAAATCATCTTTCACATCTTTGTTCTGTATCTTATTTTAACACACGCTCGTTAATGTTTTCATCTAATAATTATTAGTAGATAGCTCTAGAACTATCTGGAAAAACGTGAGCCCATAAATAATATTGTGGTATGTGCCACTGATGTCGAGAGATATAAGTAGTATGTATTATCAGTCGAAAGGGAAATGCCTGGTGGCACAAGGTTGAGAAATTCTGAGAGAAGAGAACGATAGCAGAGTGATTGGAATAGAAACAAGAGAACGAGAAAGTCTGAGACAATTGATGGGTATTCTGGAAATGAAATATTTACTGTATGGTTCTCAGATTTTACCAAAATATTCTGGAATATTAACTTCAATTACATTCAGTTGTTCCCTCCTGTGTTCTCGTTCACTACAATATCTGAGTGGTCGACCTATATTGTGAATGTGTTTGATACTTTGCTGTTTGTGGTCTTGTAAGCACGTGAATCTTATCGGATCGACACTTGAATACACATGAAGAAATAAGTGAAAAATATCCTATAGTTTTTAATTTTTGTGTTCAACAAATTATAATATTTTCTGGTTCATCTACTCGGTAACTTTTCTCAAGTTTAATCTACATAATTTTCTGTGTTTCTTTACGCTGTCAAAATATCAGGGTAAAAGACAGATGTCGAATAAACTTTTTATATATTTTTGTTAAACTTGTACACTATGAAGTTAATTTTTTCATAAACTTCCACTGTTTATAGAAGCGCTGAAAATCGGAGAACAATTAATCATTTGTTCTACTTTAGTCAGAAACTTCTTGCCATTGTGAACAAATAATCTCTTGTAGGGTTTGCGAATGACTCGATTGATTTTGTAAATTTAGAACAATGAATATAGTAAAACAACTTATCAAAATTTATGAAGCTCGTAATATTGTATGATAATAATTTAATATCATCGGTTGTTTTACTCGGATTGTTTAAGCACCAATGGTCAAGGTTTCTCATTAAAATAATGGGAACTCATTTAGAAGGTAGACATCAGTAAGGACATGACCTCATATGTGGAATTCGACACAATGAATTAACTGAAATTCAAAACGTAAACCACCATGTTTAGTCTCGGTGGTCATAAAAAGAATATAGCGAAAAAGATGTAGATATAATCCTATGTGAGATAAACTATTCAATAATCTTAACTATAAAAAATATAGTTCTTCAATACTTTCTGCTTTTCAATAGCTTTCCAGTTAAAAATTGTTTATGAGGGAAGCAACTTGAGTATTTGTTTTCATTAATGCACTTAAAAAACCCCTATTTTAAAATACACTTATGGGAAAATCGCTAATAATAGTTTTTAAGTATTGTCAATTTTCATATACATTACGTATAGAAAAACTCATTCTAGACTGATACAACTTTCTCCGCCAATACATTTACAAGACACATAACTATTAATTATGTATTTGGTAAATCATTGTTACATTATTTTTTGACTCAAATTATTTATGTCAATGGATTTATTGAAATCAATGTAGAAGGCGGACAAAATAAAAAAATTGAGTCTTGTCCAGACAACGTATATATATATATATATATATATATATATATATATATATATACCTCCGTTCCCACAATTCTTCCTCTCCCTAAATACCATGAACTCAAGTTATACCTTTAATGTTTAGTTATAATGAAATATTACTTTTTGTAACTAATTTAACATACAATAAATGTATATTCGTCTATGATAATTATTAAAGTATATATTAATGATTAAATAATAAAAACTCATTATTTAGATTAGTTTACAGTCAAGTGAACATTTATTTCTTTGATTATTCAAACATTATAATTGTAACAATAAACAATATATTGATATGATTATAATTAGAAATTCTATTTTATTCTTTATTCTGAAATTTTGTTGATATCGATGAATTAAAAAGAAGAAAAAAATTATGATTGTACTGTAATAAAAACTGGTCTGTAGTTGAGAAAATAAGTTTTTGTTGTCGTTGATGTTGTTGATAATAAAAAATATGACACCGATACAAACGCCTAGATATATGACTGAATTTCTTTTTTACCGTCATATACAAAAAAACCCCACATATTTCCTGAATGTTGTGAGACATTAACACTATTGGATGCCGGCTCAGTAGTCCAGTAGGTTAAGCGTTCGCGAGCGAAACTGAAGGCCCTGGGTTTGAATCTCACGAGCGAGATCGTGGATGCCTAATGCTGAGGAGTTCCACAATAGGACGAAACAGCCGCCCAGTGCTTCCAGGTTTCCAACGGCAGTCTAAAATCAATCGGTTCATGATCTCAATCAAAAAATTAATAATCTCCAAAATCCCTATAGTGATATTTTCTGAATGTTTTTTTGTGTGTGTGGGTATTGCAGTAACTAGCAAGTCAATTCGCATACACATTAATTTATTTCTATACATTTTTAGTTAATTTATTTTAGGAAATAACCTCTGCAAATCTTTGCAAATTTGTTTTTCTCTATGGTATTGTTATTGTCGAAGACGGTTTCTTTAATGAAATGTATTCAAACCGTGTATGTTCAGTTCATTTTTCAATTTTTTTACTGTAAGATATTTGTGAAGATTAAACAATTTTGTATGAAATTAATGTCCATTATTTTATTTGTTTCTGTGAAATGATTTCCCAAATGTACAAACTCTATGATATATGACGTCTAGATCAGTTTATTTTACCTAAATATCTTATTGATTTTTTATTTTGGTAAAAAAAATGGTGTTTGTTTGAGTGTAATAGTTTGATGAGGATTATGTGTGAATATTTACACTCGACTGTATCAAGTTATGTTCTTCAATATAAGATACACGTTTTTCTAGCAAAGTTGTATTTATTTCAGATAAATTCTTTATTATAAAATTTTTTATCGTCCTTGTAAACATTAACTGTTCTTTTAAGACATGTGTTCTTTATGGATTTGAATTGTGTTTCCAATAATGCTATGGCTTCAGTAATTACATCTGAATGTCGTTTGTTCATCTACTATTGAAGGGTTCATTAATTTTTGAACTTAAACTATTTTTTGAATAAAATGATGTCACAACGGATATTAGCTATCAAATTGGCCAAATCTTCACAAACCCTATGACAAGTTAGCTTATATTTTAATATCAGAAATTTTGTTCAGTGAATTTAGTCAAACCCAGAACAACGCGGTTACCAATCGATTGATTTTTATGTTATAAACTAATCAAACATGAAGATATTGATATTTAAATATCAAAGAAATAAATCAATAAAATCATACACTATAAAGAAATCCGAATATTTTGGACTTGACTCTGAGTAAAGTTAAAAAGTCTTCAAAATGAAAAGTCGGAATTATGAAGAAATAGCTATCTATTACAGGTTGCATCTACTTATTCAGGTAATGACTATGCTTTGTCGTACTTAGTTATGTTATTATGCTGAATATCTAACTTCATTTCATATTGTTCCGATTTTGTTTATAATCAAACTATCTAATGAAATTATTTGGTAATGAGTTATAACATCCTTCATACTTAAGTGAAACGAATTTATTCAATAATTCAGTACAACTGATAATCTTTCTGTATATTTTAGTTAAATAGATTCAGTCTAATGGATAACGTAATTTATTTCCATCGAGAATAGTACGCAATTAAATATTGACTCAAAGAATGAATGATGTCATGCTTGTCATCCAACTCACAGAACTTTGGTACACTGCTGTTTAGGGTTGTGAACATGAATTTCTGAGAAGTCCGATATTAAGATAAAGTAACTAACTGTTCATCTCCCAATCGATGTCGGTTCGTAAAACTGTCGTTATTGTCATCCTTTTATCAATCATTAAATGCGACTGTTCATTAAGCACTTTAAATTAAAAGAAAAAAACAGTTCATAATTACATAAGTAAACGTTCCAAAAATTCCTAGAAAATATAACGCATATATAGAAAATTTGAATAAAAATTTACTTTGTTCAAAGCATGTTACATGAAAGACGCCAGAGTAAAATTCTAATCCAACAATTGCAAATATTAATATAGCAAATAATACTAATATTCCAATTTGTAATAATGGTGCCATTGCTTTGATAATCGACGTTAAAACTACTTGAAGACCTATGGAAGAAATAAAATCATAATACTTTTATGAATAAAAATATTTAATTGAATGAAAAGTAAAATTCAAATAAGTAGAAGTTTGTCAGATTTATAATTCAACGTTTAGCAATCATAAATGTTTCATGAAAGACTAATAAGTATATTTTCACATTATTTTTCCAATGAAATCTTAAGATCAATCAAATTATTCTATACAACAGTGTTAATCAGTCATATTCCATTGTAGAAAATAACTAAATTAGATATTAAACTATTCATAAAAGTAGTGCGTATCCACGATGCCACTCGCAGGATCTGAACTCAGGACCTGTTGGTCTCGCTCGTGAACACTTAACTTCTAGACTAATGAACTCGCTGGCATGCAACGGTGTTAAAGTTTAACTTCAACCAATGTAATTTACTTAACATTCAGCTTTACATTCAATTATAAGGTATTGGAAGATAATGTACTTCATTTGTTTTCACTATATATGAAGACTATCAAAATTGGTAACACATTCGTTGAAAATTAATCAAGAGTGAATTCACAATGAAAGTGATAAAAAAACCGTATAGTAAAAAATTAAACTGATTTGTCAACTGTGATTTCAGTTAATTTTAATGAAGCTTACACCGAAATCATAAAAATGTTCATCATGAATATACTCTAAAATAAAATGAGTTAGAAAATTACATTTATTTAATACTTTGTCTATAATAATGCTCAAGCTGGTTTTTTTGTTTATCAACGAAATAAATGTCACTAAATCTCATCCACTGTACAAGCCAATATAACTTTATAAGAGTTGACAGTGACTTTATGTAAAAAAAAGGAATTAAAATTAGTTATTTCAACTACCTTTCGTTTTATCTACGGTAAATTCTGTTTATAAGAGTAACTCTGCTAGAGTGATGTTCGTTTGAAGTACTGTTGATATTACCATACATAATGGAAACTTTTAAGTAGTATGTTGTTTGTTCAGTGATTATAATTTCACTGAATTCTGTTAATTACAGTCACGATTATTTGATGAAGAAGGTCAACAACAAAAAATCTCAAATAATCAAGAGGACTGTAGAAAAAATCTAAATTTAAATTCATCATAAATCAGACTTTATTTTTACCAATTTGTATCAGTTCAAAGAAGAGATATCGACATCACCGGTCATATTTATTTCTATGATTGAAAAAGACAATTTTATTGCCTATCTTAATTTATATTCTTGACATATTTGTTGACTTTCAAGTGAATTATTCTTTGTGAGATAGTGGAGAAGATTTGTAGCTCAGGTTGATGACTTTGGTGAAGTTTTGTTCTCTGAGCTGGATGGTTTGGTCGTGGAGCTTTCATCGTTCTTCTGAACGACATCATCAGCACAAACTTCAGATAGAAATTCAAACACTTCACTTCTATCTGAAGTTTGTGCTAATGATGTCGTTCAGAAGAACGATGAAAGCTCCACGACCAAACCATCCAGCTCAGAGAACAAAACTCCACCAAAATTATTCATTGTTATTATACTACATTACAATTTTGTCTGCTTGTTAACTGAGCATATTACTGAATGATTCCAACTGTATAATGGAATCTTCCGTCCTACACATCATTAAGCTCTTTTGATTTCAATGAATCAAAAATCAGTTATAACGAATAATCAAATAAATTTTTAACTACATAAAAGAATTTTTTTTGTTTAAATTGTTTACTTTCATATACATTATACTGGAAACTTTTCTTGCAGTACAATAAAGTCTAGTTCAGTTTAGTAAATCTTTATCATAGTATTAAAATTAAGAGTGACTTACTTGGTACACCTGATACTAGTTTGAGAGGACGTAGTACACGTACAGCTCGAAGTGTTCGTAAATTCACTCCACTTCCACTTGTCATGAACATTGTAAGAAATCTATTAATGAAGTTATAAAATAAACATTTTACGTACAAATAAAATAATAAATTAATATACTTAATTGGGTAAAGTTAGAAATTCTGATTCTTGTATTCTGATTAAGTAACCATATAATAATTTTCGGTAGATGAAGTTTTTAAGTTCTGTTATTCAGCCGAGGACGTTGATCTACGTATTCACTGTTGAAAATGTTATTTATTATTGTTTGATTTTACATGTTTTTAACAAATACTACTCTATCACAAAAGGTAACGAAAATATCCAAGTTTCATAGTAATTAATCAATTAGTTTTGAAAACATACTCGAGTTTTTTAATACATTATCATCTATTCAGCATATTTTACTAACATTATTATTTTCAAAGTAGTTGTTAACATACTAAACGATTGATGTCCTCGCTCTTTTTCTAAACAGTCTATATATAGATTCATTTAGTATTATTTACATGAATCTTACCATTGATGTTTAGGACTGCAATTGATCAGTCTGTGGGTTTGAGTCCCAGTGTGAATATCAACTCTCAGATGCAGGTACATCCAGCTAACGAGTCCTAAATAGAACAAAAAAACGCGTTCTGGATTCCATTGCTAGCCGCTATCCATCTTTGCTTATAAGTCTTTATATGTTTTATAAGATATGCAAAATATCCTGTTTTATTCTCAAAACGTTATTCTATTCATCCTTATTCATTTATCTTTTAAGAGGTAATCATAGAAGTAAATTATTATGTCCATTTTAATTTTGTTTGTTAGTAAACAGTGGAAAACTGTGGTTACAAATACTAGTTGATAACTTATGAAAAATAAAATTAAGATGTGTACGGAAATGATATTGAGTTATGTGTCTTAGTCAAATATTTTATTAACAATTAATAACTTGTAATTACATTGTAGTGTGTCACAATGCTATTCAGATTAACATGAGACGATTAGGATGAACATTTTATCAATCGTTTTGTTCATTAAAAATACCTATTATTTATAAGCAGAGATAAATGATGGCTAGCAGTGAAATCCAGGACGCACGTTTCGTCCTGTTTGGGACTCATCAGCTGAATGTCCCTGTATTCCAAAGTTGATGTTCACTCAAACTCCATCATGTTTTCTATTTAGCTTCTGAATCCAGATAGTCAAGAGACTGATCAATTACAGCCCTGAATATCAATGGTAAGATTCAAACAATCAATACAAAAAATGAAGATTCTACTAATTAGTATGCTTTAACTGTAATCTTGATGTAAATAATGAAAATAACAAATAACATAGATATGTACCAGTTTTCATAAAATTGAAAATTGGTTACAAATCTCTTAATTGTATAGTGATAAAGAACTGTAAGAATAATGCTTAAAGCGCTTCACAATATCGATTTTAATTAACAACTTAATTATGAGAGACCTGACTTATATGAGTTTTCGACAAATTTTAGCTGTAGTAATTATGTCAAACGATCATCATGAATCGACTAAAGATGATGATATAAACCATTGGAATCCAAATTTATTATTTTAATTCATTTTTTCTAAATTGCTTGATGATCTTAGGTTCCATTCTAAAAGGATTTACAAATACTCTTTGGTAAAACAGAGTAAAAAATTCATCAGAACTTCCTAAATTTCCGATTATTGTTTAGTTTAAATCAATCAACTCATATTAGAAAGTACTTGAATACTTCAGGTTCTTTCACAAATATTATAATATATGCAAAGAAATACCTATAAGAATATATTTCAAGGAAGATGAATAAATAAATTCTAAATAACAAGTCTTTACATTTGAATATAAAGTAAACAGTGATGTATTTGTATAAGCATATATGTATATTATTTATTTGCAATTGATTGATCACTGGGTGGTGACCAATGTCATGTGTGTCAAGTTCTTCTTAGTGCAGATCGAATGCTGTCGACCAAGTTGCAATGTGGTCACCAGTCTAGGTGACTCGACACTGCGGGCACTATGTATTGAGATTTAGATGGTGGTCGGAGGTAGTCAACAGGAAACCCTGGACCCGGGTTTCGTGCCACGTGGCACTCATCACCAAGGTGTACCTGTAATCTTGAGGAAACTGGTGCTCCCTGATGGATTCGATCCCGTTTCACGCAATGTAAAGTCACCTAGACTAGTGGCCACATTGCAACTTGATCGATAGCATTCGATCTGCACTAAGAAGGACTTGACACACATGACATTGATCACCACCCAGTGATCAATCAATTGTGATTACATCTCAGTCCCACAGGAGGTCGATCGCGGTTCAGATAGCCTAGTGGTAACGTCTCTGACTGTGAACTGGGTGACATGGGGTCGAATCCGTCAGGAACCACCAGTTCCCTCAAGATAACAGGCACACCTTGCTGACGAGTACCAATTAGCACGAAACCCGCATCTAGGGTTTCCTTTTGACTACCTTCAACCACTATCAAATGTTAGTTGTTTGGTTCATGTTATTTTAGCATTTCCTGCCTGTTTTTTTTGTTTTGTTTTTAAACAAGAAAGTGGTTTAAATGTATAAATAAATTCAAAATGTTAAAATGATTATGTATTGATGATTTAATAAATAATTTGAACATTCAATGAACTAAACTATTTGGTTTGAAATAAATCAACTCAAATGAAGTATACACTAACTGATTAACATAAATTATGTCATCAAGTAATTCATTACAGTTTTTTTTGTTAGATAAATAGAAAATGGTAATTTACTTTATTATCTGTTCTATATGCTGTTTTGTTTTATTAATCTGTTAGGTGTTAATGTAAAGTTTAGGGATAATTACAACTATTATAAGTTGACAGAAGTTTCTCATGTATGTAAGTCTTCAAAGTTTCCTGTTTTTTTTAATCAAATAGTAAATTCAATAAGTTTCTAATAACATGCATTCATTTTGAGCACATTAACTAAGTGACATTGTTAGTTTTAATTTTTCATACAGTTAGATTATTTCCAACAGTTAGGTCTACTTCAGACATCTAATAACACGTGTGATTTTTCAGCTTGATATTCATTCATTTTGACAGTAGCTTGTTGACAATGCTTACTAATATTTTAAATCAACTGAGACTGATAGTAGCCTTATGGATCTAAAAGATAAGTATATCACGGGGATTGAAGCGATATAAACCTAGTACTGGTGTTAATATAGACATTAACACGTTTTATGAGTCCCGAATAAGACAATACGCGTTCATTGTATTCCATTAATAATCACAAAACAACTTCAGTAAAATGTTTTTTATTATTTTTGTTTTCTCTTAACACTGTCTGTTTCTAACTTGATTTTAAAGTGGCGGAAAAAAGGTATATTTGACATATCCTGTTCTGGCAGATATGTGGCAATTGGTTTAGCTTTTACCTAAAATTCGTCATGGATTCATGTAAACTAAAGCAAACGTTGAAAATCATAAAACAATGGACAGTTGTTTCATTGCTATTTGAGAGTCAATTACCATTAATTATAAGTGATACTCTGAATTGAATATTCCTCACTATAGTTTGGTAGTATCAATTGATATTTATTTTTAGTTTTGCGTTGCAGAGATTATCGAATTCAATTAAAATCATGAACCGATCTAAATTAAACCATCACTAAGAACCTGAAATCACAGGATGGTAGTAACACCGTCGGATGCCGGCTCAGTGGTTTAATGGTTAAGCTGTCACGCACAATATCGAAAGTTTTGTGTTCGAGCAATCATGCGCACCGATGAGGAGTCCTATGTTAGGTTGAAATGACTATCCAATGCTTTCAAGTTTTCAATGGTGTCCTAACTTAGAGTGGTTCATGATTTTAGTGTGATATTTATTTCATGAAAAGCACAATTTTTAGCTTAGGTTGTGTTTGTATATCTAGTTGATTAGACAGTTATTATGTGATGATAATGAGTGATATGCACATAACTGATAATAAGTTGCGGGTTTTATTGGTTAGTAAATAATCTATAAAATGATGTCTTACAAAAACACACATTTTTTAAGATTACCTTAATCCTTATTTATTGGTGTCTTTATTGTTTTCTTAAATAACTAAACTTGTTATTCTACTGAAAATGGAATAATTTTTTGTTAGCTAGTTGATCCAATCGCTTAAAATCATTGATTCAAAGTTCATATCACGAAATATGGTTTTTGAAAATAAACTTCACTTGTTTATACCACAATGTTCAATTACTCTTATATTTTGATGCAGGATATGCAAGTTAAATTTGTCTACTAATGCACAAAAGGAAATAGGTTTAGCATTGTTTGATGTAGAAAGTTTATCTTAATGTTAACGTTATTTATTTTTTCAGGGATGTAACGCCTACCTTTTTTTCATTGATACATATTTTGGGTTTCCTACATTCATGAAAATTCTTCATCAATCTTTCTATGTTTCTTCCAATTACAAAACTCACTTATTGATCTCCACGGTCACAATGTCATTCTTAGCTTTTGATTATTATATTTTATTTCATTATTCTATGAACAATTAAGCCCTTCTCCATCAATCAACCTACTTACATCCTTACATCCTTTTCCTAATTTCAATATAATTTTGATTCACTACTATTATTATTATCATTATTGTTATGATAATGCTCTGATAACTACAAATATATTTTCATCGCTTTATCCATCACATCAATCATGATTCGATTGTGGTCCATATGCTTGATAGTATTATGAATTATAGTTTATATTCGACGACTAAATGTGATCACATCATCTCATTATATATGGGATTGTATACAATATATGACTGTTAGTGAATATTATGCTAACATTATAATATAATGTCATATATTTAAGCAACATTCATCCATTGTTCAATGATAACCAGTGATGAAAATCTAAAAAGACTTACGCGTTTGTAAATTATCGTGTTTTGAATCTTAGTGACCAAACTACGTTACAGAAATAAACAAATAAGAGATTAATATTCCGCTTAATAATAATACGTTCATTCAGGGAAAATCATGTAAATTTTAGATCAAATTTATTTGACAACCTTTGA